CGTGCTTGTGGCCACAAGGTCTGTCGTGAGACGGATCCACGGCGTCGCAGGGATCAAACGACATTGTGGAAGGTGAAGAGACGGGGTGGCGTGACCCCGCCAGGGCACGCGAGGGCGGGCGGGAGGACTTCGCCGGGTTGGGAGTTTTTTGGGAGGAAGTCGCCAACGCTGATTTCTTTTAGAAAAGTACTCTTTTTGTCAGGTTACTGAAAATCAAGTACGGTGTTGAAAGGTTCCTGTGTATCCAACGGAGCTATCGATTAAAGTCTCCACTGAGAGCCAGCGTTAAATGAATATATATGCTTTCATGAATCACCTGATATCTGATGATCTCCATGTTTGCCTGACCTCTCCTACGAATCAATTTCCTTTGTCATCCTTTTATCCACTCGTCAATGTTTGTCAGTAATCAATTCATGATTTAAAGCTGTGGGTCGACCCGCGAGAGATCTGTGAACAAGACTGGATCCAACGGCTTAAATTCAAAAGGTGACTGTTTGCGATTGGACCAGTGAGGGAACAACGTTCCATTTTTTATTTTATTTTATACATTTAACATATGGTGAACCAGCAGCTGCCTGGGTTTTATGTTTGAATGTTTGACACTCAAACATGATGTATTTGATCTGAGAATAAAACCTTCTTATCAAAACCCTTTTTTCAGTGAACTGGATATTTAAAATAAATTTACCCCAAAAACATAATTTCATATCACTCACAAACAAGGTTACGATGGATAGAAGATATCGTCAAAAATAATTATCGTTGTTGTTAAATACAATGCTTGAAGACTAATTACATTATCAGGAAAAAACAAACACATCTTTAGATATTACAGGCTGTGAAGTCACAGAGAAACATCACATCAGCGGTAAACGTTGTGAGTGGCCAATATTGCGTTCTTCATCAAAAGTTAAGAAGCCGCACGCTGGGTTTCTATATTCGGGGGCCTGTTTATTAAGACGCCAGCGTTTCAGCAAACAGCTTTCAGCAGGTTTCATCACGCTCTGGTGAAACTGTTTGTCGCGCAAATGTTGGCGTTGTTATAAAGTCCCGGAAATGAGAACATCGCATGCGGCTACTTTGCTTAAATTGAGTCATTTCTTTTTTTGAGTCATTTCTTCTTCCTTATGTTTTAAATATACACACGTCTGTACCAGTTACACAGGTAAATGGAGGTGTGTTTGTACGGATCCACCGCAGAGACTAAGCAGCATCAACCGTGTAGCTGCTAGCAGCTAGCAGCTAGCAGCTAGCGGCTAGCCTCCGGTTCTGACGAGTGAGGCCAACGTGGAAGAGTTTTAAAAACCTGCATTAACTCGACTCCTCCCGGCAGTCCGGTTTTACCGAAGTCTCAATTCATTCCCTCGGTAAACATTGCGAAGTTTATGGGCTCAATCTCCAGATTAAAGCGGCCACACCTTCGATTGTGTCTAAATCGCGGCGAGGTTCACCCTCCCGCACAGTTGTCACAAAGGAGGAAATTAACTTTAGAGACAGAACAGTTTTTGGTACAACGCTGTAAGCGTGTTTATTTCTGCTGTGAAGTCGGGCATTTCAACATGGAGGTCCATGGGGAGCGGCTCGCTTTGGGAGGCAGCTTTTAACACGTCCTTTGTCTGCTTTGTTTTTAACATCCGCAGGTTGTAGTTTGCACCAGGCGGCGGATGTGGAGTGTCACTTTTGTCAATTCTTGAATTAATGAAGAGTTTCCAGCTTTGTAGTTTCCCCCATTGTGGTTTTCTAGCAACATTGTCTGTCTGTGCAAACTGGTACGATTTGTTCAAACAGAACAAGTGTTAGAAAAGAGAAAACATTCTGTATCGCACAAACGTGTCGTCGCTGAAGAAGTAAAACAGTTTGAAACTAGTGAAACTAAGCAGCTGATAAATTCCCATTTTGAAAACAAACAGAGCGTGGCACCAATTCCCCGCCGCCAGCGCCCCGTGGACAGGAGGGGCCGGGCCCGCCGGGCGATTAGCCCGTCTTACCTTCCCGGTGATCGGATTAGACGATTCCCACAGTCTAGTCTGAAACTACTCCGGAGAGCATCTCAATATCCAATTTCACAGCTTTCTAAACCTAGATCACCGAGGCTATTTATTACTGTCATGGGCTTTTGTGTCCGGCGGGAGGGTGGGGGGGGGAGGTTGAAGAGGGAGGGCGGGCTTGTCTTTCATGTTTCATCTGCTCCGGAGCGAGTGGGGAACCAATGGCGTCGCCTGAAACAACCCCGAAAAAAACGCTCAACGGCCCGGTCCAACGCTGCTGGGTACAAATGATGACCCCTGTGTGCGCGTGTGTGTGTGTGTGTGTGTGTGTGTGTGTGTGTGTGTGTGTGTGTGTGTGTGTGCGACACTGTGCTGAGTATTTTTTTTAACTGACCCAACAAGAAACAACAAGAAAAAAGAAGTATAGTTGATTCGACTCTGGTTTTGGGAATTGCAACTTTTGGCAGAAAATGGGGATGTGTGGGGTGATTTGTGATTACGACTGAGAACTGTGTTCAGGAGTACAGTAAAATACAGCCCACTGAGTGATTTTGGACAGATGCAGCCTTAGTGCTGGTCGGCTGGTCAAAATAGAGCCTCCTAGATAATGAAAGCATTTATGAAGGCAGTCTTGGACCAGCAGCTGTAATAGGGGCCTCCATTATAGAGGCTTTATAATTTCCTTGCCTTTTCCTTTTAGAGCCTCTGTTGTTCCTCTGAATTACCCCTGAATGATTTATGCCCACTGGTCCGGCCACTGATAGACCCTGGCAACACAGATAGAAACACACTTAGGGGCTTTTCGGTGGGTAAACACACTGCATTAAAAGCCAACTTGTTTCAAACAGCCAAACACCCCCCCACCCCACCGCATCATCTCGCTCGTCAAACACAGCGGTGTCGCGGCCAATCGGGGGGCTCCGGGGGGCAACACAGGCCATTTAACCTGAGCAAACACGGCGTGTCACGTAACCAGAGGACGACTTGAGAGCCTGAGCAAACAGTGGCGCGAGCCATCGGCCACGGATCAAGGCGGCCCGGCTGAGGACGAGTCACTCCCGTAATGGCTTTGTGATGACTCAAGATCGAGCCGCCATCTGTTAGTTACAGTGGGGGGGGGGGGAGGAGGGGTGGGGGACCACAATTCGCAGTTCAGATACACAGAATATTAGCTGGTGGAGGGGTGGATTTGGCCGGTGGCACCGGATCAGAGCATATGTCCATAAGTGGTGAGTGTGTTGATGGCTGAGACCCCCCATCCCCTGACCCGGGGCCAGATGACATGATCTGCATGGTGGTTTTCAGCACCGGTGACACGACACCTTCGGATGGTGTAAAACGCGTAATCCTGCAAGTGACCTTAAGACCCCCCACCACCCCCACCCTGCTCCTTCCCCAAAAAACACACACAGGTGGAAAATACTGCGTCAGAAAGTGACGGCTGACATGAGAAACTCACCACATTATTCAAAGCGCCGGTGGGTTTGCATGAGATTTCAATGATGTGCGTTTGAATAAACCGCAGTGATTTGTGTCTGTTCTGAAACCGTGAAGTTCACTGAACAGCAGAAGTCAAACCACGTGGAGCCTCCGAGGCCTCAGAGGGAGCCCCCCCCCCCCCAAAGACACCGCTCAGGTGAAAAGCCTGCTTTTAAAATTGTACTCGGGTTAAAGTGTAAATGTATTAGCAGGATTATTCCGGCCCAAACGTTAAAGTGCCCTTAATGTATTATCATATTTCTATATTATTATATTACTAAATAGTCAACACGTTGGCAGCATTACTATTGTAGATAATTTGACCCATTTCAGTTTGCAAGCGATGTTTGGTGTGTGCTTGTTAAAGCTTTCCACCTTCTTAGTCTGCATTGTAGCGAGTAACTAAATGTATAGAGTAAAAAGTTGTCATGTTTCCTACTTCCTACATACTAAAATTATTTAGACGATTTTCATGTTATATATACTTCTAATAATGTAAATCATATTTCTGCTGATTGAGTGTTCCTAAAAAATACAGAATTAAACTTGATATACTGGAAACAGCCTGTAAAATGTCCAACAAGTAAAAAGAAAACACAAATCAACCAAAACAACGGAGGATATAAAACACTTTCCTCAAACGAAGCTCCATCTGAGTGTTATTTTCAAAGTTTTACATTTTAAGAATCACGGTACAACATGTGAGGACTTCCTCAAGCAAACCCACGTAGAGGATGTTGTTTCATATTAGCGAGTATTATCATTACGTGCACACAGTACTTACTTCCCTGGTCATTATTACAGACTATTTCCATTACAGAGTGAAAATCCACAATCAGAAGTTTCATTCATCGTATTAAAAGCTCCACCGGTGCTCTCTAGTTTTGTGCACGTCGGATTAGATGTTGTTAAATATCCTCAGGGAAGCAATCAGGTGTTTTTAAGTTAAGGGCAATTCCCTCGTCTGCTGACAATCAATAAAAAACACAACGCGTGGGGACTGTAATGGGGCTGGCGTATAACCCGCTCTGACAAATTAAGGCAAGTCGTGTTTTTTCATTACTTACACATCCGTTTTCATTTTTCCCATCAGTGGCAGCAATTAAACAATGATTCCTTAAATTAGTCATTGATTTTCTTTTCTTTTTTAGCAATGGTGTCACCTTGCAGAAGGAAATAATAACTTTAAGGGAGTTCTTTTTCATTACTGCCAGTCTTGTAAGAGCAGAAACAATTCACCTACATGAAAAAGTGGTGTTTTAAATTAGCCATTGATTTTTCCTCAGGTGTCACTTTGGTTAAATGCTTTGTGGTTTCTCTCCAACCTGGAAATTGACAAGAGGCCATAATCTATTAGTCCTTCGCCTGGAGCCTTTTCTTCACTTCTAGTATGTCAAAGTTTTTATACAGTTTTACAATCAAAATCTCTGTAATAATCAAATAAAAATGTGCAATTTTCTTTTGAGAACTAACGCGTTTCCATCCTCGTGCAAATCCCATCCCCCACACGAGAACACAGACAAACCAAACTCAGACCAGATTCTTTTTTTAATGCTCAGATCAAACAAAAACAGGTAAAAAGTCAAAATAATAACAATAAAAAAAGAAATCCAGAATAGCAGGTTGTAACTGCCGCACTTATTCTTTTTTAAAATACACTTACAATTTGAAGCAGCAACAAAATGTGCATTTACCTGATTATACAATGGAACATTATTTCTGTTGTAACATGAATGTGTTTTTCATCACATAAGACTAAATATTCCTTATACTTTTTTAAAATTTAATTTGACCAAAAATCAAAGTCAAAACAAAAATGTACACCTCTTGTTTCATCTGGAACAAAACAGTAATCAAATCAGGGAAATATTTGACTTTGTCTTTTTTTTTTTCTAGGTTTTTTAATTCTTAGGCCGATAAAATCTTTTCATCTTCATTTTGGGGATGCAAATAATCCTGCGTGTATTGGCTGCTGTGTCCACTGACTGTACATACACTTCCACCTGTAATCCATCAAGAAAACTACAAAGAAATGCTGCCGTCCTACAGCGGCTCGGAGCTTTATTGATTTATCCTTAAACACAGGCCGTATTTTCATCTGCACAACCCCGTGATGCATCCTGGTTTCTTTACCTCACTGCCCCGAGGGGCTTCACGGAGAGAACGAACCCTGTCAACAACGGCAAAATAAGCTCTGCAGGCCGACTGGACGATGGGGGTCGAGATCATTGAGGAGTGAGCGGGTGCTTCTCTTTCCTCGCCGCGTTAGTCTATAATCACGTCCCTTCGCCACGTTGCCAGTGTTCACTTTAAAGATGAGCATGAAAGTACGGGACGGCTGTTCCAAAGTAAAACAACAACCAGAAGCGATCGTCCTTCGGATGAATCGAGTCTCTTTCGCAGGTGAGTCTTAAGTGTCAGCCCTCGGGTGAGCACGAGTCCTGTCTCACCGGGGCGCCACATGCTTGGAAACCATAACAAAAAAACCCAACAATGACTCCCACGTTAATGTACAAACATAAACAACGGCTAAAAAGCCAAACCACGCAGCGGGGCCCTGGCAGGTTAACGCCGCGCTTCCTGTCCATAAAGTGCACTCTCCGTCCCGCGGCTTGAAAAGAAAAATAGAAAGTGTGTGTGTGTGACAGAGAGATATGGGGGAGTTGCCGCTGCCTGTGTGTGTGTGTGTGTGTGTGTGTGCGTGTGTGTGTGTGCGGGGGAGGCGGGGGCGTTAATAAACATAGCCTTCGCTGTAGGGGTGCGGCGGGCAGTACGGCGCCTCCTGTACGTAGGCCATGTTCTCGTCAAAGTGCGACAGCGGCACCGTGTCCTCCTCGTTGATCTGCCGCTCCATGTCCGTCTTCAGCACCGGCCGCTGGTTGTCGGGGAACGCCATGGAGAACAAGGCCTCGGGGTCGCACACAAACTTGTAGACGTATCTCTCTCCGGCCACCTGGGAGGCAGAGGGGGGGGACGGGGGAGTGAGGAGGCCTTTGGTTTGGTTTTTTAAATAAAGATGCACTATTCACAAAATGTCCTTACTGAAACGGTTTAGTCTTAAAAATGGCTCAAATTATTTATTTTCTCCTATTATTGGATCGGTTCTTAAATCATGGTTGAATTTGAGTATCAATTAGTTGGGCTCGGGGGTCATTTTAATAAACAGATTTTAAAACACAGGACCGACTGATCAAGAATAAGGTTTAGTTTGTTGATCTTTCCAGTGAAACCAGTCCACTGCCCCACCGAAATGACACTGGGAATGTGATTAGTTACACGTGTGTTCACCCTGCATCTCACTCAGGCAGGTTTAGAGTTTGTTCGCACTTTAAAAGCATTTAAATGAGGATTGAAAAACTCCCTTAACCTGAGTGCTGTTGGTTTAATATATTTAATATATAAAATATATTATATTTATATATATAAAAGTAAATATATCAGAGTACATTGCTGCCAAATATTTACAAGAAGAGCTCAGAGTAAATCAAGGCTTCAGAACCTTGATTTTCATTGAGTTCAGTGTTTGAGAGGCTCCGCCCCTTTAAATGGCTTGGGGCGGGGCATTAGCACAAAAAATATAAATCTTCACAATTTGGTGCAAAGCCGAACAAAGAAATAGATTTCATTTTAATGTCTTTACTTTTTTATTGTCTCATAATGTCTCCTTTTACCTTTTGCATGATTCCCTTCTCGTAGTAGTAGCGCAACGATCGGCTGAGCTTGTCGTAATTCATCGCCGGTCGATTCTTCTGTATCCCCCACCGGCGTGCCACCTTCGCACCACACATGGATAAACAACACAAAGGCGCGTTGGTAAACAGAAACAGAACAACACAAACACGCAGCGTCTTGACCGATTCCTCCCGGCAGCTGTTAGCGTTGGACAAACTTATTAATCCATATTTTCCTAATAACCGTCATTAGAGCGCGGCCCAGCCTCGCCAGACCTGACCGGGGACGTGTTCATTAGGAGCTTGTCACACACCCAGCCGAGGAGGCAGCAGATGTTGCAGCACCTGTCTAGCAGACCGCCCACCACCCGGGCCCCGCCGTCCAAACCTGAAGCCCCCCCGAAGCTCCAGCTTCTGCTCCGCAGAGCCCGCCCGGGTCTCCTTTCTGCTCCTCCACCGTTCGATTACCCAGAGCCCTTTTCTTTTCTTCTCCTTGGGGAAGTGGGCGAGCGAACCCTCGTCCCCTCCGAAGCGAGCGCGTTCGGTCACCTGACGGCATGAATGGAACCCCCTGTTGGCTGCAGCTGGCCCGAGCCTCTAGACGCCGTCGGTGCTGCGTGGACCGCTGCCACGTAACCCCCTCCCTCCCCCCTCCCCAACCCAACCTTCAACGCCGGCAACCTGCATCCTCCTCCATCAGCGAGCGGCAGTGACTGAGCCCCAGTGTGTGGGATGCGGGCGCTCACAGACCCGGCCTGTGCTTCCATGTCAAAAGGCCCAACCGCCAACGTGGGTTATGTTTGAAGGAACACGGCCTGTGAAATATTTAGCACATCGCTGGCCTGGATGGATGTGGCTGGGTACGAGGTACTTCTATATACATATGCATTTTAAATTTAAAACAAGAGTAAAGCTGTATTGATGAAAAGTGACCATTCAGACTTCCTCACAAAGCCCGATCCATTGTCGAGACCACAAGAATTCAAAGTAAAACCTTTTCTCTCACCTCCTCCGGCTCGATGAGTTTGAACTCCATGCCGCGGCCGGTCCAGGCGATGAAGTGGGAGTTGGACGGGTCGTCCAGCAGAGCCACCAGGAACTGCCAGAGCTGCAGCGAGCCTCTGCGCTGGTACGACGGGCCCTCGCGGTAGAGGCCCGACTCCTGTTTGATGTCCCCTGCAGGACGCACAACGGACCGTGAGCTCCAGCCACAGAGAGGGAGAGGGGGTGGGGGGGGCAGGTTCTTCCCGAATCAGTTTTATTTAACATTCACATATCTGCAGTACACCTTTAAGCTGCACGAGGGGAGTTCCGGATATTGTAGAAATTTTCAGCATTAAATCCGACATGAAAAGCTTTTAGTTAAACTGGCTAACTTCACCCAATGCATTTAATTGCACTTATTTACAAAGCTAGCGCTACGAAAAATAATGCACCATGACTCGTAGATACCCCACAAAATGATGTTTCCCATTCAATCATGAGGGAAGAAGCATGAAGACATATTTGCGTAACTTCCATTAGTTATGTGAATCCAAACAATGTTGTTTTCCTAAGTATTTTTGAAATAACACACTGATAAGACAAAAGCCGGGATTGAAAAAACGTAGGACTCTTTATAAAAGGGCTTGATTACCTGTTCAAGACAAATAGTCAGGAACGCTCCTTTATGCAGGAAAAGGCTTCATAGATACTGGTTGTGAACTGGGTCACTATTCTTTGTGGAAACACACCTGTTCCAGCACAACTAAACGGGTTTTTTTTTTGTTTTTTTAAATGTAAGATTTCAAAAGATCTCAGGGAGAACTCACCTTCGACCTTTTCAGGCACCACGCAGGTGTCGTCGTAGAAATGCCTCGCCGCTTTGTCGAACAGACAACCTAGAGAAGCAGACGATAAGAGAGTTTGACAACACACTCGGCCCCAGAGTCAAAGTGCACGACCGCAGCGTTCGCCCGGCTCGCCGGCGGTACCTTCGGTCCGGTTGGCGTGAGCCAGGTAGCCGTCTTGCCGCAGGTAGACAGAATGGCAGCTAGGCACTTCTGCTGAAAGCCACAATGGGAGGAGTGGGTGTTAAAAAGGGCCCGCAGGCAGCGCGAAGAATCCCACCTCGGTTATCTGAGAGCCGGCTCACTCAATGCACCAGTGGCTCTGATTAAAGAACGGGCCCTCCAGCATCGGCCCCCCCCGGCTCACCGTATCACCCCGCTAATACCCGCCGACGGCAACTCCACTCAGAGGAAGATTTACTACCGAAACACAACGCGAGGGGCTCGATGTGAAGCTTTTTACGGCTTGATTTCTCCTCTCTGCGTGTCTGACGTGAACAAGTTATTTTCTCTCATTTAAAAATAAATAAATAAATAAAAGGACCCCGTTTTCATGTGAAAACACACCAACGCAGGTGAGTTTTACATAATGAAATAATTGATTGAATGTTCCAAGTAAAAAAAAAAATAATGCAAAATATTGGTGGTAACTCGAGGAAGGTTAACTTATTTATTATATTCATTTATTATTTTTTTTTAATTTTATTATTAAGACTAAGCAAGAGATCAAATGTTCATCTGGATTCCCTGAAATTTCAATAATATTTTTTAAATAAATAATACCATTTCACAAATTTTTAACTACTAGTTTTTCATCACGCCTTTCTCTTAAGAGGAAGCCTTTATTCAAGCTTAATTTACTGCACTGTGCAACACGCTCGTGATCAAAGAAAGGGCCAAACAGGTTACAAAGCCGATGTTCAATAAACAGACTGAGGCCCTTCATTTAGGCCCATAAACATTTCTCTGAACTTCATCAAAGTAATGGGCTTGTAGAGGAAATTGCTGCTAATGAAATTACCAGCTCCCCTCCCATCCTTTGCAACAGGCCTGCTCCCGTCAACATGCCCCACTGTGACTTATAAATTCACTGTGATGCTCCATCTTGGATCTACAATGACAGTACGGGACAGTGCGCACCAGACCACTACGAACCAAATACACCTCCTCTCTGCATGTTCACTCCCCATAGTGTGTACTGTTGAACTCCATGTTACAGATGTTCTCTTTGTGAGTCACAGCTTACATCCTGACTAGCTTTGAAACAACATGTTAATCCATAACCATTTTCATCATTGATTAATCGTTATTGAGTAAAAAGTTCGCAAGCTTTCTTAAATGCTATCGTCTCTTGTTTTTATCATTGTGAAGTGATTACATTTTGGCTGTGCAAGATTTAAAACATGAATTCAGACAAAATGAATGATTGGGTATAATAAAAAAATAAAAGATCAACAAGATTAATGTAATGTAATGTTAGATGCAGCTTCTGTCTGACGTATTCACCGCTAAGCCTGGAAGCTACAGAATGGGTCTTTTTAGAAGTCGTAAAAACTCAATAGACACATCCGTGGCAAAGTAAACTCATGAATGAGTGGGGGGAGGACCGGATCGGTCTGGGTCCGGACTCCCGCCCCCCCCTCCGGTCCTCTCTGAATGAACCGAGCAGTCCAGCGCGTGTCCATTCACGTCCTCCCGTTCGCTCGCTTTACTCTGTGACTGAAGGGAGTGGACGAGCGTGGGAGGGCGGACTTTGGATTGGGACCAGGCATAGCCGGCTCCCCCGCCACCCCCCTTTCCCCTTTCCTATTAGAGCACCACAGGAAATGGCGACCGGCACAGACACCCGGCCCAACCAGATCCCCTGCCCTAATAATGGGCAAACTCAATAAACGCCCCCCCCCCCCCCCCCCCCCCCCGTCTTCTTCTTCCTCCTCCTCCCACATCTTCTCCCATTCCTGAAATGATAACGTTCGGGCAGCTGCCCCCCCCCTCTCCCTGTCAGCCTCTCACCTGAGTCGTAGGTGAAGTCCCGCGGCTCCTGTTTGATCATCATGGCCGGGTACGCGTGGGGCAGCGGCGCCCCCATCACGGCCGGGTGTTCGAACAGGGGGTCGGGGTACTCCTGCTTGAAGCCCTGAGGAGGGAAGGGGATGTTGGGCTCGGACATCTGCCTGTGGTAGATGGGCCGGCTGTCCCGGGCCATGGTGGGCGGGGAGGGGAACGAGTGGCACGGCTCGGAGAGCTGACGGCGAAATCTGAGGAGGAATACGGAGTCAGAGGATTTGTTATCAGCCGAGACAGAAGGAGACACGAACTTCACTTTGTTTCCTTCAGCATGGTCACAGAAGAAAAACATAGGAATGCAACAACAGAACAGAGAACCCTAAATCATATGAAATGAAAGGCCAAATATTAGTTACAAGTACTGCGAAGTCTTTTGGAATAAACATTCGCTTCTTCTGCAGCTGTGAGTCTTTTAAACCTAAAAAGAGGTTTCTCAGTGGTTCCCAACTTATGGGTCAGGGCCCCTACAAGGTGTGTCAAGATGTATGTGAAGGGTTATGATGACAATACTTTTTCATTATCACTGGATACTTTTACCTCCTTCGGCTTCTGAAATTATTCAGTGCTGGAGGGTCACATGCTGTTGCATGTTGTCGCTTTATTCTAAACAGTCGCAAGCAAAAAAAAATTTAATTCGGAATAAAAGTAATTACTTTTACAGTTTGGTGAGTTCAGATTCAGACGTCAGATAACATTTGATGCGGTACGCTGGCTCCTCCCACTAAAAACAATGAGATTCTACAGAGACTAAAACGATCCCGTCGTGATCTCCAGGTGTAAAGGAGGATGTGAAAGCAGCCTGCGGTACCTGTGGTCCATGGAGTAGGCGCTGTCGGGGAGCGGCTGCGAGGCCGGTATGTGGGCGTAGGTCCGGTCCGGTTTGGGCGTCGGGGCCGCCGTGGGCGAGGCATGGTGGAGGGGGGACACCGGGGTGCTACAGGGGGGCGTCACTGGGCTGGAGGGCTTCATTCCTGCAGGCTGCTTCTGCTCATAGGCACTGTGGAGAAATGGAGGGGAGTCAGATGCGGCGAGGGTTCAGGTTTGAGGTGCACACATGGAAAAGAAGAGCTTTCATGAGGAGAACTGCGTATTTTAATTACATAAGTCATCACATGCTTTCTGTTTTATCTTACATGTTTTGGAATAAGGCTTTATCCATATGTTTGTGCATCAGATTCTGTTGTTGACGTGCTTTACGCAAGGTGAGGTAAATATGGAAGAAACTACGGATGAAAAGAAAAATGCTCAACAGAAGACAATTGTGGGATAGAGGGATATAAAATGTTATATTGATACTTTTATTTTGAAAAGCAACAAATCTTTTCCAAAAGATGGATTCAAACTCATTTAGTTTAGTAGTAACGGTTGCTTTTCGCTCTTCGCCATGTAGCGTTGGTGTGTGTCCTATATTCTCCTTTGTCTGCCACACATTTGTCCTTCTTTGAATTCCATCAGCTCAGACGCTTGTTTCAAAGGATATATCAAGACAAATCCCACCCCCTTGGCCCACACTGTGCAGGTTTTAACGTAAAGCGAGCCCTGCCAAACGTTGGACTTGGCTGATTGTTTTCATCACCAGGTGAGCAAATGAATCACGCATATGATTCATCACTTCTGAAACCGCTCCTCTCTGCATTGAAGGTCATTACCAGAGCATGCAAAGAGAATTCATGTTCATGTGAAGTAAAAAAACAAAAAAAAAACATGCTTTGGATTTATTTGAATCATGAGTTCCTGAAGCATTTCATTTTTAAGCGAAGGCCGACATATAACTAAAAAGTTGCTGCTTAAGGACAAAATCATGAATGAATCATCCGGGTATCTTTTTAAAGTGACCAAATCTCAGTATGTGTAAAAAGCGTTTTAAAAACAGGCGTACTTAAAGTACATCCCGGTGCCCACCTGACGTTGAAGGGGCACTTCTCTCCATACTGGAGCTTGAAGGGCCGTTCCTGACTACAGTTGGAGCTCAGCTCTGAACACGGGCTGTGCAGCTCCCTCTTGATCTTCAGCTGCAGTCCGTGGAAAGCCACTAGACAAGAGAGAGGGGGGGGGGGTAGTGCTCAGTATATTTTTGCATAGGTTTAGTGAAGAATAAGCCCGTCAAATAGCATTCAGACTCTCATTGGACAAGGAAAAGCAGTATTTTGGGGAAAACTAATCACTCCGTGCTCTGCAGAATCATTCACAAAAATCAGGAGTGTGTGTGATTGAGACAATTCATGTTGGATAAGTTCAAAAGACGCTTGCGAAACATCCGCCCACCCACAAATCTGACTCCGCCGACACAAAACCACTCACTCCAAATGCCATTTGTTCAGCCTTTAGCTCCTGACAGCGACTCTTTTAGTGAAATATGACATGTCATAAAGCTGGATGTCAATACGCTCCAGACGTCAACAACGGGGCACATTGATCCGGTCGGGGGCGTCGGGTCGGGTGGGGTGGGGGCATTTCTGCGCTCTCTGCCTACACAGTGAGCCCGGTGCATCGGAGAGGCTGTTAAGTGCCTGATCCGTCCTGATCAACATGCCATCATCTCGAGTCATGATCAGCGCTAATGCAATTGGCTGCGCTTCTGATGAAGAAGCCAGTCAGTCAGAATGAAGTCGGGCTCGGGTTGCAGAGGGGGGGGGCTGCACACGGAGTGGCGGTGAGTCTGTCCCTGCAGCATCCAAGCGTAGAGGGACTGAGAGACGGCCTTTTTTATCCCAAAGCGGGCGTGAAATTGTGAATGGAAGAAAGAAAAAAAAAAGGGTGGGGGGATTCAACCACTCCCGGTTGGGATAAAGTGCATTTACATTCGACGACCCGGAGACACAAATCTGCGGTTTGGAAAGTCTTTTTCTTTTTGGTGCACCATCATTGCGGCCGGTCTCTAACGGGCGCCAGGAGCTGACGGAGGAGGATGTTTTGGGGAGTTTTCTCACGGCTGACTGACAGCTGCCGTACGAGCAGGGGTCGATCTGCCAACAGCCCATCTGAGGCGCAGCCGGGCTCCCGGGTGGGGGGGGGGCCCACATGGGCCGGGCTTCGACAAAGCTCAGGGGCTGTTCGCAGCCCTCGCTGGGGGCCTGACCTTTTCCGGGTCATCGATCAGAGGTCAAAGAGACACTTCCTGAGGGGAGACCTTTTGACGGCCGCGGCCCGGCGGAGCCTCGTTAAGGGCCCACGCAGCCCAAACAACACCCGTTGTTATGAATGTTCAGTGTGGCTTTTCACCCGCCTACTGAAAACACACGTTTATTTATTGTCCTCCGGGTTCAGAACGTCTCCCCTGGCTCACGCCAGGCTTTTCTTCATTTAATCCACATCAGGCCTTTAATTTACATACACCTGTAAAAAAAAAAAAAAAAGTGCCACGTCACACCGGCTATTAGCGACAGCTTGGCGTGTGTGCTGCAGCGGAGGGCCTTGAATTAGAAATGGAAATGTCACAATAGATTTTGTCAGTGGGGTGCCAAGGTACACAAATCAATAGCGAGGGCATTGCCTCTGACTAAAACAGAGACTTCCTTTTTAGTCCAAAATGTCATGGGCGTCACGGCTTGATTGCTCTCATTATCTACATATTGATTAGCCAGGATGGTACGGTGTTTAAACGTAGAAGCAGTTAGAACAATTACTGCCTCTATTTTGAATGCAAACATTTGTTGATGTGTTTTTTCCTCTAAGCCATTAACTGAAATAGTCTGCAATTTTCTTTGATCTTTGATTTAGAGATTCACCGTGAATCTTAAAAAAATAAAATAAAAATCTAATCTTCATACATTTCCTCAATTGAATTTTAGCCGCCATTTTTCTGGTAATCATTTTGGTGCGCTGTCAAACAACTCTTGGCCCTAAACGTTATATATTCTCAGGTACGAGTGGTGTGTTTTGGCAGAACTGTAGCCAGCGTTTGGCAGATATCTCTCTGGTCCATTCATAAAAAATAAAAAAAACACGTCTTTCGGCAACAGTGAAAAGCCCTCCGTTCCATTTTCACCTACGGTAGGTGACCGCCTTTGCTGTTAAATGGCGGATGCTCAGATCTGCTGGTAACGTGTGGCCTCATTTTACACCTCAGCTACTACTTCGGTCCCTGCTAAGTTATGCTAATTGTAGGCATCTGTGTTGGAGTTTGAGACAAAGAAAAATGTTCCTTCTCCTCATTCAGCCCGAGGACACTTTCGCTTCCAGGCCGCTCACATGCTGCTTATGTGCTGCACGGATGGAGCGCAAAGTCGACGTTGAGACGAACCGCCATGGCTTCCTGAGTGATGAATCGGAGGCCACGAAAAAATAAAGAATAACACCCAGGGAAAGGAACTTCAAACCTTTACTTTACATTACAATTCTTGAAGGCCCATTTGTTTATTTATTTTATTATTTTTCTTCTGTCTGTTAAACAGACTAGCAAAACTCATAGCCTACAATTGTTGAAATATTATTGTGTTATTACTAATAAGAATTCAATAAAAACAGATATACTAGGAAAAATTATGTGTATTTGACTAGATTCAGTTTTGTAAAAAAAAGATTCTGCAATAAATGTAGCTCCTGGTTTGCTATCGCTACCAATTAGCATATAGCACACTGGATAAAAAATGTTTTATTTTATGCTTTAAACATAACCAGAAAGATTTTTTTTTTGCTAAATGCTAACTATCAAATTTGTTTTTAACATTTACGTTTAAGAAAAATTACTTTCACATTCATGAAAAATATATTATTGTTACTACCCTAGTTATTTTGACTAATAAATTAGCAAAGAGAGCTAACTAGCTAACAGTAAGGCTAAACTTCACTTGAAATTTGAACAATATATAATAATAATTAACAATTATATAAGAGCGACTGACAGTGAATCCAATAAAGAGGTCACTGATATGTGTTTACATTTGTGATAAGGGTACAAAATGTCCTATCGCGGCCAGGCGGTGCAGTCTTTAGCAAAGAAAAGCAAACGAGAGTTGGTCAACGGAGCTCTGTGGCACGGAGGAATAAATGCTGTACGCCCGGATACTAATAATACTTGTAGGTAAGAAAAACTTTTGGTCTTTCCGTGGTATTTGTTGACAGTCAGCAGCACACACGGAAGCTGATTTCAGCGGTGACATTTCCCCCCGCGTGTAACAACTTCCGTCCCGGCTCGCTGTCCTTCTCTCCCCACTCTGGGACACGTCTCCTCGCGGCTTCCTCTCTGGCTCTCTACCTCCCCGTCTCTCCGTACCGGTGAAACCCATATGGGAAAGCTGCCGGCTGGGACGCCTGCGTGCGCGCCCAACCCAGTGCCCTCACCCTCCCGCCATCTGTCAGTGGCTCTCCAGTCTGCCAACAGGACAATTCAGATGGTCAGCAGTCTCCTGCCACCGCGGCCACCCACCCCGGCTACCTCTGAAGGACAACGGGACAGTCTCGGTGACCTCTGGTTCTCTACCGTACGCCGCGACGCTCCTCCGCCTCGGAGGTCCGGGTGGGCCAATTCACACCAAGCAGTGGAATATCCAACCGAATAATGAATGGAGACAATAAAGTAGGATGAGGATTGTCTTTTTTTACTCCTTAACTCCATTTTAGCTTCTCTTGATTCAATCTTTAAAGGTAATATGGCCGTACATAAATAAATAGGTAGAGAATATTTAAAAAGCTTCAGAGACGTTTGAAAAAAGAAAAGACACAGCTCCCCTTCTGGTTTTTAATCTAAGGAACCTTCTTAAGGATGTCAGGCTGTCATTTGGCTGATGAATTTTTAGATTTAGCTAAATGCCGGACCGATTTGTGCTTCATCTTGCCCAAATGTTTTCCAAAAATCTAAAAGGTTAGCAATGAAAATCCCCTTGTGACCTTTCCTCTTTGTTCAAGTACATTTCAGCTCTCAACTTTGTTTCCAGGTTAGACGGCGTTGAGGACATAGGGAAGACTTGTTTTGTGTCTTTTCTCACAGTTTCATGGGCGTTTTGGCTCATCTGAAAGACATGTGCTCGCTCGGGGTCCCACTGAGCTCCACTCACTCCATTTCTGTCCCCACCTTGGCACTACTTCCTCCAGAAGTGGGCCGTGCCAAGTCACCGGTTAGTGTGTGCAGCCGGCGTGCACAACCAGGTGAAGTACGACTAACCACCTAATCCTTAACGCTGCGAGAGTAAAAGCAGCTCAGGTCAAAGACATTTCTCTCAAACTGAGAAAAGTGAGAAGGATCATTTTGAAAAAAATAAAACAGAATTTCTTTCTGAAGCGGGATATAAAAAAGAAGAAGAAGAAGAAGAAGAAGGAGTAAATAAAATCCTGCTTGCTTTCATACTGTATAACAGGAGGCCAACAAGCCTTCAACTGAAGAGGACAAATACAGTATTGACTAATATTAAACTGCCGGATTTAGAAAATCTAACCACACTGGATGGTTGACACAAAAAGCACTTCAAGGAAAGGTCACGTAGGAGTACGATTTTGTTCCAAAAAATAATTTTCAAAAACAGCCATCAATTGACTACCTGAGTTAAAAATATCACCAGTGAAAAAAAAAAAGATCTGCCACAATATTTTGACGTTCATGCAAATAAATCACAGTGCAATAATATCTCAGTGGTGGTGAGAGGCACATGAGCGACAGAAAGCAGGGAGAGACGGATATGGAGACACAGAGAGCCCCCCCACCCCCCCAAACCCTCCCACCCATCTGCGGACCTGCAAGACTGCTGCAGCTCTCCAGAGAGCATCTGTGCGAGCAAAGGTGAGGGTATTGAGAGACACGTAAAAAAAAAAAAAAAACAGGCACTATCACCAGCGCCGCCGCCGCACTCGCTCTCCCCGAGAACGAACACAAGCAGCCGAGACGAGTGAAGAAAAAAAAAGAAAGAAAAAAAGTATCACAGAAGTTCACACACACAAAAGCATGCACACCAACACACGGGAGCAAAGCGACGTATGGTCTCTTACTCACAGTTTTCAGTCTGGAAGTCTGGAACGAACTGCTCGTCATTGTCGGGAACTTGAGCTGAAGACACGAGCAGAGGAGAAGAAAGGCAGTGATTGTTTGTGATGTAGATGGACAACGCAGCATTGATCACAGCGCGCTGCAGCCCGGTGCTCTGCTCTGGCAAACGCTCTCCCGGGATCTCAGCTCGGGCTCATCCCGGCGTTGTTCGCCTCCTCCGTCGGTTAGAGGACACCAACAGTAGGTTGAAATAAGGGGTATTTAGTTATTGCTTGTTGCCGATGTTGTGTAAATGAAGTGCCATACGGCTTCATGTGCTTCAACAGCCCAAAATGTTATCAAGTCATTTTTATCTATAATTGAATTCCAGGAGGGTTATTTTAAACAAGATAATTTTTTTGTGCATCAAAAAAAATGTCCTAATAACAAAATAAATTTGGGATGAAATGAGATTTCAGCAGCCAAAACATTCCCGCCACAATTCATTCAGAAGCTTTCTATTGTTTTACACAACCTTCCTCTGCAGATCAGGCTTGTTCAGATGCAAACACAAATTTCCATTTTTTATTTTAAAAAAACCTTTAACAATCTGCCTTTTGTGTCTAAAAGAATTCCTTTTTTTCTAGTGAAAAGAAATCAGATCGATTTTAATTTTTTTTAAAATACTCTATAATAGAAAAAAACAACTTGTGAGCTACCAGGAAATTCACCCAAATTACACAATGTGCCAAATAACCTTGAAATGTGATGAACAATACGTCCCCGTTTTCCGCCTGCCTGCGAGGTTTTTAATACGTTGCGTTAGGGGACCGTCTACTTCCTAATTCCACTTCCTGAGGTCGCCTGGCCCATCGACTGCTCCGCGGCCCCGGCTCTCGCTCCGCGCCAGCAGCCAAACACCCATTGTTAACAGTATCTAATTGGCTTCCTCCCTACTGGTGAATCCACCTGTACCTGCCGCGTTAGGTCTGTTCCAGACCCTCCGATGCTTCGCCTGCTTCAAAAACGCCCCTTCACTCTCAGGCTAATGCTGAAATAACGAAGCCCGCTCCGCTCGGGCTCCAATTAGGCACTTACATATTTATATCACACATATTTACACTCGGTGACAGAATCTGCGTGTCCCTCAAGCTCGTCTCTGTCTCTCTCTGGCGAAAGGCAAAGAGAGATTTAAATGTGTCATTAGCACGTCTATTTATACACACAATGAGGTGGATCTTCATTATCACAGGTTGGTAACATGTCTCGACATGTCTAGAGATTTGATTTTCCATTTCTTTTTCCCTCTTGATATGAAGGTTGTTCTTTCTCGACAGAGGTGCGAATTGGGGAGAGTAAACAATCAACAGATCAAGAGGCGAGTTTGTTCCGTATTTTACGACCGTGTTGAGCGGGTGAAGGGAGCAGCAAACAAAAGACGTAGAATGATGTCTCTCCAGAGGCCTCAGCCCTGCATTATATGTTGTTTTAAATACTATTAGCATTTCAGTCAGGCTGCAAAGTCGTTTATCTGGGAAACAATTTTGCTCTTTTACTGCACTTTGTTAGATTCCATTTAAATGAGATTTAAAACAAATACAAAGAAAATCCTACTAAAGACCTTCCAAAAGCATGAACGCTTTGACTCTTAATCATTTTTTTCCGCTTCTCCTCAGAGCAAGAATGAAAATCACAGAAACAAGGGCGGAACCCACAAACGGCTCTCGTCCCGTGACCGCAACGCAAACAAACTTTCAGTCACTTCAGAAAACCTAACTGGGAAAGGGACAAAGAGAGGAGCGATGAGACACACACACACACACACACAAAAAGGGAAAGGCAGTAGTGCTGGTGTCCAAAAAGGAAGTACAGGATGGATGAGTCACCGGCCTCAGTCTGTGAATGAGCCAGCTGATCTCTGCAACAAACTCCTGGGGAGGAACGGCAGCCATTCACAAAACAAGAACCCACCCGCCCTCTGCCCCCCGTCCTCACTCCACCGAAAAAACAGAGGGAGAAGGAGAGAAGGGAAAAGAGGGAGTGAGGTTAAAAAAAAAAAAAGGGAGAAGTTGTAAACATGAGGCCTGAGCGAGGGAAGCTATCGGAGGCCGAGCGATTACCGCATAAACAAAAGAAAGAAAAGGTGACAAAATAAGTCTTGAGAAGTATAAAGAAAAAGAAGCAGGTTGTGGGTGGAGGGCAGAAGTGGTCCGCGGGGGGTCCGCGCAAGTCAGAAGTGCCGCCCGTTCCTCATAATTCCTCCTCTCGTTCCAATTACCTGAACCAATAAATCTCAGGGACGGGAAGGTATTCCTTTTTCGTCTTAATGGACAGGAAGTCGTTCATTAAATCTACAGTTTTGAAGTGCACATCGTCAGGTTGATCCATGACAGGCAGAAGAACTGTAATCTTTAACGGTGATACCTCTTATCGGCCGCCGCTGTCTCTTTTCTCCCTTTGCATACTGAAATATTAAAACCGTGTCTTATTCTATTTTTTTTTCTCTTCACGCCCCGCGGTGTGCGCCACGCCGACACGTAATCTAAACCGCTGCTCAAATTTGGTCTCGACCGCTCCAATATCTGTTTCAATGCGGGCTTTTCATTTTTTTTTTTTTTTTTTTTATTCTTTCAGATTGCTCTGCAAGCATTTTCAAACGTGTTAAAGAATAGATGGAGCCTATAAATGATTTAAAGTCTTATTCACCTGTGTGAAGGCAGCGAGCTAAAGGCTCTCCAGACACTTTTCAAAGGGGGGGATGTATTACGACTCAAACTGTATTAAAAGGAAAAAGTACTGAAGTTGATTCAATTATACTGTGCACTTGAGAAGTCCACTTTAGGACTAGAATTATGGCTTTACAAGCTGAGCACTGACTGATGTGTTGAAGGCGTTTCACAGGTTGGGATTCTGCAAAAACCCAAAAATCAAAAACTCTAATTAAGTTAATTTGCACAGATAAATTGTTTTCTAATATATTTATATTCATTCCTTTTTTACAGTCAATATCTAAATTAAATTAATAATTCCAAATGCATTATAGACTAAAAAATAACTCAAACTGTAATTTTACACTTTACACTAAAACCAATTCTAAAAATGACTTAGTCCTTAACACTAACACACCATTATTTTCCTCTGTATAACATTATATGTTTAAAGTATGTGCAGTAAAGAAGAAGCTTGAGTTACAATTGAGACAATGAGTTGAAAACAAGATATTTTTTGCATTAGAAAAACTAGTAATTTGTTTTACTTTTCTTTTTTGATACATGCTGGAAAAGAGTAAAATCCCTCATTCCAAGCAGGTACGTTCTTTCACTTCGTACAAGTTGACACCGTTTGAAATCCAAAACAACTGATCTCTTAAAAACCCAACCTGCACTCAACAGACATAAACAACTTTCAGATTACATGCAATAGTCAAAGAGATTTGCATCTTAGTGAGAAGTACAAAGGTCAAGAAAGGAAACCACGTGTAGCATGCACATGCACATACAAACAGTCAACAAATATTCAACACTAACCAAAACTTCGGTGCTGCAGACACGCTGGAAAGAGGACACTCGCACTTAAATCCTGAAGCATCACGTCTCAGTTAGACCACACTGACCAAGTCTTGCCATTAGAGAAAAAAAAATTAAAAAGCAAAGAAATGGATAAATATATATATTTAAAAAAAAAATTGCCGCTTTCGGAGAAGGATTCTACCGTTTTAAAAAGATAAATTATAGATCCATTCTTTTTTTTTTTTTTTTTTTGGGGGCTGCCAAGAAATGAAACTGAAGACGACAAGGTGGTGATACAGCTGGAGCAGATAGAGAGGTGTGCTGAGAGGAAGCAGAGAGGGAGAGAGAGAGAGGGAGAGAGCGCAGACGAAGGAGCAAAAAAAGAGAGAGAGAGAGAGAGAGCGAGAGAGCGAGAGCTGGTAGGCTACAGCGGAGCTCTGGTGGAGGTGGAGGTGGAGGCGGCGGCTGGCGTGCAGTGCGTTAGCTCCTGCCAAAAGCAGAAGAGGCAGTGAGCGTCGGAGAGCCTTCTCCTGGTAATTTGTGATGACACTCTCTGGGTAGAGACGCCTCTGTCTCCCTCAAGACCCCTCGCTCACAGTCTCTAATGTATGCATGACACACAAGGTGCCTCTTCCACACAGGCTTTTAATTGGACTGCGACACAAGGCTTGTAACTCCAGGCAGCCCCCACCCCAACTCATCTCTCACAGTGCAATAATATATTTAATATATATATATATATATATTTTTTGCTCAGAATTTAAAATACTCACCTTCTGCCAGCCAAGTCTCTTGCAGCTGACTGAGGTCCTGGAAGAGCTCTGAAGGGAAGAAGCAGAGAACAAGGTGAAGCCGGTAAAAAAAACACACACACACACACATTTAACGCCCCGGAGGAGCATCAGAGAGGCCGATCTGCCGTCAGAGCCCTTTTGGATCTCAGTGGGCACGTGCGCAGCTAATAACAAGTCAATTTGTGTCTCTGACCACTGACGGAGGCTTGTGGGAATCATCACAGGCCGCTGTGTTGTAATTGAGATTCTCTAGTTAGCAGCGCAGGTGGCCACAAACCAATTGAATTTTGCTAAATGTTTAGGAGCCGTGAAATTAACTTCTCCCTCTGCCCTCTGCCTACCTTCGGTGTCCAAAGCCAAGTCGGACTTAATGAATTTTCTCTTTCTGTCATTTGCTGGCCTCTCGCAGCTCGTATTTCCGTGTGGCTTCTGCAACAAAGAGGAGAGACACAGATCAATGTGTTCCTTCCCTCACTGGATGCGGGGATTCTGCTCTTGGCCGCCGCAGCTCACGTGCAAACAAACACACTTCCAAAGCCATGCAAAGGGACCCGCCGCCTCTTCATCCGCCGGATGTAAATCAACAAGTTGTAACATGGTGCTGTGACCAATAACACAGTTTGTATAGTAGCGGGCACCTTGTTTAGCTGTTGATCTTTGATTATTGGATGAAACTTAAATGGTCCCTGAGGGAGAAATGAGTCTTGGCAGCAGCAGGAAGAGAGACAAGAGATCAGATCAGAAGCAATACAAGTATTACAGAAAAGAACAGAAACCAGAAAACATATTAAAGATGATGCGAGATGTCTGCATTTGTTACTGGAATTGCTCCCAAGTTTTTTTTTCTTCTTCTTTTTTTGGTCAATGACAACTCACTTTGGAGTTACAGTAAGGCACTTGCTGGTCGCGTAATCTATCCATCCTCCGCCTCTGTGGTCTTTTTTAATTGACGAGCGATCTGCAGTCTCCAGAGTCTCCTGCCCCCTCACCCTTGAGAGGGGAAAAAAAGAAAGAAAGATGGATGGAAAGCAGAAAGAGAAGAGGACATGAATGAACGTCTCATTCGTTGAGGGACCGTTCAGTTCGGGGGGGACCTCTTGCCAGCGGCTTAAGTGCGGAAATTGCCGACGGCACCTCCGGCGATGCTGCAGACTTAAGTTGACAAGCTGCAAATCTCGTGCGTAAAACGAGGAGCGAGCCGCTCCGGGGCGCGCCGAAATGTTTTACACGATGGGATTAACTCCTGCCGCACATGGCGAGCATGTGTGTGTAAAATGGGGGATGGTCAGAAAAAGAAGAACTAACATGCAACTTACCCTGCGAGCGCTTACAAAAAGATCCTCACCGGTCCCGGCTGCTGCTTTGCGCTTCTTCCCCGCCGCTCACTGCGCTGCTTACTGGCGGCTCGGCATCGCCTCCCGGGGCCTCCCATGGAAACCGGCCGCACTCCGCTTCCTATTGGTCGTCGATGCCTTTCACTTGGATCAGATGGCTGGCGGTCAATCACGCGCGGCCGCGGGCGGGCAGCGCACCGGCGGAGACAATGGTAACATTATGGTGCCGTGCTTTTTTTTTTAAACACATGAAAGAAAGGCTGGACTAATATATATATATTATATATACGCACCAAACTTTCTCACAATTTATCGTGTTTCTAAAGTCACAAACAAGCACCTGCACCCTCTTGTTCTCGCTCTCTCTCACGCACACAGACACACACACGCAAACACGCGCTCCACTCCCGGTGAAGTGCGTGTCCATGGTAACTGTGTTTGGAGTCTCGTCGCTCTCCTGCATGGAGACGTGTTCGGGAGGGCCCGGCGACCCGCACAAGGCTCTCACCTGGAAGTAGCGCTCGGGTCACCGGCCATGACTCAAGGGCAGCACGGCTAGAGAGTATCAGCGGACATATAATGAGTTACTTTATATAAGAGGAAATGTGCTAACACGAAGCCTGTAAAGCGGTCGTGCCGTTTCCCTGTAGCTTTTTTGGTTCACTGTGATGCTTGTATTCGCCGTACGTGAATGCAGAGGAGTAAAATACTGAAAGAGGAGGCATTAAAGTTTTGAATATTAACCAGAGTTGAACACAAGATCAGCAGTATATTCATGGCTAATGGATAGCATGGCTAGCTTACTTAGCAAGCTTGCTAGTTTTCAAAACATAATGAGACATTTAAATAACAATGTCACCATTGTCGACGTAAAACACAGCATATAAACAAGCATGCAAAACTGTAAGATTAAATTAAATTAAATAAATACGGATTAATTAACGTGTAAGTAACTTATTAACTAGCTAAATTAGCTAAGCTAACAAGTGACGTATGCTAGCAACGTGTAAGTTCTTTTTCGCCAGTTTCCTAAATCTAAAGAGCAACAGATTGTAAATGTTTGTTCTTTCTAAGACAATTTGACTTGATAAAGCATACGGAGATTTACCTTTCATGAGGACTTACCTTTCCTACTTAGATAATGACTTATTTTCTGACCCGACAGCATGTGTGTGTCATGAATCAAAAGTAACATGCGGAAAGGCCAGAATATTGGCCTACTATAAATGGGGTGCTAATTCCAAATACTTTATATACTGCATTGGTTGGCTTGTAAATGTGTCCTTTATTTGATCACTAAAACTTAATCTACAAGAATACATCATATATTATTTGTTGAGCATAGTTAGAAAAATAATATGATTCTGCAAACCTAACTACCTAAAGTTTTTAAATAAATGTATTTTGTGAGTATTGCACTCTGTCACAAATGAGAAGAAGCTTCGTTTTTTTTGTGTGACTGCAGTGGCTAAATTGTCATAAGAATATTTCCAAAGTGCATTAATCTACATAGATTTCCCTTTCACCTGTGCAGGAGAGATCTAGAATAAACCAGCGAAAGGGAACTTTGCTGTTGCATTACACACTTGACTGAGAGACAGATTTGTCGAAAGTCGGCTGTGGTCACATTGATGCCATCTTGGATCCACACAGGGTTCCATTACCAGCCAGGTGAAGTGGATGTGAACTGATATACTGTGTCACTTCTGCTGAACCCCCCTAGGACGGAGAGACGCAGTTCAAGTGCAGGCGTGCACCCATCTGACATCGAGACACGCAGTAAACAAAGTGCCACTCCACGGTAGGATAGAAAGATTTCTTTTGGTGTATTGACTCTGCCGGTGCTCTCGTAAGGCCCCATGGTAGGTTCCTGGAAGTCCTTGATTTTTTCCCCCCTTCTTTGGTTATTATTTGGCAAAAAATGTAATTACCAAAAAGAGAAAATTGTATTTATTACATCTACAGGGAAAGTATTCTCTCAAGGGGGCTTGCATATTCATCAACTGACAATCTCGCAATAAGTAATTTGATTTGAGAAATATTTGAATAGGTACAAATATAGTCAACATTGTTAGCACTTGCTTAGTAACAAATTAATGAAAATTAGATTACATTTCCTTCACAACCTGCAGTTAGTGACATTGTGGGCTCCATGGCAACATAGCTCCGACAGCTTGGGCGGAAGCAGTGGGGGGGCGGTGCTCAGTGAAGGGTCAATTAGCTGTCCTCAGCTACAGTTTAAAAGCTAAATCATGAGCTACAGTTACAAAGCCAATTTGTTAGCCACACCATATTGAATTAGCTGTCGTGAGCTACAGTTGGGGGTCTACCATTGCTTTGTCTCTCCTTCTCTGCTTTGTAGAATGAAGAACGAGCACAGCACCGAGTACGTTACAGCCGCCAGTAACTCGGCAAGTGTTGGAATTTCATGCACAAAAAGAAATACGACTTGATAATTATTGTTAAGGTTGATAATCTTCGCCTGGTAGCAAGCTACGTTTTAAGCTAGTTAAGGCTATTTTAGAAACATTTAAAAAATATATTTGTTGAAATTTTCTCAGACAGCAATATGTGGAATGTTAGGACAACAAAATGTTGGACAAAGGTCAATGTACAAATCATATTTAAAACACTTCAAACAAAAAAAGCTTTTAATATTTTTTATTATTACATCCATTATAACTTTTCCCATTCAACATTGGCAGGCAGTACTTGTTTTTAGGCAGAACAACATGGCGGTAGTTCTAGAGTAAAAGCATTAAGCGGAAAAATAAAAAATGCTGTGTACAAAAATACAACCTCACTGTACAAACGCAGCACCCTAAAAAGCAAAGAGATGGGAAACTCGTTGGATCCGTCTCCACTGGTGTATGGCACTTTTAATGACTGAACACATTTACCAAGTGTGTGTCACGCTGGTTGGTCACTAACAAATTCTCTAAGATGTGTGTTTGGTGGGACTGGATGAGATAAAACTACTTTTGTGTAGAAATCTACTGAATCACTACCATCCAGAATGATATTTTTTATTGGTATAGAGGAGACTTTTTTGTAAAAAGCTGCATCATTCATTCATTTATGTGTGCACGTTAGTGGCTGGGAAAAGCCTCTCGGAAATGTAATTATTGGATGAGATTGATTTTCAGTATTTCTTCTTTAAATCGAGTTTGTACATAAATTGTCAATAGTCATTTTGTTTTTAGACCTTAATTGGTCGATGCATGCTGTTATGCGCAGCGGACTGCAAACACTCAACCGTACAAATTGGAACAAATCAATGACCACTCAAACTGCCTCTTGTGAATATCCAACAATACAGTCACTGTAACAACATACAGTCCGATTGAACACAAGACTTTTTTTCTGATGCTTCTATCCACTTTGAAAGTACCTGAGAACCTGTTCAGGAAAAATACAGGATCTCATAAAAATGCAGCCATCTTATAAAGAATGATATGGTCAAACCGAGCAGCACTGAAGATGTAGATTCCAAAAAAAGATCAATTTTCACAAGTGTCAAAACAGATCTTGGTCCCTCGTGAGACAGAAAGTGTGCACCGTATTGGTAAAGCTGTCTGGAAAATCTCTCGTGCAACATAAAACAAAGAGTGTCATGCATTTTTCATGAAGATCAATAATCATTCCTAATCTTTTCACTGACTTAGCAGCAACACGGCAGATCAAAACGTGACAAGGATGACTTGCAGGAACCATTTAAGAAGAAAGCAAAATGTGATTCTCTGTCTTTTTTTACTACTTGAAGCCATTCACGAGTGAAACGCTGAAGAAATGCTGAGCAAACTTACTGAACACTTGGGAAAGATCAGCTGAAAGCTCTAGATATGTCAGCTTCGACAGCAGCAGCATCTTACTCTGTCCATCATGCGTCATGGGGTATGCAAATGTGAAAAAAAAACAAAAAAAATACTTAAAAAAAACATCAATAGCAGCAAAATATGAATAAATAAATAAATACATCATATCACAAAAAACACATTCATCAGTGTTTTTTTCCCCCTCCACATGCCACAGATCACAACAGCAAAAATAAAAACAGACAATTAGAAAATTGGACATCCCAAAATAGCTTCGGTATTTTTGGAGCTAACCTACTCTGCACGCCGCAGATCGAAGCGCCGGCCCCTAAACACACCTCGTTCCGCATTAACTAGGGCTTCTCTGTGACGCTTCCACGCACCCAACCCACAGTTTGTAACTCTGCTCCGGGCGGTCAACAGGCATCGGAGACAACCCTTCGCTAACGGGGCCGAGCAACCATCAACTTGAAGGCCGCTGCCCCTTAAAGCTCGAGAGGATTCGAAAAGGCCCCCGAAGCGATCAGTCTTTGCTCTCGGAGCGCGTCCGTCTTATGACGGAGGAGAGGAAGCTCCGGCACTGCGGCGGTCCGATCAGCATGGGGGCCTGGTTCTTGTGGACGATCTCGATCTGGTGTTGGAAGGAAGCGAAGATGAGATTAAGTTGCTGCAGGAGAGTACGAAAGGTACGTGAGGAAATGAGAGAACTGATGTTTGTCTACCATTTTGTCTCTTCTAATAACTTGTAATACCTCCTCTTCAGTCGGGGTTATGGTGCTTTAACTCAAGATAAACCTTTCTCTTAAGTTTTTTCCTTTTATCCTCCTATGTGCCAAAGAAAATATGGGTTGATGTCAAATGGGGCCTGTTTGGTCCTCAATGTGAAAAGGTTACAGGATTGAAGATCAATGCAACAACAAATATCATCAGGATCAAGGGCTTTCATATCAGGGACCTCGTTCATTATAGAGCTGCACAAAGAGTCAAAACGACATAATGGTGAGAGGAAATGCTACCGTCTGGATTACAGTCACTACAAAGGAAAGCTGGCACTTGTTGTTCTTGCCCTCTGACTCAGAAGTCGTTAAAGCTTCTTGTTGGCTCTCTACCATCATGAAACATGATTGAGCTCTAGGTTTCTGATGTGGATTACAAAAGACAAAAAAATCTTTTTGGGGAAGACACTGGTCACCTCAGGAGGCTCTCCGAGGAAACCCAAAATACATTTTGAGGATGGCTGAGCTCTGTTTTAAATACGCAACATCAAGCATCTACATATCAAAAGCCCCAGTTACAAAGCAATGCACCTCTTAGAAATAAAAAACAATTAGAACAAATTATTGATTTGTTGTTCCCGCTCACATCAGCCAAACTACAGAAACTAGGATGGTTTTATATTTGAAGTGTTTCATTTCATTTTTACCACAGCTCGCACTCAGTTATTAAAGAGCCAGTTATCAAAGAGACACAGATACATGTCATGTGTCACTTCAAAATGCAAATGGTTGAATGGTGTTAAATATGTTATGCACACCGAGGAACTGAGACGCATTTGCATAGTTGTTGTTGTTAATAATTAGTGGGTTAACATCCCATTTGAACTGTGGTGTTTTTGAATGGATTTAACAGGCCGCCTGATTCAAATTCAGCTCAGACAGACAGTATGAATAACTCGCCGTGGCAATCGTTGCAGCACAATTATGGATGGTCAGATCCTAACTTTGCTACATGGAGTTGTGCCAGCAGACACAAGAGCCCTCACAGGCCACTCGGTTTGTCATGCGCCGCTTTTCTTTAGCTTCCGTATGTAAATCTCAGCGGCCCTTCATCTGCAGTGGGGTGGTGATTAGAACTAAACATAAGCCTAATCAACGCAAACTAAGGAAATTCGTTTTGGAAATCAAGTGACGGAAGGGCAGACACTCGTCAAGGCACATGTTTGACATGTGGACGCTAAGAAAAGGCACTGGATTGATATTTTAAAACCTTGCTGGACCTCAATATATTTATCAATGTTGGTATTATTATCCCTTATGCAGTATTGCACTATTGAATGAGATTATTAATTATTATTCAAATCCTTCCACTCAAACTACAAGCAACTGGCAATGAACAAATTTAAAATGACCATTGTAATCAATAATAGCAGATTGTCCGGTATAAATAAGTAAAAGTAAGTTGTGTCTGGTAACATGAAACCACAACCATATTTTACACTCTGAAGTCATCGTCATGTCTGTATCAGTTCTTGCCTGAGGCTGTTCAGGTGATGTCACTTATTCTGGCTGATCAGTCTTCTGCTCAGGTTCACGTTGGGTGGAGATGTAAAATCTCCACCTGAGGCCACCAATCACCTCTGAAGCCTTGGGTGCACTTGAAATCGGCACAGTTTTGCTGCTATCCCAATTAATTCCGGCGGAATGGGTGGTATCAGGTCCAACACCGAAATCAAGAGTTCTCGTCATTAAAAACAGGTGAAATCACCTGTTCTTTGAACAATGACATCATCGGGGGAGGTGGAAGATGGGTGCTGCCAAAGAACGGCTTTCGTGACCTACCGTGCAGGGAGTCTGCATCCAAGGTTCCCCATCAATCTGCATGGGGAGGGATTTACTGGTTCTGAGAGGGAAGAAGAAATGCAACTTAAAAAAATAGCAAATTCCAGCAAAGATGCCAACAAGAAAGAGGACAAATCCTGACTGAGAAAGTGATCCGGCTGAACGCTGACCTTATGGTCACGGAGGAGCACTGCGCCAGGCGCCTCCCAGCGCTCTTCAGGCCGGTGTAGATCTGACCCATCTCCATGGCCCCTTCCAGCCCCACCACCTCCAGCAGGTGGTCAGACAGGTCTAAGGCACAAAGAATAGATTTTTAGAGTAAATTCCTGTTGCTTTGTGTAGATACTGATGTACGGACATTTTATGTCATGCCATACTACATTTAGGCGAGGAAGACAAAAAGACAAGGAGTTCAAATAAGATGTGATCGCTTCAGAACCTTTTAACATTCACGGTGAAGAAAAAAAAGAGAGAAAAGGCAACAAGAATAACAAGCTACACACAAAACAGCTATTAAATAGATTACACCGGCAATCTGGTGATAGTATAATTATTAATTCCTCTTCTGTTTTGCCGTTGTGAGCGTTGATTTTGCCCCCGCTGGAAGCCCCGTGTCACGCAGGGCCCATCCGTTTCAGGGGGGCCCGCTACGCCTACGACTCTCCATCGACTCATCACTCCACAATTTAAGACGGTGCAGCCTCGCTGCTGGTGAGCGCACGGACACTAATCGGAACCAGGACCCACTTTTAGCCGCTAGGTGCGTGCGGCGCAAAGTTAGCTCGCCGTCACCGCCGCCGCGTACATCCGCGCCGCGCCGGTTGCCCTGAAGGAGTGTCGTGGGTAATGTTGCTGTTGCGGTGAGTTGCTGTTGTAGCCGCCGAGCTGTGGTGTCCAGCTGTCACCGTGGTGATGGACACACGTCCGTCCCTGTCTCGGCGCCGGGCCTGTGAGTGCAGTGCTTTCCAGGGTCGGGGTGGAGGAGTGTGTGTACATGCCCAGCAGGTTGACCCGCTGACACTGGGCTTTAAAGCTGCCCCCCCGACACACACACCCATTGTGACTTCTCACGTTAACGCAAACAGCTCACACGGGGCCCGTGCTGACAAGCGTGATGGACAGCGTCACCATGGCGATAGGGATTCCTCGTTGCCCTGGGCTACAAGGATCCAGTGTTCCCGGGAGTGCTTACTGTTGGAAAAGACCGCAGAGCCTCTCTGCTAAATGTAACAAGGTCAGAGCCACTCTGTTCGACCAGATGTTTAATAAAAACACACAAATAGATGTTTGACCTAAAAGTTTTGGGTAAAACCATTGACCTCTAGACGACCTGATTATTATTATTATTAAACCAATCCTACGTGACAATACAACTATATTTGGGTCTAAATAGTCATTTTCAGACATGACTGATGAAAGCACAATAAACAACCATGTGACATTTTGAAGTCGATATTTGACTGCGATGAACAAACAAACAGTGAAGGTGACAACGCAGAAAAAGAAAAAATCCATATGGAGAATTCCCAATAGCAGCGCTACGGCTTTAACATCAGCCATGTCTTCCCATGAAGACAAACGGCGTCCTTGTCACTGTCAAAGAAGTAACTGTGGAGGCCGCTGGTGGAGCAGGACCAGCAGCCCATCGGCGGAAAGTAAAACTAAAGAGAAATGGCGGGGAGGAGGAGGAGGAGGTGTAGGGTGTGAGGAGGCCGATCCTCCAATGAAAGCTTCATGGGGCTTGTCGAGGGGCATCAGTCCCAAGCAACAGCCCCTCCGCCCACGCGTTGGAGCCCCTCCCTTCCAACCCTTCCCCTGCAAAAACCTCAGTCCCATTCTAAATAATTCACTCCGCAGCCATTCCCTTCCACCTGAGGGGGCTTGTCTCCTGGCGTCACCAGCGGGACGAATTAACAGCTCTCGAAAGGTCATGTTTTTTTTTTATTCTGCAGCCACCCTCCACCCATCCTCCACCCACCCGACAGACCCAAACATACACACACACACACACACACACACACACACACACACACACAAAATAATCCCAACCAACAGTTTGATCCGTGCATCGGGCTCGGCGGTGCCCCCTCTGGGCTAATGCACTTCTGTGTTTACCTCTAAATACGTTGTTCTCTTGATCTGACAAGTTGGGCGGCTCACCTTGAGGGCACCTTCCACAAGGGCGTCCATTTATACACACACACACACACACATCAATAAACAAACAGACAGAGACGTAGTGGCATACGAATACACTGCCTGCTCACACTAAGTGCCTTTTCACGTTCAGACAGTGGCCCCCTTTTTTAATTCACACTGATTGATTTTTATTGAGGGATTAATGGAGTGTTCATTGTAGCAAAATTGGGCTTTGAATTGATCAACTATCACCCTCACAGTCCGGGCCACACTGCACCTTCATCGAAAACTCACATCATCCCATTTGGGATGTCACAGATATGCTTTTCTTTCAAGGTGCATCACCCGAAATCTAACTGAAACAAAACAAATCAGAAAAGGAAATAAATGAAAGCTTGATGGTGACTCTTTTTCTTACCAGGTAAAATAAACCCATCTCACCATTTACACCTGAAAAGCATGAAGGCAGCAGCTGGACACGATAGGAAATAAAAGGTTTAGGCCCTTCATGTGACTCAGCTGACTCATTCTGCTTCGTTCATTCATATATTCCCATTAATGGGCTTCCTTTTGACATATATGGATTCGGGGGAATGCCAAACACCTTCCCCTCCCCCCTCCGTCCACTCCTATTAACTGAGCCTGTCCACTGGAGCCCACACAAACCATTAATACGCAAGTGACAGTCCCAAACAGTGACATGATTGTACCTCTTCTTTGCAAACAAAACCGGCTAGCAATGATTCGCCTTGTCATCGGTGAAATATTCATGCACTCTGGAAAAGTTTGGTGGTAAGTTGAGGCTTTGATCTGTCTGATAGGGGCAAGGACACAGACTGTGCGATTCTGTGTCCTTGCCTCCCGATACTTCGTACGGTATAATGTCTGATAACGCAAACAAACCCAGATCTACTGTAGGTGCAGGGTTTTGAAAGTGCTGATTTGCACAATTACCTCACTCATGTGTGTTGAGGTTGTCAGCATGTCAGTGACAATGTTAACTTGGGGATGTGTTTCATCTAGCCGAGTTTGGTCTCAGTTCAGTAATGAAGTACTCAGGGTTTATCCTCGGGACACCATGAAAAACACTTTTTCGACGAGACAAGGAAGCCAACATTGCTATCTCAGGATCCATACAGCTGCTCTGGCTAAAGATACACACCCTGTTTTTAAACAAAAACAACTCGTAATGTTTTTTTCCACTATGTTCTATCTCATAAAAGAAAACCACAACAGTTGAACATGTATTAACTCCTCTGCTGTCAAAGCTACCTTGAACTGCAAACGTGAGCTCCTTGGGGTCGAGCACTGGTGTCCTCTTGTCTTGGCTCTTTTTGCCCCCCTTGCGGTTACCCCTCCTCTTCTTGCTCTCGCCCCAAAGGTTGGACCCGCCGTGCATGCTGGGAATGTTGAGAATGGCAATGCCTTCCAAGGAGATGCTGCTGAGGTCCAAAGTAACGCCGTCACACTTTTAGAAAGGAGAAAGAACAAGTTAAAAAAAAAAAAAGATTTGCCACAAAGGTATAAGTCGTTGGCACCAGTGGTTTCCAGGTAGAAAACATTCTAATCAGATAAGTGATGAAATTTGCTGAGCAAAATGTGGTTCCGCGTGACTTAACAGATCACCTGATGGACGATGGACGAAAGTTGGAAATGTGGATGCCAGCACTTATTCTAATGCTACCTTGTCTTTAAGTAAAAAAAAATAGGTTATCAACCCATGATTGCAGCTAGATTAGACATTTATCAGACCACCATCAGTCTTTGTAATGTCCTATTCAACCTTTGTTTGAATGGCGCTTCTCATTGTAGAGACAGTGGGTGGGTTGATGACGTTTCCACTGGGCTGCTGATAAAAATAAAAAAAAATTAAGAAACAACGAAGGGTGGAGAAGAGAAACCGATTGGTCAAAGATGCCAACGAAAGAACTGGAACAACTAGAGAGTTGATGAGATTTGTGACTCTGTTGCTAAAGGCACAACCCTAAAAACATCAGACAAAAGCCAAGGAGAGGCAAGGAACCAAAAATGACAAACGGCTACGCAACTGCAGGACCGTAGAAGTATTTTCCACCTCTGAGAAAGCGTCTGTCATGGAAAAACGGCTGTTGAGCGCCACACGTGTTTAAAGGGCAACCATGAACACCGGAACCTACTTTCTGCCCAGGCCTAAACTGATATCGGTCTTTCTGAACATGTACACGTTCCTCTGTCTGACCCTGTAGGCCTATCTCCCTTTTAGCTCTCCTCTGTGTCAGTCTGAATACATGTCTAATCCTGAATCCGTCTCTATGAAGTTTTAGACTGAGTCCGCTCTTACTATCCCAACCTGAACCCGAACAATGAATTTGATGTGACAAAGGCCAGTAATACTTGTAGATTATACACCGGTATGGATCTTCCTACCTCATCCAGCACTATGGGTACTTATCGAGCACTAATTAATGACGACCTCGGCACTCAGTGGATAGCTCTGAGAAGGGGGAAGATGAATTGTATAGACACCGTCTTCATTATCACTCAATATCACGCACAGCAGGGTCATGTAGGGCTAATTACCTTTATGTCGAACTGACGTTCAGTGTGAAGCAGGAGGGAAGGTGTACGGATAGCCTTCACACATCAACACGCTGTCTAGGTGAATTTAAAACTTGTACAAATGTGTCCCATTTAAGGAACAATGGTTGACCAGAATATGTTTTAACAAGCACCAGTATCTTTAGCTGAGAGCTTACCTGCATTCATGTGCATACCGTCTTCATCAAGTTCTCAACAGAATATTAATATGATGACCCGGATTCACACAGCAGAGCACATAAAAGCTGTAACTTTAGTTTATTTTCCGTTTTCATTTTCTATAAGGCTAAAACAGAACCAGAAAATGTGTGGTTTTATTTACCTCAACCTCCAGAAAGTCGTGGAGCTTCTTACACGTGGCCGAAAAGGTTTCCGAAGTGCCGAACTCAAAGTACCACAGCTTATTCTTTGTTCTGAAAGAAACGAGACAACAGGAACTGGAAAAAGATCAACAATAGAGAGGAAACATAGGGTGTGTTTTTCCCACATCAAAATTTTGAAGCATGTTCAGTCAGCATCTCTTTTTCTCTTCTGTCTCCAGTCTCTTATACGCTCAGCTGGTGAAAAAGAACCCAGTCTGTAAAGGTGTGATTGATTCACGCTTGAAAAGAGGATTCTCTGAACTACACAGGAAATACACCTCTAATGTTTACCGCTGACCAAAATCACACAGTCATTAATCTCCAAAGAATGTATAATGTGGCTCATTAATCACATATTGAAGCATAATGATGAATCCAAAGCCAGTAAGAGAGGCATCTGAGGGAGCACATGGGGTCACCAGTGGGTACGCATGCCAAACATTATGACCCAGTGAGGGGTGTAAGAGGGTAATCTAACTGCCCCTGCAATTAACGGAGGACCGGGGCGCTGCTCCCCGGGCTTCCTCCAGCACACACACTCCCACCGCTAAGGCTGATGATCAATGACCTCGCAGGGGTGAGTCACCATCTGTCCGCATGCTGCTGTGGTACATTCAATTCTCGTGACTACACAAAGAAAATGTCTTATTTGGCTATCGGCGTATTGATTATTTGTTATACTCTGTGTGTTATATTGTTTTTTTTTCTAGTAAGTAACGTAAAGGCGGCCTGTGTGTCTTCAAACTAATCAAACAAACATCTGAGGGGCATCGGATTTAACTTTTTATGGCAGTGTGATATTATTTCTCCAACAATTGTAACTGAGCGCAATGCTTTGATTTAGCTTTAAAAATGTCTATTGCTCTACATTATCTGCAACAAGATTATTCAAGTGCTATCACTAGCAGAGTGGCTGTCAACCTTTGATGAGGTTGCATTAGCTTCAGCTAAGCTAAGCTAGCAATTTAGCAAACCAACCAACACAGAATCCGTCACTCTCAAGTGTCAGTCACGCATTTCGCATGTCGCCAGGAATATCCAGAGGCGGGCGTCCAGCACCTGTGCTTGTAGTACCAGCGCAAATGTTGACTTCTTCAACTTGGACCTCTTCCACACGCACGTTCAAGTTGAAGAAGTCAACACGACAAACTGGCTAACTTTGTGTTGTCCGGAGGCGGGCGTCCAGCACCTGTGCTTGTAGTACCAGCGCTAATCTCACGTCCCTTAGCCAGCCTTCTTTTGCACACGGCTCTGTTGTCTGTTTTGAATGTTAGATGTAGCCACGCCCCCTGATTTGCATATAAGAACGTGAAATGTAAAATGGCATTATGAAATAAAAGTACCATGAAATAATTAAATGTATTTAATATTTATGTATTTATTGCCTCATTTATTTATTTCATGATGTATTTCAAATGCATATTTCATGTACTTACGTATTTATTCATTTATTTAATTTTGACTAAAAGGCATTCCATATCACACCACACATCCAATTACTCACGCCAAAAAATCTTGAAATTCATTGAAAACTTCAGAGAACGTAGCGTCCACCCCCCGAGAAAATATCACTCCAGGTTTTCTTGAAAGACATATGAAAATAAAAAAGTAGAAAACCTCATGAAATAAAGTAGAGGACGGAAGAGATTAAAAGCAGAAAATTGAAAAGGAAGAGAGCAAGTTGTATCGGATGTATCACAATGTGCGTCACAGCATCACAGCGTTGAATCAGCGTCATGCCATCAAAACGCTTCAAGAACAGAAGAAAAAACAGTGCTAACACGTAAGAACTGACCACAGTAAAAAATGGCCTTCTCGTGGCTGTAGTCAAAGTGCTATGAGAGGAACGTATTAGTATAAGAAGAGTAACAATCACTGAATTATTGATTTCCTCATTAGGACTTTTGTCAGGACCATTTAGCCACTTTATAAATGAGCTTTCGTTAGGGTACTTGCAAGGTAGCCCAACTCAGTTGATTTATAATGTGCAACATGGTCAATAGAAGAGGGATGGTAGCAGAGGGAGGTGGGAAGAGGCAGGAGGGCGACAGGGCCATGCTGGGAGGCTTTCCACAACAACACACCCCGACCTCTTCCCCAGCATGATCATCATCATCATCATCATCATCCTCGTCCGTCTGTAAGGCCGGTAGTCCAACCCACAAGAGCACATGAACACGAGACAGGGCCATTTTTGCAAGTAAACAAATGGAGGTGGCCACTTTGAAAAGCATATTCAAAACGAGTGGTCGGAGAATGAAGCCAGGTTCAGTACAAGGAATGTTCTGGATGCATAGAATCGTTATCGCTGTGTGGAAGCGGAGTATCAGAGGTAAAATATTCAATAGAACCACATGAGCAGATGTGAAAAGGCTGATTTGAACAATCCAACATTTTCAAAGAAGAAGAAAATCCAATTATGCCAGAAGCAGCTACGTCCAATTTTTTAATGTTGAGATGAAATTAGAAGAAAGCAACACATGCTGCTGTTTGAGATATACATTTGGCAAGTTGTAGGAGTCTCCAACAGAATCCACAAGAGAGCTTGTTGTTATATTATAATTCTTAATGGCAAAACACTGCCCATGAGCTACTATGTCATTCACCAAGACATTTATTGGGATTTGCATCAATGAATCATTGTCCTCTCCTCAAATTTGACAGTATGGCTAAATCTGTTTTTTTTATTTAAAAGGACTGCAGAACCAAACGACACTAAAGAACAGATACAGTGAGAGACAACATCTGAGAATCCGGTCGATTCGCTACCACTTACCCTAACAAGCGCACCATGGCAACAAATCACCTCATGTCCCTGTTCATTAGGTAATTAGGAGCATCCCATTGGCTGGATCGGATTGTCGTTCGTTATCCGCCGACTGACGCTGAACACCAGACTCCTCAGACTGACTGCGGGGAGCGTCTCCTACAGTATTATCAGGGAGTCCATTTGAGTAAGATGATACTTTTAAGTTAGATTACGAGGACTTAGTGGTAAGAGCAATAAATGGTAAAATAAAGTGTCCATTTCCATAAACATCTTGGAAGTTCCTCTGATGTATTCCCCGTGGGAGCGATTTGTGTTTTCACCATTAGGTATGTAGCAGGTTTTCCATCCTCCGAGCTGTGATTTAACCTGCAGTGTATCAATGCAAAGTGTACTGCAATCATAACTTTAGCGGTGCTCACGTGAGATCAGCTGTTGTTGTCACAGCTGGCACAGCAAAAGAAAAACAGCAGCTCATGTTTCCACCGCTACCCAGGTGTCGTTTTATTTGCACAAACAAATCACAAAATAAAACTGAAAGAAGAGGACATATTCAAACTGTGTGGCGCGAGATGAGAGAAGACCACAAACGGGCTTAGAAAAACATCGAGCATCAAGAAGAAATAAAAGACAAATGTACTGTAGCTCTAACACCCTAAATCAAAACACCCGTGTGCATCAACCCTCCACCGGTTGGTCACCTGATATTAAAGGATGTCTGAGGCGATGAGCTTCACTGCAGCCTTGCTGTCCTCAGGCCACAGCGCTTTCAAGTGCACTTTCTACCGGCCACACTGCACGCCGAGCAAGCAGCCATCGATTTTCTTCCCCTCTGACACCTAATCTAACCCCGGATGATCTACGACCTTCATCTTCACACTAATTTCTACTTGATCAGAGGTGATAAATATCGCATTGACATAACCAACTCTTTGTGCATTGCATCAATGCACTGTTTTGTTTAACACGACACCGCCTGGAGCGCGCCGACTGGCAGTTTGAGGAACGACCCGGGTTGCGTCGCCTTGCCTTCAGAGGCCCAGCGAGCAGTTTGAAAAATGTATCTGTGTCTGTTGCACTGAAATGATTCCAAGGGGCCTTTTTTCGTCAACATCTTTAGGGTTGAATATAAAAAACTGAAGTGATACGGTGCATAGAACTTAACTGTTCGGCTCAACATTTTCTTTTACACTTTTTGGAGAAAACATTTTTGGGGAAAAATGTGCTTTTTTCCCACCATTATTCCAGTAACAATTCCGATAATTAGTAGGAACACTTGAGCGTTGTTACGGCGGCTGTTGAACAATTAAAAACAAGTATTGTAATAATATAAAAGTCGAAAAGAAACAGAATCTCATTTGTGACTGTCTGGGAACTGTTGAGACACCTGAAATGAACTGAACGAAGCCATGCTGTTAATTAATGATTTCATATTGTTTACAGGGCTTCGGGTGTTTATCGAAGGTCTGACACCTCCTGCAACACATCTGCAGGGGGATCTTACTTCGATCCCGTTTTGTTTCTACAGTCAGGGTGCGATCGAGTTAGTTATCGTTCCCCATTAGCGCGTGCGAGTCTTCTCCCGAATGGAGCCTCGGTGGTTGTCAGTCAGTGACGTCACTGATGTTCTTCCACCTTCGCTCTGCGTTTGAGCAGCATGCGACATGATGAGTGCTAAGGGGAGATGCATTAATAGTTTATAAGACTTGTACTCCAGCTGAAATGCTAAATGTCATCGCTGTTTGCGGTCAACCGTTGTGTCAAACTGATTTCCACGTCTCTCTGAATGTCGCTACAGTCTTGCCAGACAATGTCGGGCCAAAATCAGAGACGGAGAAACTCAGATGTCAAAAATAAATGCTGACACTTATTTTAAAATGTGATCGAACACAGCCGGTGTGTTTGCCTTTCAGGTAACAAACATTGTCTTTGTGACAGTCGGCCAACTACCAAAAAATAAATATGCATTACTTTTAGTGACCAGCAGGTGGCAACTCTTTTGGTTGCAAAAAAAGGAAGTCTGGTTCTACAGAAGTCTATAAGAAAAGGACTCTACGTCTTACTGGATTTACTCCCTCAGTAAACATTTTAAACATGTGTTTATGGTCTCAATCTCCAGTTAAAAGTCTTCTCCAATAAATCATTTATTTTCTAAATGATGGTCCTTTAAAGTCTCAGCCCCTCCACTAGATGTACGTATGTAATATGCAGAGTCTTTGCTTAAGTCCATGTGGTTTGTGTGTGTGTGTTCCCACTGAGCTGGGGATAGGGCCACAGGTGAGATCTCTCTAAATTACACAAAAGCGTTCATCAATTATAGATGACACTTTGGTCACATTTCATCCTCAAATGAGGTCCGAGGGCGGCCGCCACCGAGCTCCGCCCTGCGTGTTTCCCAAATGAGTGCCTGCGCATGTGTAACGTAGAGCGCCATCACCTGTGGCCCGGTTCCCAGCTCAGCAGGAAACACACACACACAAATGTGTGTGGACGTGTGCGTGTGTTGGTGATTCCGGCGGCTCCCATCCAGCACACGGCAGCGCTTTGATGAACATACTCATTATGCTAAAGAGTGCTCCATGCCCGGGCTTCCCTGTGCCTTCGAGAAAGGTTAACTCAGGATGGTTACACAGCACAGCGAGGGCCTGTGGGCGCACGGGCGCAGAGCGGCTCTGGAGGAGCGCCGCGGCGGTGTTAGATGTCTCGGGGACCGAAAACAGATCCGGGTACGCGGGGTAAATATCATGGGAACATCAAAGCGCCGTGATGGATGCCGCGGAATAAACAAAACATCGCAGGTGAAGTCGCAGCGGTTTTCACGCTGCAGCCCAAATGTCCCAAATCAGACGAATTAGTATCATCTCAAAGCAATTTGATTTCAGTAACACGGGAGACGGTCAATGTCCCATCAATGTATGTTGATCCTTCCTTACTATTAACTCAGAGAACATGACTTTTAAACGAAGACATTATTATTATTTTATCATATTACTATTAATATGATACAATCTTTGTGTTTTCCTGCTGCTCCTCCATATTCAACAACCTATAAAACCTGTCCAAAGAACGTCTATCCGTGAAAGAACGTTTTTTGTATTAAAAAGCTGAATTATGTCTGATACGGTCAGTATCTCTATGAATTACCTCCACATTGAAGGATTCCATGATTGTCGTATTGACTACAACGCTTATCTGAACTCTTTTATTGAAGATTTATCAGGAGGAATGTATGAAAGTTGGAATGGTGCAGCGATCTCACTTTCTAAAATAATGAACTACAAAGAATGTCTGTCTTTGTGCGTAGGTGCTTTTCTGTTGTCAGGGACTGAAGTCCGGAAGACGAGTGGACTCGAGCATCAACCTGCACGGCCTCCTGGTTGTCGGCCCAGCAACACAATCTCTCCCGAGGAGTCAATGGAGGACCGCGTTCAATTTCTATGCAATTTTGACACACTAAACAGGCTCACACGTTTCTAAATAACAAACAGACGTACACTCGGGAAAGAAAGGAAAATGTGTAATCTGTGTTACGCTATGTCAAAACTTAACTCAACGTAATGTAACATCACAGGGAAAGTAAACAGGACAAAGTTCTTCCAAACCTCCACCGCTCTCTTCCCTTCTTTCTCTCACTTTCCTCTCAGTTACAGATTAGCGTGTAATTACATGGGAGATCAGCATGAAAAAAAGGGGAGTAGCATATATTTTAACGGGGCGGCGGAGGAGGAGTGGCGACGGGGGAGGAGGTGGCGCAGCCTTCGTCACGGGCCGACTGATTGTCTGCTTTTAATCCTCAACCTCATTATCACCTCCAGGTCCGGCAGTGGCAGTAAATGAATCTATCTGCCGAGTGTCAAATCTTCACACCTTCGCCCTGGTAATCACCCCAAGGTGCAAATACAGAAGATGGATAGAACAAGAGAAATGAAGGGAGGGGGAGGAGGGGGGGTATGACCCCAGCATTTCATCAACAAAATCCCCTCATTTCATAATTAACAAAAGCTACTTGATGTTGTTTGGTAATTAAAACTCATTAAATATTCAGTTTCCTTAAGGTCAAACGAGTCACAAAATCTACAGATTTGTTGAATGTGGGAAGTGAAGCGCCATTACAGCTGTCACATATTAAAACCCCATTATGTCAAAATTTGACATTTCTCTTTTTCCAAGTTCTAAAATTTTACATTTTTATAAACCTACTCGAATTTGAACTATGATCAAGAGCCAAGATATGGCTCTAAAAAGCTACATGACAGCAATAAAGATAAGAGATATAAAGAATTTTTGTCTCTATGAGGCCTTGTTTTTAAGGATATCTTCTATTCTTTAGTATTCTCTACGTCTGACAAGGAATATTAAACTAATTTTACGGTGCAGATACCTGCAACTAAAGATAACAATCACTAGGTAAAATAAATTATTTCAATGAAAAAAGTATTACATTTAATTAATAAATAAAAACTTTTCCCTTCCCGCTGTTACCTCAGAAAAAAAATTGCTTGTCTTTGAAACATTGGTCAATTAGGTATTTTGATTTGACGTCACAACATATAAGATGAAAAGGAAAAGTTGAGCAACTGTTAGAAATATCATTCGGTCTGGTGTAAAATCAAATGCGAATGTGTGTGGAGCAAAAGCTTCCAACACATTTATGCATAAGGGAGTTTCATGGCGCTTAAAGGTTGACAAAAACATGTTTCCTTGAGGAAATCATCCTTGGATAAAAGCGGGTGCAACCTGCTCCGTTCTCACTGGCGTTCATGAGCTTCGAGCTGCAGGAAGACGACTCTGTGATGAGTCGCGACGCGCTTCCAATGGGCACGAGCCATTTTGGACAAATACAACAAAATCGCTGTGTGGTGGCGGGCGTGGTTTGGCTCAGCTGCAGAGGTGACGGAGAGGGGAGTGGCTCAGGGAACGGAAATCAACATTTGTTTTGTCCCTGTATTTCAGTAGCGGAGATCGTATCCTCGTCATTCCAGGACCCCCCCCCAAGGATCCGCACATTACACTCTTGCTACCTTGAAAAACTATAATCATGCATTATTGAATTGGCAAAGGAAAGTGTGTAATAGAGAGATCCTAAACCCATTCCCCCTCCTGAATTATTAAATGAATTCGAATAACAGACGGAATCTTTTGCCTAAAATACCTATATCATTTTTCATTAAAAGGCTTGAAACGGCGAGTAGGACAACAGAGATGCGGTCGGTGTGCGCAGGTCTGGACCCTGGCTCACCGTGAGCTGGACAAACAACACCGAAGAAGTAATGTGGTTACTGACGACGACACGGCGATGACTACCCAACGCGTCTCTGGTTAATCAGAAGATTTACAGCCGATGTCTTTAGGCCGCTCCCTTGTAGCCATTACACAACCGACACAGTCTCAGCTTCCCCATTTCGCCGGCACGGCCGCATGATCGAGCAACAAGAGGCAGAAGGATAGTTGGCTAAATGTTGTACTAAGACCGGGGTAAAATATGATAATGAGTACAAATGGGATTATTAAGAGGCCGCGTGTCATCAGTCTGACTGATCCGTGATGTCAAACTAGCCAAGCAAATTCAATTAGGCCCGCAATTACTCCCTGGCGCTAGTGGAGACGTATGGGGGACGTTAAATATTGATGGAAACATAGATGCCACATTTGTTCATCTCCAAAGGTGAACGCGTCTCCTTGAGGTAATCACAAATGCTAAATAAGAAGCCGGCCCATTTGTCAAACGGCGCTCCGGAGAGGATTCATGAAGCGGGCAACAGACGGTCTGAGGAGGCTCTGCAGGCCGGTTGGTTCAGAATGAGGGAGCTTCTTCTTTTACCCCTCAAGACTTGTGCCAATCACAGGCTTTGGTCCAAACATTGAGCCTCGGGATATTTATGGTTACTGAAAAAAAAGAGTTCTGTTCATTTGGACGGAAACCAGCACCAGAGGGAGACGATTTTTCGAAATGTTTTCAAATGCTTTCCATGTCTCAACAAAGATGAATGACGAGTGACATAACTGTTCACCTTGTTTGTATCTGCAGCCACAATACGAAGGTCTCAAAGCAAGTAGTTAAAACCTGAACTCAAGATACCTTTTCTACTGGGAAATATGTTCCTTTTTAAATTCTTCTTGTCCGTAATTGTTAGCAAGGAAACGCATGTTTTAAAGTATAAAGTATACTCATAAGTAAGTACAATCATCGTGCAACAGACTTCTATACAACTAGAAGTCTATTACTGTGAAAATCCGGTGGGTTTGTAACCTATCGCCATACTTTATGGTATCGGAAAAGCCAACTTACCTGCTGTTGAACTTCTCGGGATGCTTCTCCCTCATGACATGGAAGCGACGTGCAATAGAGGCGTCCTGAAAGACACAAGCACATCTCCAGCTCAGTTATTCTCTCCTCCTCAAACCTCCAACTCCGGCCTCCATTAATCAAATCACACTTCCTGCTGCAGCCACGCAGTGTGGCGTTTTTGGGGGCGTTTTGTGATTCTGTGATTTAATATAAAGCTTGCTTAACACGTCAAGCTATTCAACATCCTCAGCACAAGTACAGCCATTCGCCTTCAAAGCGAACCGCTCCACTTTAACCGACCCGACCTCTCCAGCAGCGCAGTCACACCTCGCACGTCTCTCGTGTCTATAGTTCTATAAGATGGAGGAAAAAAAAAAGCTGTGTGCGGGAGGTGGCAGCGGGGTTGAGCTCGGGTTGGAGGGGTATTGACAGAGAGCCTGATGAACAGCACGCTGTCTCCACACAGGCTAATTAATTAAACACACATTGTGAGTAATCACAGCTCCCAGCCAACAGGGTGCTGCCGACGCCACGGCAACCAAGTTGTTTTCTCTCCTCCCCCCGCCTCTTTCTCTATATATACATACATATCGAGACGCGTACACACACACACACACACACACACACACAAATATACACTTCTATATATATATATATATATATATATATTAATATATATATCCTCTCAACCCCGTTTCTGACCCCCCCGTCTGTCTTTCGCTGTGCAGCCTCGTTGGGAGTTCTTGGTGTCACAGGGACACAGTTCATGTTACATACGCTAGAGTGGTGTGACTGACGGAGACACTTCATCAGTAACACCTCCTCCATCTGGTATGCCTGTTATGTGGTATTTGAGCGTTAACGTACGGAACAAACAACCGAGCCGCCCGGAAGAAAATCGTGTCGTTGAAGAGTCTGAAGCCCAACCGAGCGGTGATGTGGCCATGTGCCGGAGCACAGCGGCAGGATCAGAAGTTGGACCAGACAAGACTTTGTGGAGGTGTTTAAGTCTCTCTTTGGAACAAGTTTAAAAAAGGTCACTTGACCTCGCTTCGTCCTGCTGCGTCAAGAAAAAGAAAATAAATCTCAATTTTGCAGTATGAAGGTTCGCTATTTTTTAATTTTTTAATATTTTTAACTTTGTTCTTTTATTTTAAACTAACTCATAGCATTAGCATTTTATTTTATTACTCGTGTTACTCGTCTATTGTCATACTGTCTACTGTCAACTGCCAAGTCAAATTCCATGTATGTCTGACATATTTTGGCAAAAAAATGTTTCCTGATTCCTGAGGAGGAATAATTCCTTAAAAGCAAATCCCCTACATCCAGGATTCAGTAGCATGTCCAACAACATCAAACCGGGTCCCTCCAGCGTTTGGTTTATCTGTTTATCTGAGGTTGGAGGTGACAAGCTCCATATGTAGATATGAAGCGCTCATTGTGCAGATTCAACAATTGTTTATTTCAATTGATTCTACACTAATAATGTCCTGAACTTCATATTCCATCTCTGCCAATAAACACCCCAAAAGATAATACAGTGTACCTTCAAATAACGATATAATGATATCTGAAAAATGCAGATTAGTTGAGTACCATAGTTGTCAAGTATCATGTATTTATTAGTTTAGATTTTAATGATGTGTCACTTATTTTATGTCTTTTTAAAGTGGTTAAAGCTAACAAAAGCGAGCTTTTGGACTCGATGGCGAGTGGACAGCTCGCATCCAGCAGAGCTAACAGAACGGCCGCCACTTTGCTCTGTGGCCGAGCGGCTCGTGGCTAACGAGCCGGGCATGCTACCATGCAATAAAGGCAACACACACACACACACACACACACACACACACACACGCACACACGCACACACAAGGCATGCAGGGACAAACACGGGAAAAGCTAAACCAGATCAATATTATGCTCATATTAAACATCCCTGTTCCCCACATCAGTTGTGCGAATAAGTATGCAGAGGACCTCGGCAGCAGACTGGGGAGTCTGAGGTAATGAACTACAGAAGGACAGAGAGAATTTCCTTTAATTTACACTTCCAAGTCGGTGTCCGCAGAAAAACGCTGAAAGAAAGACCTTCCTGATGAAAAAGACTCCGAACAAACTTCTCAGGAAGCAGCTAGGAAGTGGCTACAAATTTCTGGAGCTTGTTCCTCTCCTCGTCCTTCTCTTCTTCTTCTGCTGCTTCCTCCTCCTCCTCCTCCCTTCTACTAAAGCAATCTGTTTTGACCCGCTCCATTTTGAGTGGAACTACACTACAGGGAAGACCCCCTGCTAGCGCTCTATACCGATATTTAAGAGAAGCCAAAAAGAGAAAAGAAATCAATGGCGCTTCTCTTGAAGTCTCTTGAAGACGCTGTAAGCTGAAGACCAAAAGAATCCTTCAAGATCCCCGCAGACTCTCCTCACGCTTCCAACGCCAGCCAGAGAGGTGAGATGATGGATATATCTGAGACAGCGCAACTTGACTTTCTTGCAAACAGGACAATAGCTGCAAACAAAAGAGTGAAAAGCGAGAGAGGTTGTCTCCCCTTTGGTTTGGGCTCCGTTATCGGAGATTTGTACAAGTGGAGCCGCGGCTTTGCAACAGTAAACAGCGATTTCAAGCTGCCGGCGGCGCAGGAAGGCCTTTGTGGTCCTCCATCGACGCAGCGGTAGTTTGTTGAAGGGGGGAAACTTTTGAAGTGAACCGGCTCAATGCCGCCATGTTGCTGAAATCAACCTCATAAAGAATACACACTATATATCTGTTTTTCAAGATGGACAAATAACAGAACTTGGCAGATACGTAAAATGACTGATACAATTATGAAATCAACTAAAAACATTAGGAAAAAAGCCAACAAGAATTTATAGAAATAATAGATAGATAGATGTGTCTGCTAAAAGATGAAAGTATTTTATTCTCGCCTCCCTATTGAAGCGCACTCCAAAAGTACACGTCATAAGGTGAGGTTTCAGACCTGCAGACCTGAAACAATGATTTATGTTCATACGTGTGATCAAAGTGGCTGAAATGATTTCAACTTTTCAAAAATCTTAAAACTTTAACGTGATAAAACGACCAAAGACTGAACCCATGACATGTTCTCCTCACTAAATGTTCCATAAACTTTGTATAATCAGCACAGCTACTGAGCTACACATTATATATATATATATATATATATATATATATATATATATATATATATATATATATATATATATATATGTTGGACACATGTTCATGACCCCCTCGCGGCGGCGTCTGCTCTCTCCCCCTCTCCGTCCTTCTCTCTCTCCATAGCTGCCCTCAAATAATTACCAATGTAAAAATCTGGCACCCAAATTAATACAGGACATGTGTAATGTCCTCTCATAGCTCAAAGTTTAGTCCAATTACGAGTGGGCCCCAGCGGTTTGATGTGCCTTTCACCACGGGGGAGAGTAATGGCTTTGACAGGAGGGCCGGGGTCATTAGGGCGGCTGACTGCATTATGGTAGTGGAGCGCGCTCAGAGATTAGTTCTGTCTCTCACCCCTGGTCCTGATTGAGATCATTACACTTCACGTCACTTCCACATCCTCCCGAAGGGACGGCGGCCATTAATTCTGAACCGCCGTGGAAGAAGGTTAGTTTGGAAGACCCCCCCCCCTACACACCTCCCCCAAAAAAGAGAAAAAAAGACGACAAAAAAGGGATGGTTATTTTTTGTTGTTGTTGAAAGAATCACCCGAGTTGTTGGATTGAAACAACTTGAAATGAGAGGAGTTTCCGGTTGGAGGCCGTTAGAGAGCAACGAGAGCAAACGCAGCGATAGAAAGGTAGAAGTTCTCTTTGAATGACTTCAGATTTGAGCACGCGGCGGCGGCGCTTCTCCTGCTGATGTCTTGGTTTCAACCTCGTCATTACAGAAACAATCTAATCTCCATCTGCATAATCTCTGAGGTAATTACCAGCTTGACTTGTCGGGTAATCTTTATTGCCATTTTCGGTCTTTTCGTTCCAACGGAAAGCCAAAAAGAAAAAAATAATAATTGATGTGACATGAAATATTATATCACACTCAATTCCATAGAGATATCAAAGTCTTCTTAATCCCCCACGAACAACTTCATTTGTCATCATCACGCCTGCCGGGTGCTAATCCCGCTTGCAGAGCGGAGACAATAGCGGTGATGAGTCCAGGAACCAGGCGGGACAAAGCTCTGGTTCAGCAAGAAGGAGTCAACAACTTACTGTTATTTCTATGGTGTATTTAACAGAAAAGTCACATTAAAAAAAACACAAAATGTCGTAAATCAATACCAGGCATCCGTACACCTCGCCAGGACTACAAATCCAGAGACATTATGCGTCCTCACTGAATGTCACGACTCATTCCACTCAATCCAGGGTTGGAAAAGGTATTGAGAGAGATGGTTTTTTTTTAATACTGAACAGAAAATCTGATGTTTCAATTTTTCTTTTTTTAGCTTTTTTTTTTTTAATGCTGTTGCCAAAGTGTTCAATAAGCTTTGGTAATATCTTCAGTGAGGACGCTTTGCACGGAGAAGAGTTGACGTGAAGCTGTGATGAGGAAACCTCTGGGATTTATACGTTTCATTTCTGAGGATGTACACATCCAATGCTCCAAATATGAGGCGTACTTCTCTGGTTTTCCCTCCAGGCTTTATGCTGGATTTCTGCAAAAAATATCCCCAAATCTGACATTTTCTGAAGGATTTTCCAGCTCCGACTCCTTTCACCTATTCCACTTAACCTCTCACTCTTTTTGTGCCTTTACAAAGCGTCTTACAAACAAGGCTGATTTGACAGCGCTGTGCTAGAGAAGCTAACAACATGTCCTCATGCAACATGGATGCCATCACACAAAAAATTGCGTTAAGTTCCGCTCATGACACGCATACAGTCTTTTCAAAATAAGCTTCCAGCTTCACAGTAAACAACTCAATTTGTTTTAGGCAACACAAATACTTGGTTGTATTGAGGAAACTATTGTTGTTTGAGAAAAAATAACTAAAGAAGCGCCGTCTCTCAAGTTCTTTAAACTTCTTTCCAGATAACGTGGATTTTAATTTCCGGCTACGAATGCCGGATGAGAACAGGCGGAATAAATCTACGCAGGAAATATATCGCTCCAAACCTGTTTTTCTATACAGGCAAATGAATGCGCTCGAACCACAGGATGAATGTGGAGAGATGCATTTCCCCGCTGTAACCACTTAGCCCTGTACGACAGCCAGTAGCGCTCTCCTTTATCACAATGTTAACAAGACCCGCCCGCCAAAGTCCTCCGACATCGTCATTAGGGGCCCCGGCTGGAGGTGTTATTCAACTAACATTTGTGAAGCCATGCATCACTTACGTCTCCCAACATCGAGTGGCTCCCTCCTATGCCACCTGCAAATGTCAATTACCATATTTCCCCTGACATTTATCAGTAATGGCTAACATGAGCTACGTGAAATCAGTGTCATTATGTAGTAGATGGACAGGAGGGTGTGTGTGTGTGTGTGTGGAGGGGAGAGGGGTGAGGGGGGGAGGGGGCGGGTGACGCCAAAGACACGACGAGGCTTGTTCGTCGAGGCTGTTGAGCACATCTCAATAAAGGCCCAACCAGAATGTGATCAAAGCAAACAAATTGACTGATTATGCCGTTATTGGAGTTTTTTTATTTATTTTTCTGTATCTTTAAATAACTGACGGTGTCTCTCCGTCCGTCTGTTGGGTTAAGCGGTTTACTGGCTCCTCGGCTATTCCGCGGTGGAGACTTTGTCCCCGTGATTAAACTTCTTTGGTGTGAAAGGATCAAAAAGCCGCCGTATGCTCACAGGTGAGCCTGAAGTCGCACACGTAAGGTTTGTGACACTAGCGTGCTTTAAAAGATCCTGCGAAAAATAAAAAGTTACACGGTGCTGAGAAGCGAAATCCCGCCGTGTGGGCGATGTTACAGAAGAGGTGTTCTATTCATAGCGCCTTCTGTTGTATGAAGGCACAACAATGAATAAGAACTACAGGTAAAATGCAGATAATGACCCACGTTGTACATTTTAGATTTGCATTCGTCAAACCAAACAATAAATGATAGTTAAAACTGTAAGTTGTCTTACACAATACTAAATACCAAGCTGTAAAACAAAGAAAATCAAAGTACCGTTTCTTCAAGAAAGCTACAAACTACAAAGTGCTAAAAGTAAGTGCCTTGGTAAGTGCTAATAAAGTGCTAACTAGTCCAGGTGTAGTCGGTAGAGGTGTTTCTAGGCTTTCTGCTGTCCCGATGTCATCGAGAAGCTCATCCCAACAATTCCCAGTCTCTGGTGTTAAAAGGATTGTTCCCCCTTTGTTTTATTGGTGTTGTTTTGCAATGTGTTATCGATTGTTACTGTGTATTTGCATCGTATGAGATGCTTTACAAATAAAATTACTGTCACTATATAAGCACTTTTGTTCAAATTGTATTGTGAGTAGAAAAAAAAGGTGGTGACTTTTTTTGATTTTTTTAAAGAATTATCCCTCTCCAAAAAGCTAATGGGTTGTCTGGCGCAGGGGGTAGAGAGGGTGTGCTGGGAAGCACATGGTTGATGGTTCAAGTCCTGACGGCCCCATGTTCTATGTGGGAAGTGTCGCTGAGCAAGAAACCTGACCTCTAATTGCTCCCCAGGCAAAAAAGGTAAAAAGCCATGGGTTAAAAATGTAAGTCGCTTTGGATAAAAGCGTCAGCTAAATGACCTCTGATGTAATGCAATGTAATGGGGGCGCAGATCTAAGCTGCTTTCTTTCTACTTGGGAGAAGAAATTGACACTCGAAAATAGAAAATAGACTACTATGAAGCAACAGAACATTGCAGCAGAGTTTTGAGGGTTATTTTGCGTTGTTTCTTTTGTCATTAGTACCTTAACGCCAAAATAAAATATAATATAATTTTTCACCTTTTTTGCCAAGAAGGCAGACTTTATTACTCCTCTCAACCTTGACATAAGCAGCGCAGACCAGATCCACTCAAAGTGTTTCTACTTTTCACAATAAAATAGATTTATAATATTCCTGGTGGAGTCTTCTGTGTCTCCGTTATGTTAAGTTCTTAAGACAGATCCTCTGGGGTCTTTTTTGTGGAAATACATAACTCCAATACTAGAAAACTTTAAGTATAAACCATTTAAATCTACTCTCGCTATGATTTAAACGAAAGACTATCCCCTCAGTGCCATGACTGTTGGCTGAAGTTGGACTCACCACTCCGATGGAGAAGTAGTTGTTTACGATGCTGTAAGGCACCGGGTCCCCTCGCTCCTCCTTGTCGGCGGGCGTGACGTCGATCTTCCAGCGATCGAGCATCATCTCTGAACTGTTCTCGATGTCGCGCGTTATCTTCAGGAGGCTCTCGCCCTCGTAGCCTCAGGGAAACAAACCATGAGGTGTGAGTCGCGATGAGGCGAGAATAAAGGCTTCCAAGCAGAGACGCGGAAAAGGGACTTACGATCGGAAATAATTGATGCTCCTTATAATCGCTCAATGTGTGTTTAAATAGCTTTTTAACAAAGAGCTAACAATGATTTAATTAATTTATCACTACAGCATTACATACTTTGTCCTTGGGAATTTTTGTAGTTTGAAAAAGGTCTTTTAATAAATACTGCCTTTGAAAATGCTTCTACTGGACTGTAAGCCATAATTAGTTGGTCGAGAGGTCCTTAATGGGTTTCAAACCCCTCAAATTGTAATTTAACCTTAAGGTCAACCAATCAAAAGATGAATGGCTTTGATAATCAAATTAAGACTTAAGACTAGAAACCGCGTCTTTCTTCTCAAAACCGGGTTAATGCCTGTTGAAATATTCACGCTTGGTCACTATGGACGTAATTTCTCTGTCCGTACCTCCTCCCCATCGCAGACATCTCGCCAGGTCGTTGCCCGTGCCGAGAGGAAGTATACACACGGGGGGGTTCCTGTCCAGGTTGGCCTTATCTGGAACAGCGGGACAAATATCACAACCCCACATATACCGAAGAGGGCCACACCGAGAAAACTCACAGCAAATACCTGCAAAGAAAGCATCAAATCATTTTTTGTACAACTCCAGTTGCACAGTCTATTTCAAGAGATGGTTATTACCTCTCTTCGTTTTGATTGATAAAAAATTGAGGCAATTTTTCAAAGCACGTTTTCAGAACAAGTAAATAAAGAGGTCCAGGTGTTTTTTCTCCTTTTCTCCCCTCAAATGATGGCTTGTTGTTTTCCAACACACGTAATCATCCCACTTTACCTCCCCTGAATACGCAGGCTCGGACGTAATGAAAAGCGTTTATGTACAGACCATAATGTACGCTTTACTAGCCCGGGATGAACAGCGAGCGGCGCCACTGGCTTTGGAAAATTAATAAAAAACAAATGCAATTTAAAGAAAGAAAAAGAAACGGTCAAGCTCCACCACGTGGTACGTCATCGGCAGTATGAGTCGACTTTAGGAGGCCGAGCGTTAAATGTACGATGTGTTCTGTACCTATAAAGTCGAGGATCCAGCCCACAGTGCCGTCCCCTCCGCAGGCCAGCACTCTGAAATCAGCAACGTCTCTGAAGAAGTTCAGCCTGCAAGCAAACACAGTGGGCCCTGCGCGTCACTACAGCATCACGTGGGCTGCTTTAGAATGAACAAGAGTTGCTCAAAAACCGTGTGTGCTGATTCACAAAGGAGCTTTTTGTTTCTCTCTTTGTACTAACGAATTGTAACCCACATTGGTTTCTGCAGAGAGGCCCTGATCGGAGAGGGTTAAGATTGTAATTGTTTAATTATTCTAGAACCTTTATTCCTAACGTTTTATTTTGAAAACGTTTTACTTGGGAGAGTGTAATTAGTTAAATTTATTGCCTCCGCTTTCTCTTCAAGTTGTCACGCTCTCACACGTCATATTCTGCAACAAGTGGTGAGTGTCCTCTATTCTTTTTGCTCAAAGTCACGGATCGATCGGGTGTTGAAAGAAATGACAATTACTTTGGACGTATCAGCCTTTCACTCGTCGGTAAGAGAGCGTGTTAAGTGTTCACATGACGGATCCGTGTGCCGATCCTTTCCGTGAACCCCCCCTAATCCCACAAAACAACACATGTCGCACTGACAGTAACTCATTCGACGAGCTAGCCCGCCTGTTGGAGGGCTAATTGGATCATGACAGGCAATGTTCAGTCCAACTTCTTCCGTTCCTTCACAATAACAAAGCCCTAACCCAATGAGCCGGCCTCCGAGGCTCGTATGGCGGGTAAATGATTCGCTCAATTACTCTCCAACTGGGACCGCAAACTGCATTAGGCGCAAAACAGACGGCCGTGCACATGAAAGGCAACTTTGGGAGTATTTTAATACCAAGAAACAAAACACTTAATTTGCCGTGATTGCGTTAGCGAGGCTCCTAATTGACAGCTGGGCGCGTGCGGCTGCCTCGGCCTGCCGTGTCCAGCGGTGACCCGTCACCTCTCCTAATGTGTGCGGCGGGGCGTACACCTGACGGGACATTAACCGGGTTACGGCGGCCCGAGGTCATCTGGAATGCCGTCAGCTCCGGGGAGGGAGCTCCGGCTGCAGGCGACGTCTCGGAGGGAGGGGGTCATCAAAACCAGTGAGACACGAGGTCGGGCCCCCTTCGAGGAGGGTTGCGCGTCTCCGCTCTGCGAGCCGCACTGTGAGTGCGCGCTTCAGGTCTAATCAAAGCCAGACAGCGAGGCGGCACGGCGGTGCGCGGCCGTCCCTTATGTCGCGTGCCTGCCAGAGCGGCGAAGGGGCCTCACGCATGTAAATGATCCATTCATTGCCTTAATCACAAGACGCGGCCCATAGGAAGCCCGGACGCCTACAGCCCGGCGGTGAGCTGCTCGTCTGTATGCGCGAGCACACGTGGGACGGCGAGGAGCGTCGCCCGTTTGCCCGTCCGTCAGCCGCCGGTGTCACCCGCACCGGGGCGCTCCCACGCGGGGCTTATGCATATGGAGCCGCCGCTCCTTCGGAGGCCGCGGTACATGACGCCGTCGTCTCCAGGGTTGGTTACAAGCGAGCCGCCCTCATTTGTGGCGGCGCCACATGAGAGGAAGTGGAGGGTCTGATATTAAAAGGCCTCTCTTGCATGTGATGGAGGTTATTATGATTTGTATATGTGAGCAGCCTGTTTGTAAACAGAAGATCAGGAGCAGATTCTCCAGGATGTGTCTTTCTTTTCCCATTAATGTTATGATGTTTACGGCTGTTAACGCTTTTTAAGTTTAAAAATTCGGAGATCAATTAATAATCTTCTACCTGAAAAATTAATATAAATTATTTTTTAATAGATTAACTCAAATAAATGAAAAGAAATAGAAAAGTGACTTTCAATCATGCAGTAATAACAAAATGATTTAATTTGATGTCATATTGTAATCTGACTGATTTTAAACTAAACATTCACATCCATGAGCAGGTAACACTTTTACTCAAAAGGGACAGTGTGGAAGATTTGGTGGCATCTAGTGGAGCCGGTTGAGAATGCAACAAGCTAAATGTAAAAGAGCGCTAACACTGATTTTTAAGAGTTAAGCTTATGAAAACATTTATTTATATTTATTATATTCTGTCTCACATAAAAGACCTCGAGAGAGTTGCTACTTTTACTCTTAAACTAAATGCTTCAATGTGTATATTTGCACTTTGCTGTTACTGATCCACGTACCCTGGCATGGGTCCATTCTTGGCCAGGTTGTACACTTGCCTCGGGTTCAGAAGATACTGGAACTTTCTGTAAATCCTGCAGGAGGAAATATGTAGCGAAAGAGAGCGAGATCAGAGAAAGTGTAAACAATAAACCAAAACTTACAACGCAAACGTTTGAAGATTCAAGAGAAATTCCAGGAATGTGGATTTAGTGTCACATTCTGTCCAAGCGGAGCGCGACACGGCGGCGAGCCGGGACATACCCAAAGACATACCCTGAAGGAGAAACCATTAGAAAGACTAATTCATTTTAATTTCAATTTCATTACATCAACTGGCTGAAGTCATATTTTGATCTCATAATTTAAACGAATGAGGGGCCGGCGTAATAAGGAGCGAATGAATATGCTTCAGTAATAACCCAATTAGCCCTGGGATAAAGACGGGGGACCGGCCGGGGTGGTGACAGCGAGCGGGGGCGTCTGTGGAGAGGTGAGGGGCGGTCGGCGCTGAAGTCCTCGTATCTTTTATTAATTGAAGTAAGTAAGTAGTAAGTAAGCCCGAAGCACCCTGTCACTGTGAGGAGCGGAGCTGCGGAGGCCTTTCTGGTCCAGGCGGAGGGTGTACTCACCTATCGCCCTGCTTCCCCCCGCTCTTCGGATTGACAAACACCAGCAGAGGATGAGTGCCCTCTATTGTTGTGATCTGAATGGGAGATGTCAAAACAAAGCGTCGGCGTTCGGAGACTGCAGGATGCTTCACAGGAATTCACTTTCAAGCCGTGTGCCTCAGACTTTTTCCTTCTTTTCTTTTTTGTTCCTGAGTCGACGGGGCACTTCCAGCCGCCTGATTCAATCGTAGCTTTCCCGTTTCATGGAGTGGTTGGAAGGCAAAGTGTGGGCGCGCACCACTTTCTTTGCCCGAGTCCAAATCTAATCTTGTGTTAATTATAGTATCTAATTATAAAAAGGAGAACAGTGATAAAGTCCTCAAAATAAATGTATTTCTAAAGCAACATTTTAGAAAATAAATCATTTAAATGTTCTTTTTCTCACTAGAATATTTTAAAAAATCCTGTGGAAAGAGAAAAAGCCATGTGATGTATGTCAATTCGAGTTCGAAAAAAAAAAAAGGCTTGGTATACATTTTGTTTGAATTAACTCAAACAAGCGTTATAGGGCAAATGTTTCATTTATTTAAAATAAACTAGAGTGTGACTTGTGACAGTTTTTGTACAACAACGGAGCTCGAAGATATCACAATACTTTTAGTTTTAGTCATTTTATCAGATTTGTCAAAAAAATGAAGAATACCATATGCCAAATATATCACTCAGGTTGAATGATATTGTGCATCTGCTCCGGGTTTTCTCAGAAGTTATGGCTGCAAGTGATAGCGGATGCAGGCCGGGTTTCAGTACAGCAGAACAACCCATCCATCCCTCAGCCGATCAATACCCTCAAACTGATGAATCACGATTGACGATTCCGTCCTAATAGTCCTTTGTCACCGCTTCCTAATTGGCGGGGCAGTTTGTCACGTGTGTGTGTGTGTGTGTGTGTGTTGCGCTGGGAAAAGGCGCCCGTGGTGCCGAAGGGCCGGACTCACAAAGCTCTAATCCCGCCGGAGTCCGGCCCCCTTCGTGCGACAACTGGGCCCGCACTCTCCCTGACACAGATGAAGCGCTTAACTCCCCCTGTCTGCTTTCCCAGCAGGCCAAGGGGGAATTAATGAGCTCCCTGTCCTGTCCGGAGTGATCCATTACTTCCTGTAATTATAAATAATAATCTGGATTATTACGCTGGTTAGCCGGCGAGAGGCAGAGATGGATGTGCCGGGGATGTGATTCATCATATTTCTCTCTGGGCCTGGCGCAGACGAGCAGTCGCCACAGACGTCGCCGGCTAACAGATAGTAAGGGAGGGGGGGCGGCTGGGGGTCCGAGCTCTGCTGCATGATACCGATTAGCGGCGTTCTCGTCACATGACCAGCTGCAGAGGTTCACTTCAAAACAAAAGGTAGTACAAATCGAGTAATGAATGGTGAGTTTCGCGTTAAAAAATGTCGGGTTTAAACATCTATTTGGGATTATGTTTCATATTTTTAACATCGCCACTGGCTCCTCTTTATGTTGCAGGTCCTTTTATTCACCTCAAATCAGATATTTTTAAAAGTTCCTGCTTCAGACGGAAAGGTGGATTGTGTCCTGCACTGATCAGCCGATAAAGTGGGGCGTTATTTTTATTTTATTTATTTCTGTTAACCCTCCCGACAAAAATACAAATTGACGATCAGGACTGACAACACGTACCTGGAGTCCTTGGCCGTCCACTGTGACGGAGTTGGCTCTCTGCATCTTCCCTCTGCTCGACTGACTGCACCGCGAGTCTTTCCTCAGCGTCGACTGTCTCTCCTGGGGGTCAAAGGTCAAACCGCGGACACGTGCATGAGGTGATTTCCAACACGGAGGAAAATGCATCTTTAACTATTTATTACACAAATGGTAAGAGAGGAATGGTACTTTGCAAATCAAACTTGAAACTATAAAGATCTTCTCTGTGCATTATTCTTTTTTTTTTTTACTGTTGTTGAAGCCTGTATTTATTGCCGTAGCCTCCCAATAATGTATACTGTACACGCAGGAGGTTACCTGAAAATAGCTTTTTTTAATCTGGTTCTGAATCTGGTTTAAATTAGTTTATAAACAGATGCTGATTTTCAGAGCAATTGCTGCTCCATTTGAATAAAACCTTTCAAGATCGCTGTTGTCTTCTGCCGATCTATAAGTCAAAAGAATCATCTTTATTTTAGAGATGCTTCTTGATTTTTTTAGTTGCACTCTTTTCCTGTGAAAATGGACTTTCTACCATTTTCTTAATAAAAAAATAAATAAAGCTTCGCCATTTGAGCGCCCAGTGGGAGAAGGGAGGCTGACGATTGCATCCTCGGGTGACACGGTGTCAAACCAGGTTAGCCTCCGTCGGCCATGCTGACCAGCAAGGAGCCTTACCAGGACGACGGGGCAGATGGAGCTGGGGGGCAGGATGTGGTCCTTCAGGGGTCCGCAGTCACACTCTGGTTTCACGTGGGAGGCACACTTGTTATGGAGCTGCAGGTCGGGGGGCGCCGGGGCGCGGGGGGGGGGCAGCAGTTAGTTAACAAACAAACGCACACGTTAAGGTTTGCATGCGCGTTCGAGGACTCATTTGCGTCATGCGCGTCTTTTGCTTGGGTTTAAATTTCTAGCAACTCGCAACAACAAACAAGTGTTTTCGGGGTGTAAATTGGTGGGATGGCTTGTGAGGCAGCCGAGGTGCAAAAAACAAAACCCCAAAAAAAAAAAAAAAAAAACGAAGCAAGAAGCAGTGGGAATATAATGAGGAGGTGAGCTGCATCTCCTCGGGGGGGCGGCTTACCGTGATTTGACACCACACGCAGTGGAGCCCGGTCAGGCCCTGGTAACACTTGATGGTTTTGTGACACTTGTCACACTTGGTGGGGCAGTTCCCTTCCACCCAGAAATGATGCATTACCTGCGGAGAGAGGGAGAGGCGGCGTGCAGGGAGGGAGAGAGGTGAGAAAAGACACACGGTGCAGAAAAACAAGACGTATACAAAGGCACAAGTGACACAACAATTAAAGAAAGCAAGCCGGAGAGAAGACAAGCAAGAAAGGAAAGCGAGAGAGAGAGAGAGTGGGAGAAGAAAAGCACAGCAGAGAGCCAGAAAGGCCCAACAAACGACGCCGTCTGTCTGTAAAGCAGACCCGTCCTGGCGATTAGCCATGCCTAGTAGCAGATTGAGTTGTTTTAATTCCTGCAGAAGAAGAGATGCCCTCATCCTGAGCACCGCTGAGCCGAGCGTGCCCACCGCTAAACACTCCAATCCGACGCACCTCTGGGTTTTTCTTGGTCTTGACGTATGTTTTGATGCAAGACGGCGGAGCGCGGGCCACGCAGCGCTCGTGCACTGTGTACTTGCAGACTGGGGGAGGGGAAGAGAAAAAAGCAAAAACATTTTAATTCAAGACTTTCAACTAAGAGTAATTTAAAAGGAGCGCAGAGGAGAGGAGAAACGACAACAACGACAGCAGCAGTGCTACAAGTGCACCAGGACTTGAGTAATGTTTGCTCAAGCCCTGGTGCAAGAACAAGTGCTACATAAGACACCATCATTTGTGTAATGATATTTCATCCCCTTTGATTAACAGATTAACGGTTGAAGCTTTTTGTAAAAATGTGCTTTATTGTTTACACAAAGTGTAAAAAAGTGAATTCATGTATTTCCCCGTCACATTATAATAGTAACAATATCATTTTACAAACATTCAAAGTTGATGAAAACAGGACCGAAACGTATTCTACACATCAAAAGTTGATATAAACTCAAAGGTAACACCTACATTTCAAGCTGTAGGCTTAAAACAAAGGGCTAGTTTCAGTTCACTCACATGAGCAGCAGAGCCCCTGCTTCCCCAGTCCGATCAGCATGTTGAGACACAGGTTACAGTAGGCCGGCTTGTTGAAGTGCTTCAGCCTCCACACGTGCTGCCCGTCATCCTTGACATTCTGCAGGCAAACACAAACATTTTGAATTGATTGAATGATTGAGCGCTTCGTTACATGTTTTTATACTCTGACGGGAGAATCCTCGGCTCATGTGTGTATCATTGAACTCGTGTTGTATTCTTCCAGTTCTTCTGGCTGGTGGGACAAGTTTTGCTGCCTTGCCTTGGTAGTAATTTCCATTCATAAAAAATGAAACAAGAAGGGATTTCCGCCGTTGCCTGTCTAATGGTTCCCTCTAGTGGAAGGATTATGAAATGATGAATGTGTGTGAATCGGTTACATGTTCAGATATGTTGATCCTTTTGTCTAATATCAAATGAAATATTAACATTTCCCATCAGCAAAAAAACGAGAGAGCAAACGTTTACCTTGTGACATTTTTTCAGTTTTTCCAAGCGTGGTATGAGGCCGATGTAAATGTATCTCTGACAGCTCAGATGCGACATCTTGATGTTACAAATGTTTCGACAATTCGTCAGTCGCCTCAATAAGTGGAGGCGAATAATCCCGGGTGCTGCGGGTCGTCCTCCGTGGACTCACCGTCTCCAGGCCCAGCAGCACCAGTAGCGGGATGGTGGTCATGCCCCCCTGGATCCACTCCTCCAGCGACACCGTGCCATCGTGGTCGTAGTCGATCTCCTGCATCATGTCCTGGAGGATCTGCGTCGATACGTCAGAAGGCGAGAGGAGGAGGAGGAGTTTGTGAGCAAATTGGAATGGTTAGCTCCTCTTTGGGTTCAAAGTTCACTTTTTTAGTTATCATTACTTAGCGTTAAAAGTAATTGTTGTGATGAAAAAGGAGTGGGGAAACCAGCCGAGAGGTTTTCTAAACTCCCATCATTACTTCTGCTGACTGGGTGTCTTACTGGTTTCAGCTCGGTCACGTCCCATTCCAGGTACTCGGCTACATGCATCATCTGGGAGATAATGTGCTCCAGCTCCTGCGGTGAGACACAAGACAGTCAATTACAGGGCCCCCCCCCCAAAACACAGTGTTTACCTTTCCTGCGTACCGCAGCCTCCCGGGCTAAGTGCCCTCGGCGTGAATAGACTGACGGGCAGCGCGTAATAGCCGGTTGGAAATGTCACTGTTCCACACCGGGAAAAACAAAAGGCAGCGTGGGAGGAGCTCCGAGGCCGATGGCTTAATTACAATGGTTTTGATCTTTTGGAGGGGGATGTGGGGGGTATTATTAACCAGTGGGATACTAAATCACTATGATGCACTTTGGACTTCTTTGAGATGTTGAAAGCAAATAAAAAAAGGGCTTATTATTGTTTTAATATCTTCTTATGACCAGATTAAATCAATATCTCTATACCCCTTTTTTTGGAAACTCTCCAGTCTCCTTTCCTTACGCTTTCCATCCTAGCCAATAATAGCATATATTACCCCTCCACCCACTTAACCTTCATAAACACTTTCTGTATGTAGACAAAGCACCAATGTTATGGTATAACATGTAATGTGAGCAAACTGATATATATGCTTAAACTATTTAACCCTCGCTTCAAGTACAACGTAATTTGAAAAATAACAAACTCCTCTTAGAAAGAATAATATTCAATGGAAAAAAGCTCCTCACTTGTGATCCTAAATGTAATGTATTTTAGTTTTGCCTGTAAATCTGACAAAACAAGGCATCACATTGGGACATTTTCACCATCATTTCATATCTATTATGTAGAAATAAAACAACAGATAATGGGACACATTTTCCTCTCAAGCCTTGGCTCTGATGCTCATGAACGTAATTAATGTTTTAAAAACATAAAAGTTCTCCAGCAATTAAAACATCCCCACAGTGCATATTTAGGGCCGCATTCAGTGAAACAATGTGTCCTCTCAACAAAGACCTTCAGGTGACGGTTGTTGTTAAAGAGGAGAAATATTTACCGAGCTGTCCAGGGACCCGTTTCCATCGGTGTCGTAGAGGCGGAACGTAACTGTGGACAGAGAAAAGAAACGGTCAAGCTGCGGCATCACCGCTCGGTTCTCTGCGGCCTTTGAAGTGAACTTTAAAAGGCCGTTATTGGCCGGTGAAGCCGCGGCACCTTGGCGCCGTAAAACAGCTTTTATTTCCTCTGTGCCAAACCCAGATCTCTGCAGTTGTTTGCATCTGAACGTTGCAACTTCAAATGGCCCCCAATTACCAAAGGCGTCACCATGGAAACCGACGGCTCCAGCATCAAGGGACGATATGGATTTCTGAACGTCACATAGACGCGACGGCAACAACAACTTGACCTGGCTTCAGAGCGTCTCCGTGCCAATGTCTACACCCTTAACCAACACCACCATCCCTCCTCCGCCCTACGGCTTGCAGGCGAGCGCGGTCGAGGTGCAGTTGGCGGCGGGCGCTGCTGACATCACGAGGAGTTGACGTCAGATGTGCGGTCCGTAAAGCCACTAACGAGGAGCTAAGTGCCAGTTTCCTAAAGGGGGGAGGGGGTGACCTTTTGGGGGGTAAAAGGAGGGGAAGTGATGCTGGTGTCTGGCGTTGGGTGTCGGGTGTAAGGTGATGGTGTCACGAGGTGGCGCTTGCGGAGACCCAGAGAGGTAATAAAAGGCTAAAGATGATGGGGGCTGTTGGTAGCCTCTGTCCGCAGTACAAATGGGTTGGACAGAGTTTCTTCTGGGACTTTTCTCATAAAAAGAAAATAAAAACTGGATTCATTAAAGCAACACTTTGTAACTTTTATATATCTGCTTAAACTGACATTAAATCCTGACAATCGCATATGGGATGAATAATCTGTGGGGGAACGTAACCATTCTGCAGCCTCCTATCAGTGCTCTTAAAGGCTCCTCCAGAATTCCACCCTCACCAAAAACAACCAATCACAACAGAGCAGTCTCCGATCGAAGTCCAGCAACACGGGTGAATATCAGCTCTGTTGGGGTAAAGGCTACACAACAACTAAGATAAAGCTAAAAGCTAAAAATAATGGTCGTATTTTATTTATACAACCAAATATTTGATTTAAATTTCAACTTCTGTATTTGTTTACTTCTGTTTATCTGTTACCAATGTCTATCTTTTTCTTTGTTTGTCTGTTTTCTCTGTCTTCTGTGCTTATCCATTTGGAATTCCCTTATTTTTGTGTGTAACTTTCATCTTTTACTTTTTCATGGTGTTAAATAACATAAAAAAAAAGAAATGAAACAATTAACTTTCTCTCTCTGGTGACACCTTGAGTTGCTGGTACATTCTTATTAATATATAAACAGGTTTACTTCTGCCATATTCTCCTTTAAACACTAATTTAAAATAAATTCTTGAAACAATGGAAACGGCACTGCAGCAAGATAACACAATTTCCCCCCACAGTTGGTTCTCTGGGCCCTTCTAGAGTTCATAAATGTGTTGTTTCTCACTGCAGACACATCAGCTGAGAAAGCCGAGTAGTCCTCAAGCCGACCAGCAGAGAGAGCCGTCTCCTCAGAAACAACAACAACCGAGTGCATCGGCGAGAGCTGAGGACGCAGGCGGGAAAAGCTCAATGAGACGTGGGCCACAGTTCAGATGTGCAGACACAGGCAGCATCAGTTGAATTATTTATTCACCCGCGTGCTTAATGAGTTCTACGCTACTCAATAATTCAACAGATGGATGAGAATTACAGGAACACTGAAAAAACTGATTAGGTGATGTTACGGAATTAATAACGGATGTGATAAACACAATTAAGAGAGATAAACTCTCTTTAGGAATCTCTTTAGAGAAGCTAAACGAGGCGCTGCAATGACCAAAAGAGAAAATGGTGATGACAATTCTAAATAAACGATAAACGCCAACATTTGTTGGAGGCTCAAAGAGCTGATTTCAGTTAAAACTAAATTAAATTGAATGTTATTGCTCACCACCAGAGAAAACCAAAAGAAACAAACAAACGTACAGAGGCTGGCCAACTCCGCATTTTCCACGCTGGTAGTCTAATTCATTTTTGATTAAAGATTCAGAGGGTTTGGAAGCAAACAGGAAACTATAAAAAGGGATGAAACTGATGGTGGCCGATGCTGGTAAGTAAACAAATATATTTAGCATTGTGCTTAATCTATAGATAGTGAAAAATAAGTCCCACATTTACACTATGCATCATTTCAAATCAATGTCATTTTGAATTTTTTCTTAAACGCCTATCCATTAATGAGATAATGCCTCCAAACGGTTGACAACATGCAGCCGGCGGCTGTCAGCTACCACAACATCCATACATGGAAAACAAGTTAATGATCAAACAGGTATTCTTCCCAAATGGTTCTATCTATCTATCATACTGCGGGTAACCATAGCAACAGTAGTTCTTCCGGGTGCTGCATGAACAGATCATACCGGCCCAACCACACAAACCAACTTTCCTTTCATTAGTGGCCGCGGCATGAGCGCCGCATCACACTGGCTGGTCCCTTAATATATCAGCTTTAAATATTAACGACCTCCACTCCATCCATTATTGTCTTATATCACAGAGGAAAACTATTTTCTAGAACCCTTGCTGATGATAACACGCTGATTCTGGGCTGGAGACACAAGTTCTTCCTGACGTCCGGATAACTTGATTGGCTCATCCACTGCAGGCATAATAGGACCCGGCAAACGGAGGCGCCTGACTAGGGCGGGCCAACCTGACAGATTTTATGATTTATGTATAAATTATATATATATAAAAATATATATATAATAATATATATAAAATTTTTATATATAAAAATGATAAAATGTTTTCCTCCCCAAAATATTAATTACTCCCGACTTCCATCCACCCGCTGCGGTTTCGGCCTCCTGACCACTGACATTAACTCGGCCCGTCGATGTCTCAGTCGTTGGTTCTTGCCTGATTTTTCTACCTGCATCACGTCACTGAATGGCAGAGAAGTGAGCAGAGGGGCCCACGTGATCTGGGTCGACACTCACACTCCAGCTTGTCCTCGGGACGCCCGCCCTCCAGCAGAGAGAGGTAACACACGATGTCCTTCAGCTGCACCGTCTCCAGAGGTGGGGGCGGGGAGGCGGTCCTCAGGGGGGTGGAGCTGCCTTTGATCAGCTTCAGCCCTGCAGGGGGACGGAGGAGAAAGGTCAGAGCATCCTCCGCGACGCCTCTAATGTCGGCCCGGTGACCCGCTGGCTCGGCTTCAGTCACACGGGGTGATTGTTGGCGGGCGGCAACAAAAACGTTTAATTTCTAGCATGGACGAATTTTTGATTTCATAAATTCGGGCGGGGGCACAAGTATTTTTAATAAAACGCAAACTTTTTCAGTTCACTGTTTTTTTTTAGTAGTTCTTATAGTTTTCTATTGCTAGGAGCTTGTGTGTGGGAAATAAACCGTTAGCGACAGCGGTAGCTGCCGCGGTTTTTGACAGTCACTTCGCTACTTTTTTCAGTTACAGGGCTGTTTGTGACAGAGAATATGTCCAGTAACACAATCTCTTACACAATTCACACAACACAACTTACACAATTCTAGCTGACGTGACCCAGGCAAAACAAACGCCCAACTTACAGTGGCAGAGTAACATGGACTCCTCGAGTCCTCGGCAACTAGCAGGCCGGTTTACAACCCGATGAAGTGACAGCGGTGACGGCCAATCACACAAGCAACAGCACAACCAATCGAGGAGCTTGTGGGCGGGTCTAAACTAAGCGAAAGCAGCTTCAGCTTGAGCGGCCGTTTTTCCGCTTGGTCCTAGTGCTTGAACTGTCTCTGTTTACCATGTCGTAACTTTGTTTTTGGACGGTAAAAACAGCAGGGGACAAAAACGGCCTTTTGAAATATTTGAACCAGGAACTTCATGATTTAAAGCAAGTTAAAGGAATAAGGGGTATCTGTAGTATACAGTAATCACCGTCAGTACCTCAGAGTAGAGGGACATCATTCATGAATCATTCATCACTACCACGCTATCAAGTCCGTGCGTACGTCCAGCTGCAGCATTCTAAAGGGGCTTTTAAGGTGAAATCAACTGTTTAGTGTGTAGTGGTTCTCTTATCTGTGTTTGGGGTGATGGGAGGCCTTACTGATAAAACTGGATCAATGAGACCTTATCAACACACACACACACACACACACACACACTCCAGCACTGCCCTGATTCAGGTCATCACGTGCTAAATGAGTGAGTGTACTCGGTTTTTATACACTACAGATTTTACCTTTACTTGAAATGGTTTAGTAGAATTTACAATGACTGTGTAGAATATTTGGGTATCTTAGTTCTAATCAGGTCACAATATTCGTTTCGGAATAAGAAATTAGTCCAGTTTACTGACACAAATTTACTTTTAAGATGTGATTGATGGATTTCTTAACTCTAGGAAAAAAAAGTGACTAGATTATATTTCATTCCTTGCTAAGCTGCATGTCAAGTATTGAGTCCCACTGCTGCTTGGACACAAAAAAGCAACCTCACTTTTTACAGTCAATGTGCCGCTCAGTCTCCGCGGGGAGCGGCCTTCAATGCTTCCACTCACTGGGGAACTTTATTCTCTTTCATAATACACTCCTCTGATCTCCTGTGCGGGTCTGTCTCTGCTGTAGTAACCGCACGGGTAAAATGAAAAAATAAAAATGGATTAAAAGGCAATCCCATTATTTTAATTACAGTATGCATGCTTTTTTTTACCTCCTGTAGCTCATTATGCCTGCAGCAATCATCCACCAAATGAGCAAAAACTGCACATGACTTTCAACAGACAGAAATGAGTCTCTATCATCAGTGAGAAAGGACAACTCGGTTTTCAGCCATTGCTTGTGTTCCATTACCACCTGCAATTCATGCAAAGGCTAATATGAGCGCTGTACGTGCATTCATCAGAGGCACTGGACAAAGTGTAAGAAGCTCTGAGAGACTAAAACACAACTAAAGTGTCAAAGTCGATCCAGATATTTGAAAACATATATCAGGCCAAAATCATGTAGGCCTTTATTATCATTATTATTATTCGCTATTATTCAAATTGGCCATTTGGCTGCAAGTACAAAGGCTACTATTTCAACTGCACATCTCCGTGTTGTTGACATCCAAAAGAGAGCAGAATTTTCCCTTTAGTACCAGTGACTCATCCATCACACCAGAACGAGATATTAGTACAAATGCTGTAAACAAACAGAACCGCAGCCAAGACAATTGGCAGCCGCTACACTACAATCTGCTTTGTGTGCCAGAGGTCTGAGCCTGGCAGGAAATCTGTTATCATGTAATGGCCCCAAAAAACTGACAAACAAACCAAAATGGTTCTGCTTCGACACAAAGACAGTAAAGCATCCCCTCTTTCAAATCAAGACTGAGTCACTGCTGTGAGGGCGTGGAACGAGGGACAAACCAGCCGTCCATCAGCAACAACAGCAGTAATCAGTAACCACACAACACCAGGACGCCGCGCTAACAGCTCCCGGGTTTGTTATGGTGAAGACTTCCTCGCTACACTCACCAGAGACTCTGGGTTTGTCAGACGATGAGGGACCGGGTTCGGGTCCCTTGTTGCTGAACGTCATGAAGAGGTGTCGGCAGAACTCTTCGGGGAGTTCGCTCTCCAGGAACGTCTGCATGAAGACCTTGAAGCCCTCAAAGTCAATGTCCTAAAAAAAAAAAAAAAAACAGTTCCGAAAAATAAGAGTGTGTTGTTGGTCACGAGGAGCTGCAGTCGCCTTGAGGGCTTCAAAGGAACACAGATGATTTTTAAGACGAATGGTGGTTTGTTTGAGAGGGAGGGGTTTGAATCTGATCTTTATCAAAAATTCCTTTTGCAGATTTCTTTCTCAGAAAGATGCCTTGTGTGGTTTAGGCTGTGGGCGAGTGAAGGGCTATTTCAGAGGCTCTCTGCTTACGTCTGTTTCCATCGGACTCTCAGGTTGCCTGATTGTTTGATTCTGTTAGTTGTTAATTGTTGTCTTCAAGAAACACATTCAAGATGATATAATATTTCACTGTTTGTGTGAATAGATCATTATTCTTATCAAAACTAGAAACAACAAGAAACACTGAACAAAACACAGCAACAACGGATCAGAGAGAAGAGATTACCTGGCTGAGGATGTCCTGCTTCTAAACATGTAGCATTGTAGAAAGAAAGAAACCCATCATGTTCATGGAGGTCGTGCAGTTCTCATGTCCTAAATTGTGCTAATAATGCTCACTCCACCTGTGCATGAAAAAAATCCTAAAGACATGATGTCTGTGAATGCTCAGTGACTGTGAACTCTCTTTATTAAGTTCTCACTATATAAAAGGATATTATAACTACCATGGGAAAATTATTATTAATATGCATGCATAGTTATTTCAAAATTAGTATATTGAATAATACACAAAGGGAACCTGTTTTATAGTATGCGTTTCTATTTGAACACAGACTGTTAAATTGAAAGATAAAATAATTCTTGATTCATACTTTTAAAGTTGAATACAAAAATCCAGCCTTGAAATACAGTAAGCATGATGATTTACAATTAAAAGCTAAAATGGCAGCTTGGTTAAAAATAGGTTTATGAAGCAGACCAATAGCAAAGTAGGGCTCAAAGCTCAATAAACCATGTGTTATATAATAAGAGTATAAACGGCACGTACCTCCTCTGGATTGTATTTAGCCAACACACCATCTCCATGGAACTCCTGCAGCACATCCCTCAGCTTCTTGGTCGAGTCTGAGGAAAACAAATGGAGGGCAGGTTACTATTTTTCAGCGTTGTGATGGCTTTGTGTTTGGAAAGTTTACATTGGAATGTATATTTGACATTCCTTTACAAAACAAGTTTGATTTGTGCTTGCATTCATTCTCCACCAAGTGGTGAGGCTTATTTACGGGTATGGATTTTCTGCAGAAGACGTGTGCACCCTGATGTCTGCAGAGAGACACGCAGCCCCTCGGTAGATTGGTTCATTCGCTTTCCTCCCAAGAGCGAGATGAGAAGACCCAAATCAATATACTACCCGTGCAATTTAGACAGGCCCTTTAATTCAGTGTCCCACTGTTATGGTTTTTACAACCATCCTTTTTTGAAAATTGACATTAAGGACCAAAGGACGAAACTAAACTACTACTAATACCACCAACACGACCCACTGAGGACAAACATTGTTTAGCCTAGCATGACAGCTAGCTTAGCGCTGTCCAAAGTGGAAAACAAGCAACTCATTGACCAAGTTGACTAATCACGCTGCATCTATTACTGTTTAACGTGTTCACAGGAAGGAATACAAGTTGAACATGCTAACGTTAGCTAGTTCAAGCACAAGTCAATGTGCTAAGCTAGCTAGCTTCATTCCGACCCCGGCTCTGTATCTAGTATTTTTGACAACTGGAAAAACAGAAAACAAGCCGGAAACGCAATATATTATCATCTTTTAAATGAATATGGTGAAATTGCTAACAAACACATTCACACAGTTCACTCTCCTTTGATTAGACACTAAACTACCCAAAGCCCAAATTAACTTTTTTAAAGAATAATATGGAGTTTCAAAAAATAGATTATATTAAGTTAGAATATTTACTTTACTTCACAAATTATTATGTTGATTTGGCCCTTTTGTGACACCGTTCACTGGGAACAGAGATTTTCTGCAATAATTACCACATGCTGCAGAGCATTTATAAGTCCTGCCGTTAAATCCATTTGCCGCGCAACAGAAACCAGGTTGTAAATGTTACAAAAGTCAATTAAGATGTAAAATTTGTTCAAATGCACTTGAGGGCCCAGTTCATCTCTCACACACACGCTTGCTTAAATTAGCGCTCCACATTAGTCACGCAGTGTTTCACCTGTTCACTGGCTTAATTAGCACAGGATGTGGATCCCTTGCTCTCATAAAGGTACGTCTGCTTCTCGAGCAGCTCTCCGACGTGCCGTCGTACTAACGGGGCCGACCGTGAGGTTCATGGAGCCGCTCAGCACGTGGCTGATTGATAAGCAGCAGGTGCGTCGGTAGGTTTTGGCCTCGTAGGTAAGAAGGTGAAATAATATCTTTTCACAACCAGTAAACTTGTAACTTGTAAACTATGTAAATTCACTAGCTTTGGTTAGCAACTCTTCCTGATATATGTTTCCACTGATACATATTGTCACGCCAATGTTTCAAATACCGTACCTTGGTCAGTGACGGGGTGTCAATACCCAGCCTTGCTTTTGTAAGGCAACAAAAACAAGGCTGGGTGTTTGGGTAAATTGGGGTTTTTGCAAGACGCAACAACTGACATGACGAATCGAACAGCGGCCTCCTGGGTCTGAGTGTCTACTAGTGACGCAGGAATGTTTATATTGGAGCACTGACCCAGCTTTGGAATATGAGGAATGGCGAATGTCCAGGTAAAGCAAAGCAACACACGATACACACAGCATAACTTACCTTTAAACCGTGCAGAAGTACATTATGCAATAGTGCAAACAGGCCGTTAGCAGCACATGAGTTATGTAGAAATAACATCAGAGTCAATATGAACACACTGTTCCCTGATGCAGTCATTCTGCGTTCAGTGCAGCTGATGGTGATGTTATAATGGCTGCTGTCCTTCATCCATTTAGAATGTTTAAACTCCTCTTGATGGGATTTTGTCGGTGGTAGCATTGCGCCGCCTCCTGCGCTAATGGCTCTGTACCTTTTGATTCTTCAAGAAATAATTGCTTCACATTGGAGTGTGTCATCATCATTATTGACGACCGATACATATTAGCGCGCCGTCCATGCAAAACCATTTTGTGGCAGAGTGATAATGAATCCTCTGATTGCGTGTCACGTTCAACATGCCCAGCGGGATTACAATGTGTTCTCTATCGGGGTAATTATTTAAGCATTGTGTGGCACACAGCGATCACAGGGTGAGCCTCGGTCCATGTTTTTCTAGGTTCACGTATATACAATAATGAGTTTTTTCCCTCTAATTGTCCCTCTGTGAAGCAGCACTCTGTGATACACCTTTTAGCAAAATGTATCAGTTGAATAGAAACTAATTGTTGTGAGGCAGATCTTGGGTGCCACAGCTATTAAAATGTTATAAAAAGCGTGCGGCGGCTAGCCTTTAATGAGAAGGAAGGGAGAGATACAGTAGGAGGCGAGATGAAGGGCGAGACGAGGAGGGAAGGCGAGGCAACGTGATGCTCGTTGTTGCTCCACGGAGGATGGGATATTTTATAACCTGTTGCTGCGCAGTGCACAAAGAGTCGCCTCGAGCTCGTTGAAACATGATTATCCAAATCCGTCTAGCGTGCACACACACACGCACACACACACACACACCAAGGCTTAAACTCTCTCCTTCCGCCTCACTTTTTATTTCATTCCGCTTTTTTATTCCCTCACAAATTCACGATACAGCGCTAAGCACCATGTCCCTGGGACATTTGGTTTAATACGTCGAATTCATTAGCGTCCACAAAAAAACAAAAGAATCAAACTCATAAATACACACAAAAAGAACAAAAAAACAGAACCTAATTGCCTTCTAAGTGCATCTGCCGGAGAGAGCAGGGGAGTGAGGAACAATGTTGTCACGAGGCACAGAGCGAATTAAAGGTAGAAATGTTAGAGAAACAAGACGTCCACGGTGAAAAGGATTCATTATTGATATTCATACTCGCTGCAGCGGTTGAAACGCCTCGAAGATGTTGTGTTTGACACGGAAAATAGCTCTAAAATGTATTCTGCCGCGGGTTGCAGGAAGCACTTAGGAATCCCAAGAAAGTCGGAGCACCTAAGGACTCCGGTTCTGATCCACTGTTAGTGCCGTTGTCTGTCCACGAACGATTAAAAATCTGCCCAAGAAAAAACGGTCGTGTAGGCGGTGCGCTGAAGCCCCCGCGGTTGGCCCGCCAGGCCTCGTCATATTTTCCGTCCCTGGTACCGTTTGAAATGATGAAATGTGTCAACATCTCGGAGCGGAACATAAACTCCGGGCGTCCAGAGCGCAGTCTAGTGAGCAGGGGAGCCATTTGTTGAGGCTGCGAATGAATCATTCAGAGCCAAAGCGGCGACACACGCAGATTAAATGCTTCGGCTGCTTCAGCTTCCTACCTCGGAAAGACAAACATCGCTGTGCAACGTCAACGCTGCATCATTAGAAGGGCAAGAGATGTTTGAGATTAAGAGTCCGGTCGTGCTGCAGTCGCACAGAGGAGCGCTCTTGTCTTTAACTCGTGGGGATTGATGCCATCAGAGAGAAGTCGTGTCTCGTTCTGTTAACGGGTCCCAGAGCCGAGAGGACGAGTACAGACGATGTGGCAGCACAAATCAGCTTGGTGCCAATTTAAAGAACGAATAAACAATTGATGGAGGGAAAAGCCAAAACACCAAAATAAATGTCTCATATTTTTTATAGCAAGATGAGGTGCGATAAAATGATGATAATCGGAAATACAATTCACCTCAGCCAATGGTTCAAGGGTAACCTCACACAAAGAATCTAGCAAGAGCTAGAATAACATTTCACTCTTGTTTTAACCTAAACCTTAGTTTTAGTTATCACCTTGTAAAATGTGCTCTGCTTGTCACAAGCTCAGTTTGTCTCGGGCTTAACGCTGGGCCGGTCGTGTGAAGTCAGCCTCCAAAACCTGTTCGTAAAAATGTATATGAAACTCTTGAACATACTAATTCGTAGTGATACATACTAAATAAATACGGACTGCAACTGATGACGTCACCCTATTCAAAGTGAATGGGGACCTGCACCCCGTAAACACACTAAAAAATAAACGTGTTATGATTGCATTTTTAACGAGAAATCAATGTTAACTTGTAAGAATAGAATACTAACCCTAACCCCCTCAAAAAATCCAACATGGCAGAGAGACGTTCACTCAAGAATCCGACATGGTCGGAACAGGTTTTGGAGATCACGTTGGTGAAGTGGACGTCTCAGAGCTTTTTTGTTTGAGCGCTGTTTCCAACTGCCTTCAACAGTTATACAAGGTTAACAGGCCATAAAACCCAAACAATAAGCTGAAAGTACCAACAACTCGATAAGAGACGAGAGGAAATGTATTCGTCTTTGATCTTTTTCTGAAGGTTTCTGTCACGACAAGCAAACCCCTTTTATATTAAATTTTGTGGGATTAAACAACGCTGACAGTCAGGACCTCTAGCAGCGTTACCGCTGCAGCAGCAGCAGGTGACTACAGCTCTGCAGACACCAAAGCTCTGCCAGCACCAAACTCAACATCACAGTAACAATTGCCAAGTTTAGCTGTAAAGACATGCGACCCTACAATGTGGTTGAAAATCCGGGGTTCTGTGAATTGATCCAAACATTGTGTAATTATTGTGTAATGTTTACATTGAAAATTGCACTTGATTCAAATAAAAGGTTAATATATTTGCTATTAATTGTTCTTTGCTTGTTTATAATATCCATAATTAATTTCCTTACAAGAAACAACAGGGAACTTTGCCTGCACTGTCCAGTAAAGTTACTGAATCGATTTTAAGTCACTGAATCGAATCGAATCGTTCTAAATGAACCCAGATCATCAATGAATCGAATCGTTACACCCCTAATTGTTAGTTTAGTAGCAGTAAGTCCCTAAAAAGGAGGTCGGCTTTGTTCTGCTCAGCAGGGGTGGCAGATTTAAAAATGAGATTAGGAGTCAAACAATATTTGCAGCAGATGTTGATTTGGGGCTGAGCATCTTGAACAGCTGCAAGAAAAGTCCCCATGATAATGAGACTTCCTCGGAGAACATGATGACAGACATGCAGAGAGACCTTCTTCATCACAGTCAGACTCCAACGAAGAGAATACCCCCTCCTACTTACACTGAGTGTACTCCTGGAGCAGGGCGAATTCAGCCGGGGTCAGCGTGACCCATTTCTCCTGCCCGCTCATCGTGCTCAGACCTCGTATCTCCGTCCTCTGAGCATTCCCTCGTGCCTCCGTCAGCAGCACACTGCAGGGCGTCGCACGCTGGAAGACAACAGCAGACATCAGCCCGTCGGCCCCGGATGAGACACCCCACGATGCCCGTGAAAATGAGGACGCATGGGGAGGAGGAGACGCATTTTTCAAAGTCAGTCTGACATGTCATATTTCCCCACTCTGCAATTTCTCCTCTCAATGCCGCGCACGAAAAGACCAAATGCCCAAAACGTCCCCGTGTCTGTTGATTGATTCGATGCGAAGACTTGACATTTCAGGCTTGTTTGTCAGCCAATGTTGGATAAAGCCAACGTAAAGAAACCCCATCGTTGGAAAACCACGCAGTTCTTAATACAAATGCAACAAAAAGAAAATACATCAAACAGGATAAATCCCGGTATGGGAAGTGAAGCAACACCCATGAAGCACCGTTAGCTGCGTCAGCACCGTTGGCATTGTTTGCAATGGCGGTGCCGTTAGGATCGCCGGCTCCTAGCTGAGACAGTTATGTTTTAGAGTTGTGAAGGTGATTGCTCAAACACAGATATGCTCTTAATTTGACATTTCACATTTTGGACCTTTATGCAATTTCAGAATTAAAAAAAACATGGGTGGATTGTAAACACATGAACAACGTATCCGGGGTTAGGGTTAGGGTTCCAGTTCCAGAGCTGCACATCGACCTCCATCATCATGACGGAATGATGCACTTCACCAAAGGCAAACTACAGAACAATCAAGTAAATCATCCAAAACGTTTACATGTATTCCAGGGTTTACAAGTTACTGGATCCTCTTCAATCATATCAGAAGGTGGAAAACATGACTCACCGATATTTGTCATTAGATAAAAGCAAAGCAAAGCAAACAAAAGATGTATTAGTACACTGTACTGATCACAGATCTTTAGATTTATTTGACCTTGCTTTCCCTTTTGGACAAGTGTGATTAGCGTAATTGCACGTTGTGTGTGTAGTAACTCAACTAGACATCTGTTTGTGTGTGTGTGCTACATTACCAGTGAAGTGTTTTGCCGCAAATGGTGGATCAACAAGTGGTCACGTTCATTCATGTGGAGGATGGATTTGTTCCTTTGCATGCAAATAATAAGCATGATGCACGTACAATATAATATGAGTGAGGTATACATTTATCTTAATTTAGTTTGGCCTTGTGTGTGTATGTGTGCCTGTGGTCAAGTGTGTGTGTGCATATCCATGCTGTAATACATGAGCAGGCAACTATCCCTTGGTGCCATGTCTTACCTTGAATAAAAGGGTAATTCTGTGAACAAAAGCAGTATAACTGATGAAGGGTAGAATCACTATTTTGACATAGACTTCATAGAAAAGGGGATTGAACGAGATGTGCAGCCAGCGGTGTGTTTCTGTGTGAACACGCTGGCTGCGTGGGAACCAGCCTCCCTCGCAAAAACTTTGATCTGCCGCTGGAGCTGCAACTAGAATACGCTCTGTCTTATCAAATATTTTGCCCGGGCGGGAAAAAAGAAGACGTAAAGCTCTGTGTTTTGAGTCGAATCCCAACACGATGACACCACATCTGATTTTGGCACCGTTGTGTATACGTGTGCGGCGTATTCCTGCTGTGCCTTGCTGCAGGGTGTCCACACAAAGGACTGGCATCCTTTCATGGACCAGAATCCATTTTCACACCATCACCAGGTCCACCTCATAGTCCTACTGCATTCAGCATGGATCTGTGCGCTGTTACGCCACAGAACACAGAAGATCCAAGCACAGAGACCACTGATGCAGTGACACACACACACGCACATTCAGAAGACATTGGCCAGTGCGACACGCCACCATCAACGAGATGCGGATTCACCATGAAGCTCACCTGCTGCAAAGCCGGGGTTTACCGCCAACAGAGCGTGAGGGGGTGGGGGTGGGGAGGAGTCCTCCGGGCAGATGTTTGCAGATGAAGCTCCTCTGTCACACCCGCCCGCCGTGTTCTGTCACCTGCGAGGGCAAAAGTGGGAGTTGGTAATCAGCTGGAGTGTAAAACCCTGTTCATCAAGGAGAGGAGACGATGGAGCAGCAGCCCTCTGCGCTGCATGTCGGTGTATGAGTATGTGGAGGGTTGCTTGTTTTCGCAGTGTCTGGTCAGAGCGGCATCGCCAGGGATGTGTAGCGCTGAGAGAGAGAGAGAGAGAGAGAGAGAGAGGGAGGGAGGGAGGGGGGCACTGCACTGCCTGCAATCATCAGTTTCCATACTCCCGCTTGCTGGCGTCACATCTCTCCATCCCTCCCCCCTGTCTCTCAGGTCCTCTCTCTCCACGCCACCCTGAAGACAAAAAAGAGAACCTCGAGGTCCGAAGCTCTCTTACTTTCTCTCGGTCTTCCTCATCTCTCTTGTTACTACCGCACCCCCCCTCCCCCTTCACCCTCCCCCGTCCCCTTCCTTTCACACCGTCTCTCCTTGGCAAACCTCAGCCGGCTGTATTAGTATTCAACGAGACAGGCGATAAGTGCAGCAACCTGTTGGATGCCCCGAGGGGGCTGAGAAGAGGGCGGGAAAGAGAGAAAGACGAAGACACGAGAGGGAGGGGGTTCTTCAGAAAGTGAATGATGGGAAATGGAGACAAAAAAAGAATGAAAGAAACAGTATGAAGATCAAGCAGGTGAACAGGACGAGGTGGTGGGGGAGTTTTTTTTTGTACCCAATTTCTGTATCTTCCCCATTTGGTTTTCTGGGAACATCAAGGAGATGGAGAACATTCACACCCACAGGAAGGACACTGCCATGCTTAACAATGAGAGCAAATGCCTGTGTGGGTGTGTTGAAATCTCTTAAAAATCTATTAAAGATGCAAAATTATGATGATTCCAAAATGTCAATATTACACAACTGTGCCCAGAGTGAAGGTTAGTCCAAAAAGGGAGTGGGAGGGACTTTGGACACAGACAACAAAACATACAGAACAATGGATGCTACTCTGCACCTTTGCATTAGACATAAACCACGAGGAAGTCCAATATGACCATTTATGAGTCCACTGTGGAAGAGTTTTAATTGGCATTAGCATGTGTATTACCCTCCTTTGGATCTGCACTAGCTTGACAGGTGTTGCTCATCTTCCATTTATTTGTTTTCTTCATTTGATTCCAAATAATAAAATCTCACTGAATTAAATAACCTTTTGTTTGCATAATTAGATTTCTAGGTGAAAGTGGTGCTCGAGGCAACATGTGTTCATCCATCATTAATATTCCAAACTGTGTTGTTGACATTTTAGGCAGTTATCGGACACTCGTATTAACACAGAGGTGTATAATGAGTGCAAATGTGGAAAAAAATGTGGAAGCTCAGATTCTTTGGCGGCCTCGCTTTTAACAATCAATAGTACTGAGGTCAGGGGCTGGAGACACTGCATCGACACATGAGATGGAAGAAATCTCACCAGCGTAAAAATAACAAAAGAACAAAGGAGAAGAGTACGACAGCATTTTAGTAATGGACAGTTAAATTAACATGAAATAGGTAAATAAAGTTAATAAATAAATAAATAAACAATTGGAATTTAGTGTTTAGGTGTATGACCAAACTGTAAAAAGACACACATTGTACAAACTACACTTTAACATTGTTTTGGGGGAAATCATTTATAACAACAATCTCTAAATGTAGATTTGAAATTTTGCATTATTAGTTCTAAAATTTGATGGTAAAAAAAAAAAAAAATGGTAATAATTACTACCCTCCAAAATTTGTTTTTACAGTATGTGCGTCTGGCACAAAATCTGTCATACAAAGAGATATTATTTTTAAGAATACATATAGTTTGTCATTGTTTGGGGAAGAGAAGATAAATGAGTAACATTCTCCTGTGCCGTCGATCATGAGCCCGACATTTGAAACTGCACCAGTGGAGCTGCTGTACAGTATAAACGACCGGCTTTGTGGATCGTTATGTTCACAGGACAACCCTCGCACGGGAGGCATAAAGGTTACTCAATAATTGTTACCGCCATGCTGTTCTGCTCCTGAGACACGGCTGTACGAGGATTTTTATTTTTTTTAAAAGACCGTAGCTGTAGGCTGGCTGCTTCCTCAGAACAGACTGAAAACCTTCAATTCATTCACCGGCCTTTAGACAACATTTACGATGCTGGTGAGAGACGGCTGACCGATGACCCAGATAGGGCCGGCGTGTTGGTGGGCGGCGGCCGACCAGCGTGCGAACAATCTTTGTGTCTCAGCGTGGCCTCCAGGCTGTCAGCGTAGGTCATGTGCGTGTTTGCATCCGCGTCAGAGGCGGTCAAAGTATCGACGAGTCCGTCACATGTGACTCTCCCCTGTGGACATCTAGGGTGACTTTAATCTACGTGTTCTGTTTGCTTCCATTTGCAAATATAAACGAATTACCATACCTTCTATCTGTTTTGCTACAACCCTCTTTGAGTCGGTGTGAAGTCATGTTTTCCGGTGACCTGCTGAATGCGATGTTCAGTATTTGGTGCTGGTGGCCAACAACCTGGTTCTCACTCGGACCCGTCAGATAACGCCGTGACGCACTAGATGCCCACCTCGCGTCACTTTTCAGATGGTGCCGGGGGGCCAGTTGCCGGTCGTTACTTGCATGTCGACAAAATATTTGTACTAAATAATTTTCGTTACGTAGCTGCCATTAGATAAGTGATGTAAGGAAACTAAAGTCCCTTGTAAGAGACCTCATTGGTCCTCGGCAGACTTCCTCCCACTTTCTTCGGTCTGTAATAGTTGACGATATACGGTCATAGTGACCATGTGATGGGTTTACATTCAAATAAGACAGATCATACTGATTAGGAGTCAGCACGGTTTGGTGTTTGTTGAGCTGTAAAAAACTTAAGCGGAAGGAAATAGCAGATTCAGCAGATGATTGTTTGTCATTACTGGTGACTGTTATTAGTTTCAATAGATCCTTCAATCTATTGTTATCATAAAAAAATTATAATATTGAAATATTTATATTGAGTGTGAACGTTTGTTAGACCTTGGGCCCATTCATCCATTCATCATGTTCTACTTCTACTTCTGTTGTGTGTTGTTGTGTTTTACCTGAAGGGTTCACAAAAGGTCCACGTCAGATGGGCCTTTCACTGCTGAGTGCATCCGACCTGCATCGCCGTCAGATCTCTTGTGGCGGTTGTGCATGTGGGTCAGGCCGGATAGAGCACCAACATCCAGTGTAGCATTTAAAGAAAACTAAGAAGCATAGTCACATTGTTGTAGGAGAAAATTGTGAAAATAAGTGCAAAAAAGGTCAAAATCTTGATGGAAATATAAAATAACTCTCAATAACTCTGTTGTATTAGAGGCTGTTCAGAAAATGGAGTGTGATTTTTCCATGTCACATTGGAAGGTTTTCTTCCTCTATTCAGCTGTGGTGGTTAATGACTGCTCATGATAACTAACAGGCTGAATATGTGTGAAACTCATTGTAATATTGGCATCGGTATGTGCGAGATTGACTTAAAAACATGATGTGGCATCTTTGGTGTGGACAGTAGCCAGAAACCTCTGCTGTCTGAAATAAATACCGTGCTATGTAAATCAACCATAAAACTCCTTAAGAGCCAATCAAATCACTTTGTTTCCACTCAGAAGGGAGCTTTCCCCTCCCGCCCCCCCCAGACTGTCACAGCAGCCCAAAGCACATATATCAATTCTACCCCACTTCTGGCTCTCTGCGCTATAAATAGAAGCTTGCGGAGTCTAGCGCAGAACACAATGCATCATAATGGGACCATTATGTAAGGTCCCGTCTATGAACACAGCTGACCCCGGGTCTTCCCACTCATCGGACCGAGGCCACAATGATGTTGGCTGAATATTAGACAAAACCTGCCGAAAATAAGCAAAGCAAGACATTATTGCACAAACAGTTCGTACTAGGCTGCAGGTCTCTTCCTTTTAAATGCCTCAGCGTGTCGGCGGAGTACTCAGCACTACAAATGGGGACACATGGCACACTGCTACATAGCCAAGGGGAATGTTGAATGGCTTTTATCTCATCTATTTTAAAAAGAGTCAAAAAATGACTTTTTCCTTCAAAAATACAGGGAGGAAATGACTCCCGTTTAGGTTTGAAACCAGTTTGTAAGATTTCTGGTGTTCACTCTGCCAGTTGCTGTCAAATGCGCTATCACACACACACACGCACATGCACGTACGCACATGCACACACGCACACGCCCATGCACACGCACGCGCACACACACACAAAGACATGCCAAACAAACCGGCTATAGGACAAAAAAGGGAATGTGTGATGTTTCCCTGACAGTCTTTTAACTTCCTTTAAATGTAAAAGAAACTCATCAAACTACATTTCATACGTAACACGTGTGACCTCATCAGTGCTCATGTGTCGCGGGAAGACAAGGGTTTGATTTGAAATGTAATTTACGTGACCGGCTGAAGATTAAAGTCACCGTGTGTGGACTCAATGATCAATTATTATGTTGACTCTTATTTACAATCAGTTTCTGTTGTCATGGCAACTGCACCAATGCTTGGTACATTTTGTATGCGTTCAGATGCAGTTCAATGAAGCGAGGTAAATTAATTTAAAACCACAGAGTAAGTTGTGTCCAAAAGCCTTTGACGGTCTCCGTTGATGACGCAAATGGATCCCTAATATATCCCACAAGTGGTGACTTTAATCATCTATTCAACACAACATGCTCGGTCAGAGATGTGGGCCCATCGTCCACACCTGTTGAGACGTTGGAGCCTTCAGTCCACCGCTGAAAGGACGAGTAGAAACACTGCATGACGCTCGAGCACCACACGGACCTCGTGCATACGAGAACCACAGACAAGTTGGAGGAGGAAAGCCAACCTCATCGCTCCAGTGATAAGTTCAATCAGAGAAAAGGTTTTGATGAAATCATTTCTTCAGGAGGATGCAGAAGCTTTTAAGAAGCTGCCGTTACGCAGCCAGGATGAAGTAACTGCTGCTTTCCGTCCGGCCTCCCTTACATCACAGCGAGATCCAATTCCCATTGACTGCCTCATTGATCGGCTTTCTTCAGCCACATTTCCTAGTTCCATTAAGCGAGACCCCGGGCAGAATTCCCTCACTGCCTATTAGTAGGATCCCATGTAAAGGTTAAGGCCACATCCGCCCCCTCTGGGGTCAATATTTCAGCTGCTTGATCTGTCGATAGATTGTGTTTCTTCAACCCAACAGATCGTTTATAAAGCGAAGAATACTGGATAAGCACAGAAGGCTCACACCGTATTGGCTCCTTATCTTTGATGGAGAATATTGAACCACGGTTTATTTTGACAGTCATTACTGGACGGACTTAAAATCAAAGACTTAATACTGTGATGTAGAAATGGGCTCTAGAGAAGTCTGTGACCATCTATAGTCGGCTCTAACCGGACAGCGACGCTACAAACCTACGGTGATTTTATACACTATGCAGTGAGTTCAAATCAACCACAACAGTAAAATGGAACATGCACATTACTGCAGCAGTAACATGCGTCCAAAAGCATCCCGTGCTATTAGCGACTTGCGGGAATACAAAATGACCTGAAACAGTTGAGTTTGTTAAATGTTACCGTACACGTTTTCAACCCACAACTCGACTTGCGTGCGTGCTGGGTCCCCACTTGGGAATCATCGCAATGTTACACATCAGGGTTCGACACATCAACACATTGAAAGATCGGGTGAATTAGCGCTTGTGAAATAACAAAAGTGCGGACACAGCATTAAGTCGTTTAAATCTTTTTTTGGAGCTAGCTGGTAGTACTTGTTAATTCCACCATTCGTTCAACACTTACATATGACAGCAAATGAACTCTACCTTATGTAAACATGTAGCTGTTTTCTAAATGTCTGGCCTTTATATCTTTTCAAAAAAGCGATATAATTATGAGCATGGCGACTGTTGTGGTGATTAACAAAACAGTACAAACCCGCATCATTTTGTGAATTCGAGCTTTGCCACCAGGTCTGGAGACGTGTGTGTGCGAGTGATTCACGTTAGCACAAGCTCTGTCTCATTAGCACTAGCGCTTGGCAGGGTTATTAAAAAGGTATCGGCTGCTCTTCACTCACACTCACACTGGGCTTTGGTCGGTGACTAAAGCTGCCTCCAGATATGTTTGGAGGATTATTTTGACCATGTAAAGTCGTTAGAGTTTGAGAAATTGTATACTATAAGGAAAACATATTTATATTTGCTTAAAGCCCTGGTGCTAGCATACACAATCATCACCGTTTATCTTATTTGATGAGATGTCTGGTCAGTGATACATATGTATAGTAGAGTGATGCCATCTGTGGATCTGTTCTAAGGAAACATGAATATTCACGCAACACCTTTCATGAATTCCAGTCATTTACATAATCTGCGTACGGTGATGATTGCTACATAATTTTACAGATATTAATATTGTCATATTTGCATGTGAACAAACAGAAGCTGTCAATGTTATTTGAAAATGAGATGAGGCTGTTTTATTCATATTTACACAGTTATGTTTACTTTATTTCAGATAATTTAATTAAATGATGTACTTGGGTATCATTTTGTGTTTTTCAGCCATATATTTGGGGCTGTGATCAAAACCATGCGGTTTTCTGGTATTCATTAAAAATGTTGAATCTTTTCACACCTTTAGTGACTGTGATGTTGTGCATCATGTTGCTAAAAACTGTATTAAAGTATTACTTCCCATCCATTAACCAAACTCTCCAATCTACACTATTACTGACAATTTCTATGTGCATTTGTTCATGTCATTCATACCCTAAAACATAATGAAAAGGATACTTTATTGCTGGATATAATATGTAAATATTGTAGGTATTATTAAAAACCTTTGGCTGTATGTCACCAACATGAAACAAGAATTTTGTAGGTTTAAATATTATAAATAAATTGCCTTCAAGTAACAAATTAACTGTGATACCACAAATTTCATTGTGGTATCAGTTCCAATGTTCACCCTGGAATATGTTGATGGGTCTTGATGAGTTTTGTTGAATATAGATTTTGATTTACTCGATTTTTGGCAGTTGATAACAGCACCATCTGCTGTGGACGCTTTGTCACTCCCACACAGGATCTGGAGGAGGAATTCATACGGACAATCTGTCGTTGCGACACACTGCACAAACCCCCAAGGTTTCATTCTGTCTATATTGCCTGTTTTTAAAAGAATAAAAAATTAGGAGCCAAACGTTTCAATTGCTTTTAATTGCAATGACAAATGGAAAACAATGTACAGAAGAGTGTTTGTTGTCCAAAGTAAAAGGCAAAAATTATTCTGTAGCTCAGGGGATAAACAAAAGTGTTAATTCATTAGTACTGAAATTAGCAACGCTGAAATTCTATTAGCACAGTGTAGAAAAAAAACACAGAAGACATTTTTAAACAGAGAATTAGATAATTTGATGAAGAGCACCTTTTCATCACCTTGTCTTACTGACAATATATGTAATAAAGCTTCTTTCAAAACCAGTTATACGTAACCAGTAAAAAGTGAATCCAGCTGAAACTGAAACAATGTTATTGTTGTGATCAAATGATTCTTAACACGGTGTTAAAGATTATTCAAAATATCTCACTATGTAATCATTTCAGTAATTTGAACTTAATAAAACAGCAGATGAAAACCATCCTCGGGCTAACTCTGTGTTCATCGTCCCTGCACAATAAACCAGTAAAACCAGTCAGTGGGCCTTCTTCTTGATGCGGAGCAGCTGGGAGGAGCTCTGCAGAGCCCAGAACAGCAGAGAGAGGGAGACAAAGGCCTGGACAACAGCGACAGAGAGAAAGGGTTAGCGGCAGACGGGTCACCGGGTCTTTCAAAGGGATCAACGCGGCCCACTTTCACTTTACGATCACGGAAAAAACGCAAATTGATCCAGTAACATTAACCATAAAACCACATTTTAAGTAAACATTTAATAGTTGATTATGTAGTTTTGTTGTAGTTGTTCTACTTAATCCTTCTTTTAGAACCTTTTTGATATTTTTTTTGACATTACTTAGACATACAATTATGACCGTATTAAATTTTACAACTTGTTTTGTGTTTATATTGTGCAACACGACAACAGAAATATTTAGCAATATAAATTAAACCCGGATTTTCGGTCAACTGGGGACCAGAATGAGCACATTCCAAATTGTAAATGTTACACGGATTTTCACAGCCCAAAGAGAAAACATGACATAAAACGTGCGAGCCGTATCATTTTCGACCTGTCAACGCGGACGCAAAACCCTGGAAGTAAATCTGTAATTGAAAGAAAACAGTGAGAGACGTTGGCTCTGGGATGCTGTAGAAAGTGGGCTCAGGGGTTAAGGAGCGGGTCTTCTCTCGTGACGGGGTCGAAAGGGTCACTCCGAGAGAGACGAGGCGGGGGGGATCAGGGGGGCTACGCCTGACGCCGCCCTCTCCTCCACCCTCTCCTCCACCCCGTGCGGCGCTTTGGCCCATAAACTGCTTCCTACATCGCAGCTCAGGCCAAAACCAGACCGCTGTCCATCACAGGCGGGACGGCCTGATGGGAAGAGAAAAAAGCAACGTTTCCTCCAGGACACGGCAGCTGTTCTCCTCAGAGAGAGAGAGAGAGAATGATGCAAAGCCCTTTCTGCTTTTTGACCTCGCAGTGCCTAAAAAACAGCCCCACGACTGTAAAAGGACAACGGCTTGACTCTGGAAACAGAGCAACTAATGACGGCAGTTTCCTAGTGGGCCGGGTCCCATCTCCAGATCCAATCTCCACAATTAAAAATGTAATAGATTTTTTTTTTTTTAAATGTATCTTGATTTAATTGGAAAGTTACATTTATACTAATCCTCACTGTCTTAACGATCAGAAAATCTTGGGATTTTATGCTTTTATTTGACCTGAGAAGCCTGTACAACCCAGAAGAATTAAGTAGAGTTGAGCACAGTTGTTGCATTCGCAAACCTGCGGACAAAAGCCGCTTCGCAACCTGCTGCTCCCGATTAAATCCACTTAATACAATACAAGATGGCTGAAAGTATCGTTCAACTGCGAACCAACCCGATGGGAGATGACGGAGTGGGATCGGGAGGCTCGGCAGAACCTCGCAAATCACGTTTCAGTTGCAGCAGAGCGAAACGCGCCTGAAGTTTCTATCAAAGCCGCATGTCGAGGCAAAGGAAGGGCACCTATGTGACTCCCGTTGCCATCTCTCTCTCTCTCTGTGTTCCACCCCGCTATGCTACGTTTTAATGGACTCTGTAGGAAATCCATGTGGGACAGATTACATCGTGGAAGGAAGCGGGTTTGATCGTCTACAAATAAGCACCGTGGCCAGACAGCAGCGGCTCCATAAGTAGAGATCTCAGCAAATCCACGCACACTCACTTTGTTTTGGGCAGAATGTACTTTGTTAGGATTAGTAATACTAAAAGCCACGGACCGGTGACTTTTTTCTCTGCCTCTTTGCTCTGATTATTTCTCTTTTACGCTCTTTTACTGTGCAACACTTCTTCTGACCAACTTTGACATGGAGGCATAAGAGTTCACATGGGCCATTTAGCTCCACGGTCGCACTTATTGCCGGAAAAGAACGTAAATATTGGACGATTCTGCAAGAGAATCAACGCTCTAAATATTAATGTTTAGCCTCTCAAACCAAAAAGAGAAAAGGAGTTTTTCCTTAAACAATCCCTTTACTGTAAAAAAAACACAAATATCGGCCGATTTTCAAAAGAAGGCAAATGATGAAGTTTGTGAAAGGGTACAAACTTTGGTCTCCTAAATGAAAGTAAAAAAACGTCCATATCCAGACAAGTCAATGGAGACATTCTGAATACTGAACACTGGCCTGTCTATTGCCACACTTATTTCTTCTCAAATCCTGTTAAGGATGCATCGAATTCATTTCGTTGCGTAATATTTCAAAATGGTGAAAATCGAGCCAGCCTCGATGTAATAAAGCGTGTGTTTTAGGAGAGTGGGGTCACAGCAGGGCTGTAAACTTGTTGGACACAGTGTGCCGGTGTGACTCCAGAGGGACGGACTGCCTTCTGCGGTGAGGTATCATCTCTTTTGCAAGACATGAAGACATATTAAAGTGAAGATAGAAAAAGAAAAATTCAATAAATAAGGATGTGGACACTTTCTACGGTTTTTCCACGCACAAAACATAGAAAGTGACAAATAATATTATATAATCAAAGCTCCATTGACAGAAAAAGTTATTTTACCTGGATCGTTCACTCAAACTCAATAGAAAATAAATAAAACTCATGTTTGTCCTCCGAGTGTTTCTACGATCAGCTGAAATAAACCCTCAAATCAGTTAGACGTGAAAAGAAACAACCGTTGTTTTACCCTAAAAGCTTATTTTACAATAACCGTTCCTTATACAGCACACTTCACCTTGTGCACAACAGAAAGTAAATAAAAGTCATTCCATACTTCCCTCGATCATCTTGAGTGTGATAGTTTGTAAACGTGTAATAGCTACAAAAATAGAAGTAACAAGAGTAATATTTCCACTGTAAATACAACCGAACTGACATCAAATGTGACACCAGAATAACACACACACAGAATGCGGGTAAAATAAACTAAGTGTCCTTAAAGTGTTAAACATGCTACATTTCCTAAATTAAAAATATGAGTTGAGAAACAACATAGCTGCTTCACCTAAAGAAAAAAAAGTCTGTTTTATAAAGCGGTGCTTTATTGTCCTAAGACGACGTGTCAACACGGTTCTAAATCCTCTACCTGACAACAGTGAAATTCTGGCTCCTCAAGGTTAAATATGAAAACCTTGAGTAACGTGCCATCTGCAGCTGGCACGTTACTCGTGCCAGCTGCAGATACAACGGGAAAATATCTGCATTGACCTTGAGGGCAACACCGGTCACCTCTGGAGCCCTTCGGAGGGCTGAGGACAGGCGTAAAGCGGCGAGCAGATACTCCCCGCATGGCCGTGCTTCTGTCCTGCAGCCTGCAGCGGGTTAAACGTGGCAGAGCCTCGCTGTTCTGAAGCTGCAGCTGCACTCGTGATTGAAATGAAAACAAGGCAGAATGGCTGCTGTCAGACGTGTGATATACGACCTGTAATGGGACGTTTCCAGAGCGCCGTCTCCATATGGCTCCCTACAGCCCCCCAGATCTGGACCCAACGGTGTCGGAAAATAACTTTCAGTTTGAACCTGGCTGCAGGAGCGCAGTGGGCGGAGTACGGAGTCGGTGAAAATAAACCATATTTAACACATTTTCTATCCGGTTTGATTTAATGATCATTTAAGCTTTTTTTAAGTGAGAAAGCGACAAATAGCTCTGCTCTTTTATTTTTAAGAGAATCTGGCGGATCAGTAGCTCGTAGGGTCTATTATAGCAATTTCTTTTACGTAAAGAAATGCGTTGAAATCAGTTTAAACTGACTTACTTATCTTAATTAGATTCAGGTTTCAAGAAAAAGGATTTTGTTTTGAAGTTTTATTTAATCCTTGCTTTAAAAAAATTTATTTTAATCAAAATGAATACCACAACATATTCTGTGTGTTCAAACCGTAGAGGCACAGATAGCACTGTAACTTTACTTAAATCTTTCCAACAGATGCACATGAAACACACAGGTGTATCAGTACACACATCATATAAAACCCCTTTGAAAACACAAGTAAGTACACCTGCAGATATGCGCGCACACACACACACACACACACACACACACACACACACACACACACACACACACACACACACACACACAGAGAGGACTTCCTGTCCGTTTCATTATGAGTCTGGGTTGGACTCAGGAAGGATACGCGGAGCAGGTTAATGTCCCACCAGGGACTCAGTGTAATGCCTGCTATGAGACGGGCTGCTATGAGACGGGCGGCTATGAGACGGGCGGCTATGAGACGGGCGGCTATGAGACGGGCGGCTATGAGACGGGCTGCTGGCTATGAGACTGGCTGCTATGAGACGGGTGCTATGAGACGGCGGGTATGAGACGGGCGGCTATGAGACGGGCGGCTATGAGACTGGCTGCTATGAGACGGGGTGCTATGAGACGGGCTGCTATGAGACTGGCTGCTATGAGACTGGCTGCTATGAGACGGGGTGCTATGAGACGGGCTGCTATGAGACGGGGTGCTATGAGACGGGCTGCTATGAGACGGGCTGCTATGAGACGGGCTGCTATGAGACTGGCTGCTATGAGACGGGCTGCTATGAGACAGGCATTACACACATGCTATGAGAAATATCGCCATCACACTCCCACACCCCCCCCCCCCCACACACACACATAAAACACATAAGAAATGGCAGTTGTCAGACAGTGCAAGTGTAGCAAAACAAAAAATGGCCTGATGATGAGCCAATTTAGAATGATACAGTTGTTTTTTGAGGTTTTCCTCCCAACATCTGGTGTTTGTTCTCTTTTACCACGTGTACGACGGAAAGTCGCATGTCAGGTCACCGCCGGCTCCTTCTATCAATCCACTCATTGTCATAAAAACCCTCACACTGTGGAGTTTGGTGCCAACACGTATGTGTGGCTAGAGGCTATAACCAGCTCGGCACTGTGTTTACACAACAACAAACACGCTGAAAGAAGCCATACTGCCTAATTTGAGTTTATTTGACTCCAGCAATGAAACAGAAACATCTGAAATAGGATTGGAAAAACCTGTTAAAGAATAAAATGTGGCTCCAAAGACAATAATTCAACCTGAAGGAGGATAGTCAGGAACTTGGAGAGAAGATTTGGAGAGGGAGAGCGAGGCCTTCGGGAGTCAGGTAGAGTACAAAAGGTCCACAGGACCAAAGTACAGAGCACGAGAAGCAGTAGCAGGACCAGAAAGAGTCCTGCAGCCAGGAGCAGTTGTCATGTATAACACAGGTTCCTATGATAGATCATTGAGCTCTCAAAGGCGTGTTCACCCGAACTCAAAGACTTGAAGGGTATGAGAAGTTCAAAGGCTCGAGCTGTCAGGTAGAGCGCCTTAAAGGCATTATGCCCTCAGTGGCTGCGGGCTGCTGTCTGGAACAGTTCATTTGTACATAATTTGCCCATGCAGGAATAGCTATCGCTTTCCAAAGCCGTAGTGGGAAGTGTGGACAAGGCAACCACAAAAAAAAACCTTGCTGTCAAAGATGTCGGTTTGTTAAAACCTCTGCAGGAGCTGCTCATGACCATTGTACAGCCGCTGCGTAGCCCTCCTACTCTACTTGGCGCATTGTTCTTCCCATATTTCCAAGTATGTTGGCCACCTAATTGCCAGTATGTGCTTGCATGTAAGCAGAAGAGGATGCGAAAGGGTCCGAGGCGTCATGGGAGACCTACAAAGTGAGGCGAGGCTGCAGGCGGTGAAGTTTCACATTTGGAATCAGACAAATGGGTGTGACTGTGGAGCTTTGAGGGTATAAGCCAGTTAATGGAATGGAAGACAATGGGTCTTAAAAAAAATGGGGTTTGGAAGGTTTCAAAAAGGCAGAGAAGGACGAACAAAAGGCTGAAGGAGGAACAACAACTATCAATGCGCATTAAAGGGTGACCGGTTGAGTCTGAATTGGTTTGAATTAGTAAAACCTTAAGGAGCAGTGTCAGTTCCTACAGACCATTGGACAATTGATTTTTTTTGTCAAAGTAGAAGGTCTTCACTGGTGTAGGTCTGTGTTTGACAGCGGCCATTTGCAATTGTCCAATTTTGTAACCGTCGATGCAAAGTCAGTCCAAAGACTTTTACCGCTCACAACTCCCGGCAGCTGGAGACATTTTCCGGCTCACTTCAGGAAAAGATACCGTAGCCCTCAACTATTGTGAAAAAAGGATCCCGAGGAGTTTCATTTTACTGCATCAGATGTGTGATTGTTAGCCAGTAAGCCAATAAGCGCGGCAGCGAGCGAGATTAATGAACCGCAGTGCAGAGTGATGAAAGCTCACGCTGCAATAAATGAATCATTCAGAACCACTTTGACTGATTTTACAGTAAAAATCTTAGAGGTCTTTAGATTTGAATATTATGAAAGCCTTTTCATCGTTTTTTATGTTTCAGATTTTTGAAAATTGGGGAGTCACAGTTCTGTGAAATGCGCGTTTAAGACGAGGGAGAAACAGCACTGTAAGAAAAGAAAAGGGCCCGGTTCAATCAGGTTCACGTGCTGGCTCACAGGCCGTTTCATAAACTGGAAGACTGTTGTGTTTCACCCATGAATTAAAGCACAAATAGGAAGACAAATTCAAAAGAAATTCAGCCTTGGCCACAGAAGCTCAGTCCCTCAGAAGCCAAACTAAACACTGCACCAGGGGCCCCAAAGGGCCAATTGCGCTTAGATTTCCAAAGCTTTACCTGGCAAGTGGTTTGACAACATAAACCAAGCGGTTACTCTTTGACGGGCACGATCCCCTGCACATTGAGTGATAATATTTCACACTGTGTACTGTCGACCACCCCGCTGTTTACTCCTAACGGAGCAGCCCGACCCAGCATTTGCTCTTTTTTTTCTTTTCTTTCTCCAAATCCCTGCGTTTGCTCCCTGGGAGGAGATTTCCTCTTATTTTTCCATTCCCGCGAGCTCTCAGATGATGTCATGCTCACAAGAGTTTCCATCGCTCCGAACAATCCAGCTAACCTCAGGGCTGCTTCTCGCTACCACACATTCCTGCTTCAAAAAAAGAAAAGAAAGAAAAGGAAAAAAGAAAAAAAGTCACTGACCCGTTGCACCTGAGACTTAGTGGGTGAAACAACGCTCTCTGATAACGCCGACCTTTCACCCCGCGCCGTCTTATCTGCCGGCTCAGGGCTGCGAAAACGGGTGATTTCGGGCAGACAAATCAGGCGATGTGTCGCAGATAGAGCGACGTTGAGCCGCGGCATTGGACATGAACTTCATAATATTGTTATGACCTCTTTTGGCCGTGAAGCGTTCACCCCCCCCCCGAAGGTTTCACAGAAAAGGGATCTTTTCAGCTTGGAAATCACCATCAGCGCAGAGATGAATCGACGGAAAATCTAATAAGGTGTGAAAACAGTTGAGTTTAAAATAAGTGTACTTTGAACCGTACATAATTACGCAGGTTTAGATTTGCTTCTCAAGTGTCAAACTTGCGTGAGACAAATGTCGGAGACATTCTAGAGTAGGAGCAAAACAAAGAATGTCCTCAGGCCTTTTATTTTTATTTTCAAGAGACAAAATAATAGAAATTACATTTTCTCTCCGTGTATTAAAACTAAGAAAGTGAAAAGAGTTTATACACCCTAAGATCTCTCGCTCTCTGCCACAGACAGGTGTATTTTTATTAGCTCTCTTCTTACATTACTGTGACTTCACCGGCAGCTCGTGGCCGTGTGTGGAGAAGAGCCGTCTTCATTACTTTGGGATATACAGCGTCTAAGTCCTTCTGCTTGGGGCTAACCAGCGGCCCACACAGTATCCCAACCACGTGTTGCGTCATTACAGCCCAAACACGCAAGACATTATAATGCAATCAGATCCTATTACTTTCCAGACCCAACATATAAAAGGTTAAAGTCAATGTGGGCTTATAAAGTCCTGATACTATGGATTATTAATTGTCTAGAGTTGAAACGATGATTGATTACAGACCAAAGATGCTCTCACACAAACACACGGTTACCAGCTACGTCTCGCCTTCTTCTGGCACAACTAAAGTTTTAAAGCCGCCTGGCTCTCTGGGAGAGAGAGAGGCAGCCCATGGTTTACAGGTCAAGCCTGTAGCTTTACAAGGGAAATCTCCAGAGCCACTATAAATACCACTGGGAGCTTTAAGGGTGCAGTATATCACACCGCTGGGTTTGAAGGACCACAAACCAACTCATTTTTATTTTCTTTTTTTAGTAATCCCCCCCCCCGGCCGTCCGCCCGCCCGCCCCCGGCCACCCCTTTCCCAACTGTACAGTCGCATGAGCCTGAATACAATTAAATGTGAATTTCCCTTCCTTTCTATTCAAGTGACTGTTAATTGATTGACCCAACTTCAAAACACCCTCCCTCCCTGCCTCCCTCCCTGCCTCCCTCCCCCTGCTGCAACAAAGAGGTGGCCATTCACCTCACGCGTCAGACTCATATATCATTAAAGTACCTTAAAAATGGTGGGGGGGTGATTTCACTTTTTTCAGCCCCTTTTTTTCTGTAGTTCTGAGCAAACTGCCCAAATATGTCAGGAACCAATTTGAGTAAACTGTGTGAGTTTTCAACGGCGGCCCACCTGCGAGCGAGACCTTTTCAGCTCCAACTGATGTACTGCGACTCGAAATGAGGCCAAATGCTTCGCATATAAGTTACTGTGTCGTCAAAGTGACACGGCCGCGCAGCACGTGCAGCGTAAATCAAGTGGACGTGCGCTTCACTCGGGGGAAAAAAAGGGGGATTAACTCCGTTTACTCCGTCCGTGTGAGGAGAAAGAGAAAAGGTGAGTCGTGTTTCAAACACCTGAGCGGCACAGATGTGGAGTTCGGAGGACAATAAAAAATTTTAAAAAAGCAGCGATTCGGGCGCTCAAGTACAAAATCCCATCGGCCGGCTCTAGTTAGCGGCAGACGACACTAATTGGTTCCAGAAGCGCCCTCTCGTTCGCACTGGCTGGGATGGCGAGCAAGCGAGGGCGGGCACAAAAAAAAAAGTTTAAAAAGAAAATGAAAAAAAGGAGGCCGTTGTTGGGAGGGAGAGTAAGTAATGAGAGGTCAGCCGCCATTTACAGTCGGGCTGCCAGAGCCAGAAAGGCACGCCAATTTTATGGTCAATTGGGCGACGCATCTGGACTCACAGATCACAGGCTGGACTTAGCACCCGGTTCACACACATTTCACACACAGACACAAACATGACGCCGTCTGTTTCTGACAGTTTTCATATGAGAATTTGTTATGATGATGTCACCATGTAGATACATTTTTCTGTCCTGTACATCTGTCGGAGACAGTCGAGAAACCGTTTTGTCACCTCAACCCGCGGCGCTTTTGTTTCCATCCACAATATTCACCACGGTCTTGTAACCCACACCATCACCACCCATCACCACCCATCACCATTGTTACTTTGAAATCGCGCTGCAGGTCGTCTTACCTCCGTGGGGCCGGCCAGTGAAGACAGCAGGGGCTTTGCGCAGCCGTACCCCTGCATTGTCACCATGACGACGCAGCGCAGCATCTCCAAGAAAGCCGCCGTTGGCCTGAACACGAAGACACAATACGACGTTTCAGCTGGATACCTTCATTTTCATTGCATGGCTAAAATGTATTCCTGTTTCAGTTTGCAGCAGTCCAAAGCTTTATTTTAAACATATACATCAGGGCATGTTTTTAATACCCCCCTCCCCCCCCCTCCTCCCTGAAACATTCGTGGCGAGAAGTTTTGACAATTTTCTTGTTGTTTTGCAAAGATTTTTCTCCCATTTAAAATCTGAAAGAAACCAAGATTTGGAACCAGTGTCATGCATAACTGGATCCTTCTCTCTTGCTTCCCAGTCTGCCATTACAAACAAATATCAGAACTGTACCTCTGATCCATGATGAGGCCCAGGGAAGTGAGAGTGAGCAGAACGTAGCAGGTCATCCCCAGGACGGTTAACTGGGACAGCATCTATAGGAAGACATATATGCATGCTTGCCATGAGCGCTGTGGTTGAGAAGCTGAAAAAAAAAGACATTAGAATGTAAACCTTAAATTAATATCACAGTTCAGTTACGATCGCAGGAGCCCTCACTGGGAGAGCGGTCGTAAACCGCGCGGCGGCCGGGGCTGTTTACTGGTCAGTGCCAACCTAAACGTGTCCGGCCTTCGGCGTAAGTGCGCTGGCACACACACAGCATCCTGCAGCAGCGAATCCGCCCCTTGCTCCATACAGACGTGCATAGTTTGCAGGGACGCTCCGATCATCCCCGATGGGACTTGACCGCGGTGGAGGAGGCTTCGGTTTGAATCCCGATAGCAGCCCCCCCCCCCTTGAATGGAGCCAAAACAACCAACATCCCAGCAGAAACCCGATGCAGACTCACACTGACCTTTTCCAAACTATCTGGGAAGCACGGCGGAAAAAAACAAAAACGCAGCGGTACAGGACGCCGTGCACGCTGTAATTTGTGTTCTCTAACCTGCGGCCTTGGCTGAGGGCGGCAGCTGGAAGCGCCGCGTCTCCCGAGAGACGGCGCGGGCCGTCAGCTCGGGTTTGTATTTCTCTGACACTCAATGCGAAGCTCGACAGCCGACTGCTCCCAAACGACCCCGAAGGGCAGAGAGAGTCAAGATAAAAATCCGCCCATCAAAAGGATGCGATACGTCCTCGTGTTTATTCAGGAATCGTAATCCATAAGAACCGTGTTATCTGAACCCTCACATGGGACCATTGAGGGGTGATTTTTTCTTTTCTCCATGAATCAAAAGGCAGAGGGAGGGGGGCAGGGGGTGCAGGGGGGCATATTTCTGGCCTCCACCCATCTATCAGAGTGTAGAACCAGGACTGTCACAGTGTATTAAAGCAGAGTGATCACCGCGTGAGGGTTCACAGGCTACAGACACGGTTATTTTTAGCGAGAGGCACAAAGAGTGGAGAGTTATTTTGGGATCGGAAGGCTGTGTCGACTTATCTTCGTTCAATAACCCAGACGCACTCGGATAAGGATTCGCAACAGTTTTCAGGTGGAGTGAAATTTGAAAAGAAATCTTTTTTTTTTTTTGTGTGTGTAACAAGAAATGTTTCACACGTCTCTCATCGTGTTAATTCTTTATGGGATCGAGTGCAAACTGCAGAAACAACAGCAGAGGACAGAAACGAAAGGGAACATCTGGTGGCAGCGAGTGTTTGTGTTATTCTGTTGTCCCCGGAGACGAAGCACATTAACTCATTATTGCAGCCGTTATTCTGATGACATTCATGAGAGCTCAGGGAATACACCCGGAGGGAAATGTTACTATTGCTAATTTACTGGGAATTAAGATGTAATTGATTAAAAATGACGTAAACAACAAATAGAAATAGAATATCCTTAATACATGTCTACGGTTCACGTCAATGTTTTATCTTAACCTAGAATAATCCATCATAAATGATCTATTGATGCGAAGTAACTTTGGTTATTAAATGAATGTAGTGGAGTAAAGCACAGTAGAGCACATTTCCTTTCAATGTGCAGTGATATAGAAGTAGCAGAGTACAAAGTGTTTCTCCATCACGGTAAACAAGAGACCCACTAGTGTTGATAACTGCATGTTGCTGACGCTAGAAATCGGAATTGCACATAATTAACCCCGATTGCACATCATTTAGTTCAAAGTTCATGCTGTAGCTTTAAATGATAACCTAGCATAGCAAGTACTAAAGTCCAAATATCGTAAAGTTGCTAGAGGAGAGTCGTTCTGTGATTAGACTTGGTCGCTTCCACTCTCGGCCTCCAATAATCACTGTGAACCTGCAATAAAACGCACACGACTACGCTGATGGCGTAATTAAAGAGTAGCTTCATTCCATGTTTTTCGTGGCTTACAATTAACGCAGAGCCCACGAATTCGAGGGCGACGTATCATCAATTGTCGTGCGAAATAAGCGCCTGGCGAACATGTGGGTATAAATACATAACAGTGACATGATTTATCGTCGGGCCGCGGCGCTCACTTTGTTATTTTCCCCGTCCGAGTCCTGATTGCTGCATCCTGAAGGCTATTTGGGTTGGGAAATGGTCCACTCGACAATTAAGACGTTTGTGTTCACTGCCGGACCACCAGCTGGTGTTTCATTCGCCGAAAGGGAGGGGAACCCTCGACCCCGGATGGAGAGGTGTGTGTGTGTGTGTGTGTGATGGGGGGGAAGCAGCACGCCGGCAGCTATCAGAAGAAATACATTTTATTTGGGAGTCTGAAGGCGCTGGGCGTGACAGCACTTTTTGGCTAACCAAAACTATGCCAGGGGATAAGAGGCTTCCAAAGATAACTGCCGACAGGAGGAGGAAGGGGGTCTCTTGGCTCGTCGAGTGGAAAATAATAGACAAAGGTTGTTCTAGAGGGGAACGCCGATCAGTCATTCTGTCATGATGTTAGACGGAGCTGCTCTTTTCCTGCCGGCTAAGTAGAGGACGCTGCTCGACCGTGGAGCAGCCACAACAAACTGCATAATTGGGTGAAATAATGTTGGCAAACAAACACTCAGCGCTCAGCCTTAAATTAAAGAGTCCCGGACCACCTCGTCATACTTTATATGAGGGATTACGGTAGCCTAAACCTGACGGTAGCCGGCGAGCGACCAGCAGGTCACCGGCTTCGAGCGTTAAATGCTTCAGGAGGGCCGTCAGCGCGCTTTCGAACGAGGCAGATAACCTTCTGATCCAATTTAAAACCACAATTCCTCTGCAGGCGTTTGCAGTTTGCACATCTGCGACACATATACGCACCATTTTGTTTTCAAACAGATCATGGTAAGTCCCCAGCGCCAGCAGGAAATGTATGACCACATACAGTTGTAAAGGCAGCGGCCAGCTGGGATCATGAGGCACTTCCTGTCCGGTAACCTGCACATGGAAAATAAAACATGTTTAATTCCCCAAACACTCATATTTCTGTTGTAATTTTCTGGACAGATTCTCACACCATGCCTGTGCTTATATAACGGGATTCCTCAAGTTCAGCTTCCTGCTCACGGTAACGGGTTCAGGAGTTTTACAGTGCGGTCGTAGCGTTCTGAGCAGAGCAACACGGGTACCCACGCTCCTCATTAACAACCTTTTTGAAATACATATCAAATAGAATGTTTGGTCAGTTTTATTTCACTACGGCTCGGAGGACCAATAAAAAGCATTCGTATATAAAGCTGTATATATTTCAACTGGCGGCATGTTAAGTACATTTGACACACTTTCAGGTCTTACAACCGACTGACTGGCCGGAGCCTCTCACCAATGGGTAATCCCATTTGTTTACTTTTTGATTTATTCATTTCTAAAATCATCTGTTCGTTTCCAAGGACCCCATATGATGCCTCGTGCCAATCACCGCCAGGGACAATGATTACCTTGAAATGACACCAGAACCAAAGAAAAGCAACAGGTTTACAAATGTTTCTATTAGCAGATCCAGCTCAATGTTTGCATGCCGTCCAGTGAAGCTCTTGTGCTTGGTCACACACATTTGGTCATTTAAAAGAGAGGCAACTACAAAATTAAAACACATTTGAATGGCTATTGTGGGAAAAGAACATCATAAAAATCCTCCAAAAACTATAATTAGGAGGATTATAACTAGAAGAAAAATAGACAGTGTAGGAGTTGGATTAAGGAAGTACAGGAAATGGCCAAATCAAAAGAATTTGTGGGCCCTAAAAAAGGAAAATGACACAAATAAACTCATAAAAGTCAAACTTCTCAGATGACCTGTGTCAGTTTCTACCTCGTATGTATTTAGTTTCTTTGTGGCTAAAAGGCCTTTTGTCGTTACAGGTCGAATTTCACAAAAGGGTGAAAATAAGTTTGTTGTGTTTTACCTCTAAAGTCATCCAGGATTTATTGGGTGAAGCAGTTTCCCCCCCAAACACACACAATTCCCTGACTCATTCGACCTGTGTTTTTCCCGGCTTCTTAACAAAGCAACTACGCCTGAGGGCCTTGGGCTCAAACGACCTCCTTTTTAGGAATAAAGTAAAAATAAAACTGTCCAATCGCAGATCTAATTCGGGGGGGTTTCCCAGGATCCCGAGGAACCAAACCGCCACATGTGGGTTCCCCCCGCAGTCCTGTAGGTATTCAAGCCCGGTGCTCTGCTTATTCTCAAAGAGCTAAAACACGTTTCCAACGTCTCTCCTCCCTCACCCCTCCTTTCATTCCCTCATCGGCAGATATCACCGAGCAGCCGTCTGCGCGAAGCCTTTCAAGGTATTCCGGTTCAATTCCAGCTCTGTCCGTGTTCAGAATCACCCCGCTGGGTTTAAAGGGGCCAATTTAATTGTAAAGGCAAAGGGGAGTTTCTTTTCTCTTTTTTTGAAAAGTGTAAAGCATGGAGGGAAATATATACGTGACACCATAAGCGTTATTTCAAAGCTAACCGCCGGCGCATTCAATTGGAGCCTGTATTTCTTTCCACACACACACACACACACACACACACACACACACACACACATTCACACTTGACTGCATGCGGTTAAAATCCTGCAGACTGCCTTTTAAGAGACGGCGAAAATTGAACTTATTGTGTTCCCTCTACAAAGGCTTTGTAGCTTTTATTGGATGTGGCAGTTCCTTGTAAAACTCGTCGAATATGTGAATCCTTAAACGAGGAACGCTCTCGGGTCATTTAAGCCTGCGTTTTGTGTCGAACCGGTGGGTAACGAAGCCTAAGGGCATCGTTGTGAAATTATACCTCCTGCGGGAATGATGTAAACGAGGGGATTTCCTTTTGGTTACCAACCTCCGGATTGTCGACGTGGTCGCCTAGCCGAAGTTTACCAGGACTCCAACTGGGACCTTTGAAGAAAGTCGACAACTTGTCGCCGATAGTCTTGAACGTGTTGGACCGTCTCCACAAATACAAATAGTAGTGTAACTAAAAGAGAAGAAACAACATGCGTTTAGATGCTCGCACACATTTGGGCAACGTTAATGAAGACACAGCTGTGGCAACTCAACCAGAGTAGAAAGGTTTTTGCGGTCATAATTTTTTTTTTTAAAAATCATCAAAAACAGCCAGAAAATTAGGGAAACTTGAGCTCATCGTCCCTCTCCTCAACTAACTAGTGTTGGGATGGACGAGAGACTCAACGGTGGCCAAAACCATTGATGATAACATGGGACTGACCTGAACGTAGAGGATTTCGAAAGTGTTGATGGGGAACACCAGGCCGAACACCACTTTGTCAGCCTCTTCAGCAAAGGTACCTGAGAAGTAGTGTTTTTATTTACAGAATTTACATAAATGCAACGTAACACAACCCATTTACACATTCAGAGGACCGTCGGCAACATTATCGCTCTGCTCTATGCCACCTGGTAAATGTCCACAACGTTTTGCTCTGTTTTGGCCTCCACCAACTCCTCAGGGAAATATCCGGCTCCCGAGCTAATCCCACATCAGCTCAGCCGTTGGTGTGATGACTACAGCAGGATCACAGCTTCTGGGATCAACCTCTTAAAACTGTCTGGAGCCAAAGCAAGAGAAATAAAACGGCCCCAGGGATTTCTGGGTAATGTAAACCTCAACTTTTAATCAGTTGCCCCTCTCTGACGTTTTGTGCAAGGGTGCTGACTTGAGTTAGAAGGCAACCCTGACGTTTATAGATATGGTTTCCTTTCATTTTGTTGTTATAACGGGTCATACCTCAACCTTTCACTACGGAGTAATGAGAGGGGAGACATCAGTGTCATTTCAAAGGTACGGGAGGAAGTGAAACAGATCAATTGAGGAGCCATTTTACATCACAAGCCTCTAAAATGAGTTCGTATTGATACTGAACGCTAATAAAAGCGGCTTGCTGGCATTTGCGGGATCCAACCTTGATGTGGTTCCTTGACCAAAAGAAGAAGATAATTTGGGGGTTTAAAAAAGTATTACTTTTAAATGTCCCAGAGAATGTTCGAGATTTGTGTTGTGACTTTAATCTAAAAAACATTGATATTGTTTTGAACATTCCTCGGCTTTGATCGTTCGTACTTGGTGTCGATCCTGAAACATGCAGAAAATATTATATATTGCACAAAATATACGTGTAATTCATCAGACTCGTTGATCCAAACTCACCGATGAATGTCTGAAGGCTTTTTCTTACCAAATATTCTGTCCCATATGATCAGTATTCCTCCGTAATTCTTATCAATGCAGTATTCATTTCTCCCTGTTGGGGAAAGATTTTGTGAGTATACAACAGACAAGACAAAAATCACCATTCAAGCTTTTATCGCACGTTTAATGGCGCTTTCTTTTGGTGTCGAGTGCCATCACACACAAGAAAATATCAAAAATGAATAATAGGTTGTCCCGCTCCTTGATGAAACAAAGTTGATCTCACCGTGATGAACTCGGTGGTGTTTTGGGGTGTTGAAGACCCACTCCAGGGGTCCGAGGTCTCTGATCAGCTGAATTAGAACAACCGCATAGAGAACATTACAGATATGGAGAATGGGGTCAGTAGATTTCATCACGACATACTTTTTAAATCATGAGATATATACTGTGTGAGTTATTTCATTTATTCCTGGTGGTTGGTGAAGGCTGAAAGGATGTGCACCACATTAAGACAAGGTACATCCCCAGGGGAGCATGAATGTGGAATTGAATCTGATGGTAAAACTACTCGGATATTACATTGGCTTCCCTGGAGCCACGGCGCCGTCATGCCTTAAACTGACCACCGTAACGCCTTAGAGTTCAAGATGACATCTTCAAACAGCTCTGGTTAGTTTTGACCAGAGACGCAGTCTGAAAATAGAAACAAATTACCTGTTGATCGACTAATCCTTATATCCTATTAGTCGGACTGACTTTCTGAGATTACCATAGATAACTTTCCATGGAGTCCAGGACTCTTGTTTTGGGGTAATATTATTTCAGTTAAAAAGGTGTTTTGCTGATCATAGTCCTACTTACGGACTAGTAGGATAAGAAGAAAAGGTGTGATCCTTGCTGGTAGACATTTTGTGCATAAAGCTATCAAACGTGAATCACTTTCTCCTCTTGGAAACCAAACGGATGCACCGCTGAGTCATTAAAGGCTACCGAGGTCAAACACAGCGCATTTCCCACAGCTCACGTTTCTCTCCAGGCTGCAACGCTCAGATTATTTAGATGTTTGATCGAACTGAACGGGACCTCTCGGTCTGGAAGAACTCGCGCGGCCGGACAGAGTTCCTCTGGGATTGATTTCATTTATGCAGCGGCTGGCGGCCGAGCGTGAGAGTTTTATCCCGACCGAAAAGGGTCTCCACCACTTCAGCTCCAGCATCTGAGGATTGAGCTGAGCGGCGAACAGCGTGCCAATAAATTACATGACATCAAAAAAAAAGAAAAGAAAGGCCATAAAGGAGGCATAAATTACATCCCTTCAGAAAATTGTGACTATTAAGACTGTTTTCACTAATAGTGCACTAAAAGATGGAAGGCGTTCCAAATCCATTCATCCCCTCTCAAGATTGTGGGGATTGTAAAAGTGATACTCCCGGTCACTTTAAAAGTCTGAGAAAGAGCGGTCATGCTTCTGTTTGGAATATTTCATGCAATCTCATTATTTTTTATTGAATACAGGTTCCACTGCAACTCAGAGTCGCACAAAGGCTCGACTTAGCAGGCGGATTCGTTTTGGCGCGGCGAGAAAGAAACTTTTAAAGACTTTTCTTCCGTCACTTTTTTCTTTTAACTTTGCACAGCAACGACGACGTTAATAGGAGATTCATACACAGCCACAAGTGCTGCATGTTGATGGATTTTATATATTTACATATTATAACAATTCTAACAAGCAATGGGTTGCATTAAAAAAAATAAAAATTGTATATAAATGTTTTCCTCGTGTGTGAATTTTTAACTATTTAGCTTTTCCACCCAAAGGTTTCCTTTCCTCGTCCGACAGGTGAAGAGTCAGCATTTGGAGCAAAGACATGAACGAGGACGCGTGTCTGCTGATGCATGATGGTAGTTGTTGTTTAACTGCAGAATCCAACAGTCCAAAATCTAAATACAGTCAAACATCATCTCTTGTTATCTTCTTTAGGATAAAGAGTCAATTAATGACAGAATAAGTAACCTGTGAGTGAAATATTTACCTCAGTGTGGATCCAGAACTGATACAGGAGGTTTAACTGTATGTGGACGGCGAAGACGGTGGGAGGTGCAATCAGAGCCAAAGGCATGTAGAAAATCTGAGGAGGCACAGAAGGTGTCTTTTATCAACATGTTGCATAATACAAAGATGGTCCTGTAAATCTGAACACTATATTACTAACCCATAGCATTATATTTTATTTTATTCCTCCTGCACTGTTGTCTTGTCGTCCATTGTCGAACTGTTACGCACCAACCGCCAAGTCAAATTCCTTGTATGCCTGACATATTATGGCAATAAATGCTTCCTGATTCCTGTGATAACGGTAGTAACGCCGTCATTAGCACGTCTAAAACACTTAGAGAACTACTCCTGCATGCCGACAGAAGGCCCAACACAAGGTAATGAGGTAGATTTTCACACAGTCCATCACAAATGTCACTGATGTGAAGATGTCTGCAATGTGGGAAATGACTTTTGAGAAGCACGGATAACCCACAGATTCAAGTAGGAACTATTTATTTCCCAGTGAACTTGGGAAGCGTGTGTCCGTACTCGATAACACTAGCTAACCCAGCGCCACTGAAACATTGTTCGTAGATGAAACGGGGACAATACTCACCCAGGATGTGAACTGCTGGGTGAGGGACTGTCTGAGGGCCGTGGTGAGGTTGAAGTACTCTGAGCTGTGGTGAACCTGGTGAGCAGCCCAGACGATGGACACCTCTGGAGAAGAATGACACGCACACAAAAGATTCAGGACAAAAAAACGATACAAGAATTCCTACACGAAACGCGGCTTCAGAAAAGTTCAGCTACTTTTTAGATCAGCACAAGTGATTTATCTCAACAATCAACCCCAGCACATGAGAAACTGGACACCTTCGTCCCCAGAAGGATTGGAGGAAGAGGAGAGGGGGGGGGGGATTCGGCAGCAGCTGGTCAGCGTCCAGTCTGATGTCCCAGTGCTCCAGTTTACATTCCTCTGCTGTGTTGTGATACTTGCTACATTAATATCTGTGTTACACTTCATTTTAACATCCAAAGGGAACATGCTTGTTAAGTTTCACAGGATCTCCGGGCCGTTTCCGGACCACCCTGTCTAGTCTGTGCATTTTTGGCACCTCACGGCCACTCAGGCCTCTGCAGCCGTACAAGAGAGAACAGTAACCTTCAAATATCGCAGAACCACAGAGTCCCATATCGACGATGTATAGTAATGCATTCGTGAAAATAAAAAGAGCAGCCAACGGTCTGAAATGAAGTTTAAGTTTTATGAAGCGTCCATGATGTGTAAGGGGATTTGTGATTAAGGGATCAATTATCAAGCAATTCAACTTTTATTATTACACATGGCATGCATGGATGTGTGCGTATCACAAGCTTATTTCTGGCATTTATAGTATTTTTTTTCTCTAAAAAGGTTTTAATTTAAAAAGGAGTCCGTTCTATTGCTCTCTGATGAAGATGATAAATACAACTTGTCATGGCTGTATAGTAAAGACGAAGAAGATTAGCTGCTTCTGCTTCAAAATGACAACGTTTATACTCTAAAACATTGAGCCTTAAACCAGTCATAATACACTTAATAAATTAGAGCCATTTGCAGGTCCGTCTTGATCTGTAACCAGCACCTTTGCAGAATGCAATTTGTTTTTTTACCACGGTGTTGTTCTTTGTATGCAAACACGTCTCTCTTGCAACATGATGTGATGATCATCGATCGGTTCACACACCGATGATGTGGGAAGTGTCGACTTGCTTAACGTGGGAACACGCCATTCTGTTTTGGCAGTATCTCTCAAAATCGGCACCTCAAACTCCTTTATCGCTGTTTAATAAGCTTGCGGACTGCATCGAGTCGAGCGTCCCGATGGGCCGCCGCACCTGAACAAACACGCCGCTGGGCGCCGGAAGGTGTGCAGAGGACCTTTCCCGACACCTCTCCAATCAGTGAGACCGAGGTGGACTTCCTCACGCGTTTTTTTTGGGGGGGGGTGAGGTGCTCCCAGAGCAAAGTACCGCGCCCGAGCAATGCTCCACACCTCCGATATATAACAGGGTTATTGCTGCGTTTTAGCAGGCGTGAGAGGATAAATGTCACGGGGGAATGTTTTTGGAAGCGTCCCACAGTGGGAAACAATGTATTTGGGTTTGAGTATGAATGGAAGGAACAGGGTTGGAGTTTATTTCAAACTTTATTTTCCCTCTCAAGGCAACTGACAGACAGTTTGCACACAACTTATGAGTCCGAGAGGAGAGGGGTAAGAATTTTTTTAAAAATGAAAAGAAGTCTGAGGGAGTCAGGCACTAGAATTATGAAGTTTCTTCCGCTGTGCACTGTGGGGGATTCAGAGATGAACTGTCCTGCTAAGAGACATATTGAGAGGATAATCTGCCCTTTGTTTAATTCCAGCAGCCGGAGTCTCTTTTTTGCTTTTTTTCCCCCTTCTCACAGGAACCGTGCTTGGCAGGTTCCAGGACTACGGGCGGCTGAGATTGATGCTTCTTGTCATTGATGGGAAGTAGGAACCGCTAGGCTTCACTGCAAGCCCATGTACTGGTCTCTGGACTCGGCGGGACGCCGCATAGTTTGGCAGCGCCCGGTCAGGAGGGAAGCCCCGTTAATGGTGAGAACCAATGCCACTGAGCCCGCGTTCCCAGCAAGAGCAGAGAGAACGCTGAGGACGCCGCTTCCATCTGGCCTCCGGCGAGCCCCCGACTCACGCCATCCCGGGAACAGCAAGCATGAGTGCGCGCTAGTCAGGTGAAGGACAGCTTGGACGCGTCACATGAGGCCGTGCTCAAACATTACCGAAGGGGTCTTTCATCCAAATCCCTGGAACGTTAACTCGATGTTTACCTCGAGTTAACGTTGTGGCTGTGTGAATCATTACTGCTGTCCGTGAGGAACAAAATGTGAAGGTGGAGCAACCGTTTAACGTTTTAAGGGGGAGTTGAATATTAACCAATGAAATGAAAAGACACGTTTGTAGTAAAACAATTACAATTGTCCTTACATCAGTGATTCTAAAATTGTGCTGTATTATTAAAAACATTTACTGTATGAAATCCTACAGATCTCAGTAGGGCTGTTGTATGAAGGCCAAGGTGCAATCTGGGCTCAGCATCTTGCTCGATGGCACTTGTTGGGGTCTGGGGCTTGAACCGCCAACCTCCCAGTCGTTAATCAGTCCCCACGGGGTTCAATAAACCCTCGGCAGCTCAGCCTGGCTTATACGTCGTCTCAGCATCCAGCGATCTGACAAATGTGATGAAATACTTGAGTCAGTCCAAATCGTCGCTGGGCCCGAACTCGCTAAGTTGAGAAAATATGACTGCGGTTCAAATTGAATTCTATGGAGAGCAGTGACGGGTGATGCGTGTTCAGTCGCTATGAAATATTTACGATTAATTTAAGATTTCAGAGTTTAAATTGTTCCGATGGCAACAAATAGTACAAAAGAAAGTAATAATGTCCTTAATGATGAGCGGCTATAGTATAAACCTTACAATAAACTCTCATATATCCCGTTTTATGACGTCATATATTTTTGTTTACGTGGTGCAGCCAAAACGAGCCTCATTGTTCCGGTATTCACCGCTGGCTGCGAGAGAGGAGGTCTGACGGCATGTTGATGTATTTCCACCATTCTCAGTGCTCACTGTTGAATTATATCATGACACATAATCAAGGCCTATAAGTCATCATCAGTCACGTTACGGGAGCCAGTTAGGCTCCAACACGCTCTGTTTACGTCCTCCTCGACACTGTCGGGAGTGGTGCTTATATAACCAGAGTCGTATATAAACGCGAGGAAGCAAAGTCCTGCTGCGCTGCAACCGACGCAGCCGCACCAGAGGCCTGGAGTAAGTGCCCATTAACGCTCAATCTGCTCCTGGACGACGCCGCCATGAAAAGGAAAGTATGAGTATTCAAAAAAGAAAAATAACAAGCGGAGGACGAGGGCCAAATTCGCTCAATTTGACAAAACCGTATGAAAGAAAAAAGCTTTTTTCACCACTCGGCTGGCGGTCCGTCACCCTCGGCGACAAACCCCTGGCAGCGAGAGACGCCGCCCCTTCTGAGTGGTGGGCCGACCTGTCAATCAGCCGGGTAATGGCCTGTGTTAGCTGGTGTGTTTGTATTGGAGGGCTCTCGAAATTTGGGGGGAGGGAGCGAGCGCCGTGCTTCATGTTGTCTACGCAGCTCACACACACACACACACACACACTTTCAGCACCCTCGAACCGGGTGGATGACTGAAGCAGATCTTAACATACGCAACATTCTATTTGAATGTATTCAATTCTTCTGGACTAGTGGACATAAATCATTTTCTCTGTTAGAGAAAACACAAAAAGATGTATTTTGTATTATATGCAATAACAACTTAGGGTTTATGGAAGATTTAAAAATGCTGGTTAAATTAAAAAACAGAAGAAATTAAGTGAAATACAACAGGCTTTTTAATATGCCTTTCCCTTTAAAGTGGGCATTTAATGTGTAATTAAATTAATACTAAATACTTTTATTTATTCTTATCAGAATCTTAGATGAATAAGAATCTCCTTTCTGACTCGAAGAACATTTTCCCCCCCATCCCCTAATAACAACTCGTATTCATCATTCATGTCCACACTTCTTCCTCCTAAACCCTGGACGCTGACAGCGGGAAGTGTCTCCGTGCGACGAGGGGAGCAACGCGAGGGCAGCAGTCAGCCGGACGGAGCGACCCTCTCAACCCGCATGTCACGCTCCTCTTTTCCACACTCACTTTAACAGCTGCTCATACGCAACGGGACCTCTCTCTCTCTCTCTCTCTCTCTCTCTCTCTCTCTCTCTCTCTCTCTCTCTCTCTCTCTCTCTCTCTCTCTCTCTCTCTCTCTCTCTCTCTCTCTCTCTCTCTCTCTCTCTCTCTCTCTCTCTCTCTCTCTCTCTCTCTCTCTCTCTCTCTCTCTCCCTCATCCTGCAACCTGCACTTGGCCAGGAATCGCCGTGACGACGACCCTGTGCAGGTTTACCACCACATGGTCTGTGTCCACGGGGGAGCACATCCGTTTGTCTTAACAACCGCTGCGGTCTGCAGGGCCAAATGCGTGGGAAGGCAGTGTGGGGGGATGGGGGGGGGGGTGCATGGACCGAAATGCAGGATGTCGTTAGGGTGCATATCTTTCTGTCCATGCGTGTGCTTCGTGCGTCGCCTGAAACAACACATCTCACCTCCACCACCATGTGACCTTATGAAATACATGAGACACTGGGAGGGGAGACCAGAGGACACGTGTCACACTTCCTGACATCTATTTTAAATTGTTGTTTTTTTTACACTGAACACTGGATCCCAGGCAACGCAGGAAACAATCAGGATTCGAAGGCAAACAGGCGTCAAGGGACATAATCTTCGAAAGAAAATCAGCGAGACAAACATAGGAACTAATGTACAGCGGAGACGGAGTGGAGGAAGAGGAAGGCGGAGATTCAGAAGCTTCCGGCTGTTTTTATTTCTCACACCGCCCGACAAATGCAAACAATAAGCTGCTCAGAGACATTGAGAGGTAGTGGAATACCCACCCAAAACCCCCCACTGAAATACAGAGAGTCATCGGCTTCAGAAGAGAAAGGTATGTTTAGAAAAATGTGCCGCGAAGGTCGTTTGATTAGAGCAACACATGCAGATGCTTTTCCTCAGAAACAACAAAAGGATAATGGTGACAGAGGGCCCGCTGAAGCTGCAGTGCATAGATTCCCGGGACCTACACCGGTGGGTCTAAGCAAATATAGATATCAAGAGTTCAGAAAAACAACCACTTCATCAGTGTGTGCACAAAGGTCATTCAAATGATTGAGCCGGCACATTCGCCTAAATTTGAACCACGGCTGGTGTTTGTCAGCAGACCTCACGCGCCACAAACGCCTGCAGCGGGATCCAGTCACAAGCATTCCATCTCCGAGAGGATCATGTGTTGGGGCGCGCGCGTGCGTGTGCGTGTGTGTCATCATCAGACCTGGACACCACGCCACACCATTAAAGATGCTAAAATCTATGATTTCATGCAGATTCCTGAATTTCATCCAAAAGGCTGCAGGAAAAAAAAGGCAGCGTTCGTCTTTCAATCCGGTGTTTTCTCCGGGATCACAGCGTCTGGCAGGAGTGAAGCCGAGTGGGAATGTCTCCTCAGTCAAAAACGGCATCAGCACAGGATGAAGTCCCTTCGGCCTAATTTCCACTTAATCATCTTCGAGCTGTCCATTCATGTGGAAGTCATGAGGGGAACTACGAAGGGGAATAAAGGGCCATAAAACTGAGAAGGACATTCTAGACTGAGGCAATAAGGGCTCATATTCCCCAGCAGAGGGTGTCACCTTTGCCCCATTTTGCATTTCTCTGTTGTGATCTTTCCCCTATTACGTAATATTAAGATCTATAGCTCATTTGGCCTGACACAATAGGATTATTGATGCGGTGTTCCTGTCGTTTTGAGGCAAGAAAACGGCGAGATTGTTCCAAGACACGAGTGCAATAATAAAAAAAGTCCCCAAAAGCAGCGTTGCATGACAATTCGACCCTCATTAAACTGCTGAAATGATACTTTCTACCCGCATCCTGCAGCCGTCTCCTTCCTCAGCGCCTCGTGATAGGAAACACCCAGCCCACACGCTGGAAGCTTTTCGATGACCGGGATGACCTCGGCCGACCGCCGAGGGCCACGGCGAGCCCGTCCTGCGGTCCAGGAGGGCCGCTTCGCTTCGGTTAAGAGGGGAAAAAGCTCCAGACAGTTACAGCGACCCCACAACGTTCCACGATGGCAACGCCAGTCCAAGAGGAAATGAAAGTGGAATCATTCTTTTTATTTAGATGTAATACAATTATTCTGCGGTTTAAAAATATGATACTTCCCCGTCAGACGATGACGTCAACGGCGGGAACACACACACACACAGATTAAGCTGGTTTCCTAGCACATTTAGACTCAATTAGACTCAGATCATTCAGGCTCGAACACTGAAGGTTTATTTAAATAATCTGATCTTTCCCAGTTTCTCGATCCGTGTATAATCGTGGTTTAGGTCCTTCGCTAACACAACTCCTTTCTAAGGTTGTAAAAGTAAAAACGTGTTTGTGTCCAGATTCTAAACTGGAATTTTAAAATTTGTTTTAAGAAAAGGGTACATTTTAGGAAATAAGAGTTTTTATTAGTGTATTTATAGTGATGATTAGTTGATATCCATCTTACTTTCCAATTCAGACAGACTTTGGATTTAATTATTTTGGGTGAAGGGGGCACCGCTGCACGTATTGATTTTTCATTCCAATGCACCACAGAGGTATGTTCAATGTCCTTGGTCTTATACATTATGTGAGTCGCATGTCTCTGTAAGATGAAGGAAGATAAAAGCAAAAGCCCACAGATTGCAGTGAGAAACTGAACCACTAGTGCACTTTAAAGGACAACTGCCGATGTTCCTCTGTCACCTCGAAGTCCTGTCGGGCAGTTCTTGGAGAGACGGTTTTCCAAACACAGCTTCTGTGGAGCCACATTCTGGACCTTCAGCCAAAACCACGCGGACAAGTCGGCGGGCAGCTTGATGTGCCACTGACACAAATAAACATCGGTGCAGGCCACGGATAAATACATCTCTTCCGGTGTGGCAGCCAAGCATCTGGCACGTGCATCAGTTGAGCAAAAATACGGGAAAGATGTCGAGCTACCACTGTGGAAACACTGTACCCGGCATACATCTTTTATTTCTGCTTTAATGGCGATGCTGCAGGACGTCGCTGCTTTAGCGCGTTGACTATATCGAGCTCGTTGCTGTGGGCTCCGGGTTAAGACCACTGCCCCCCCGGAGACTAAGGCCTCTAACATCTGCACAGCTCTAAAAACAGCTGCATGTAACTCAGAAATAATTGCTTCCTTTACAAGGTCCAGGACAGCATGATGTGTGCGCTATCTCGTGTGCTCCTTCCTGCAGGGATGGCAACTAAATCAACATGCAAGACCATCAATCATCAGCTGGCTTCGTAGTTTTCGGTCGGCGTTATCTGAATGATTTATAATTAAAAAGGAAGGCGTAAAAAAACGTGCAGAAGCCCACTTAGAACAATGGCCATTAGCCATGTTTAAGTAGGAAATCAAGTATTTGTATGACCGCTGGAGAATATGCTACAGACATGACATCTGCTGGACTTTGATACTATTCCAGCAGGAAAAAGGGGGTCACTGTTCAAATCCGCAATCAACACCATAAATCCGAACTGTCCACGGCCACAGTGCTCCGAGAAGGAGCAAAGTCAAAGGGGTCAAAGTATGAGGAGCACAACAATAATAAAAAAAAAGCACAGGTTGCACCTGTTTCTGTATCATGTGCAGTGCACAAACTATACGGCACAAGTACTACCAAAAAAAATACTCACGAACTAGACTGTCAAACATACATTGTATATGATACCTCACCTAGTACGCTTGTTTACATATTATTTGTACAACTTCTTTTCATGAAATTAGGTGGACTCACTACCCTCTCGGTTGTGTGCCGTCAGTGAGGTATGTTTAATTATGATTATGTTGAGCGTTTCCACCTATCGGCATTCCAACCCTATGCCTGCCCCCCCCCCCTCTGTGAGTGTCTCGTGCGGCTACCGTGAGCGATGCGGTGGACCCAGTAGTAGCAGAAGTCCACGCCCACGAAGGTGAGCCACCAGGTCCAGGCGGAGTCCCAGGGGAGCTCCAGCAGGTGGTACCGGTCCCACACGAACACGTACGCAGTCAGCTCACAGCTCCTCATGAACAGCCTGAAGGGAGTGGGCGGGGGGGGGGTCACTACCATCGATATTGTGTGCTTTTCAAAATAATGGAGCTATAACTGTGTGACTCCTGATGCAGCCGCCTCCTGTTTGCTTACATCACACTACAAAAGTTCACCACAAGTCACTTGACTTTGAGCGGCCTGAAACACTCACAGTGGGATTCTGGAGATCATTCCACAGGACACAGAGGTGAGTCCGTCACTGATGGTGAGCACTGGGGATCCTGTCTTCAGCAGGCCCACCACCATCTCCAGCACCATCAGTCCTATGAAGAAAGGAGTGGCCTGTGTACACACACACACACACAGAATCATGATTCAGCACTGTTGCAAACTGTGAAAACAAGACAGTTTCAAGGCCACTGTTGATTTTAGGGGAATGTGTTGAGCTTGGATATTTGTCTTGGCAGACGAGCTAAAAGCCTGCAGGACTTTCATGTCTTGTGATCTGGGATGTTTGTTCCACTGTAACTGGTCTAAAACCACAATGCTTTGGCAGACTGTGGATCACAAACATTCGTCTGAGAAGAGCTGCGCTGGAGTTTGTGCCAACAAACCACAACATGTAACTGGACTGTCTGGATGTTGGCTGAAAGAAAGGCAATCCAGATATCGTGGTAATTACAACTGTTGCGTAGTCTGAGAATTTGTTCTTTTATCTTTTTTTTTCTTTTTCAATTTGTTGTTTTAAGTAGCCTACCTTCAATCGCTAAAATCTGAACATTAATATAGCAAACTACCCGCCAAGTAATGTCTAGTTGAGCAGACAATGATGTCATCTGTTGGAATCCTCCGAGTGCATGTTAGCGCGCAACACCGTTAGCTCTGTCAGGACTGTTCGCACCTTTAGCTTTGTTAGCAACGTTAGCTCAGCAGTCGCCAGGTCAAGAGCGGCAGGGATCCAATTCCGTCAAACACAGACACGCTCTGAATATGGAACCTTTTAGTAACCTTGTTATTAAGCTGCTCTAATAAAAAACACCAGAATTTTAGTGTTTTTTCCTTTAAACAGATGTTGATAACTTTTCATGCACAAGAAGCGGCATGCTTCTTTTTCCTTCTTGGTAACAAAAAAAACAACAACTTAAATTTTCTAAATTATATTTTCCAAAATTTGTAAAAAGGATGGAGTACATTTAGTAACCAGTTGTGACAAAACAAATGGAAAGCCATACGCAAACAGTCAGTGACGGGCCTCCCTCTCTAACTGTGCTGGAAACATGCAATAACCTCTTAATGGGTCTGTCAAACATGGAACAAATTAGTGAGGGACGGGGTTACCAAACAGGTCACGAGTGCGTTTTCAGCGGCGTGTCAGACCTGCTGGTTAGCTTTAGCTGAAAGGCGCTCATTGACCAAGTGACTCCACTCATAACTGGGACACATGGCCCCGCCGAGAGCCAGGAATGACATCTGCACATCTGCAGGTGGCGAGGGAGGAAGTGTGTGTGTGTGTGTGTGTGAGGGAGTGGAAGTGAGAGGGAGTGTGCATGCATGTGTTTGCATAATCCACATGTGAATGCCTCCACTTTAACATGCAGGTGTGCGATGAGTGTGTGTGCACAAAGCAGAAGCGAGAGAACCACCAGGGACCCGCGATCACACGCAACGCTCCCGACATCTGGCAGCAGACCGCAGAGCTGCAGCCGACAAATGGGCAGGCGGACCTCCTCCAGACCTCCTCCAGACCTCCTCCGAACCCGCTGAGAAACACATTATCATGGTGGACGCCTTCTGCCCCCTCCTGTGTAGCAGATAGTTTTACCTCCACGGCTCTGCGTTCTCGACAGCTCAGGGCCAAATTATTAAGCGGGGCGAGATGAATTAAAGAAAAGAGGTCAGAGGAAAAGACTTGTCTTTGTCTCCATTTTTGTTTTTTGCTCCATATCTCTTTCTTTTGCTTTTCCTCAGAAAATCCTCATTTAAAAAAGTGTTTTTGCAATCGTTAAAGATGATCTTGTATCGTAGACAGTTGTCCACCACAGAGCCTTTTTTTTAAGCAACACTCCAACGGTTTTTCGTCGTGGGAACCGGCGATACGCCAACGTGCTGGTCGGCCTACAAAATGACGTCATCCCTGCAGCACTCTAATTTACCCTCGGCCGTTGCCTTTTGATCTGGCATGCGCCGAAAATGTTTCTTTCTTTCTTTCTAAAAATCGGATGGAACAAAGCCCATTTTATACTGCCGCATACTTGCGTCTTGTGTGGATTGTTTGTTGTGGCATCTAATAATTGTATTTTATTTTCTTATGAGTTCGGGCCTCGCATGGAACGAGACATTTGTGGAGCAGATGTCGGCATTTTCTCCAAGTAGCCTTTTTTATAAGGTTGCTGATGACTGAGGCGGGGTGACGTTTAACTCCCGCCGCCTCCGTCTGACAACAATACTGTGTTTGTGTTAAAAAAAAAAAAATCACTGAGACCTGGAAACAACCCACGGAGTAATACTTCCAGACAACCCCAAAATTAGAAGATTGTGTTTTGCTTTGTTTCTAATTAATTTGGCCTGTTGGGACCAGAGAGCAGAATAAGTAATGACAGAAACCAAACTGTAAACAGTGCTGAGTCACACACACACACACACACAATGCAAACTTTTATCGCCGTCGAGCCCTGCAGCAATAACAAATTTGTTTAATCACGTTTGGTAGTGAGTTAAGAGGACTCCTGCTGGGGGGGGTAATTGTTCGCCTCCCCCGATGTGCCTGATGTGCCTCATAAAACCTCATCGCAAACACGTGCTGGTAAACCTGCTGCAGACGCGCGCCACAATAAATGCCGAAAACTGACAGTAAGAAGCAGGAGAAACCTGGTTTAAGAATTGTGCGTTATTATTTAAAGGCAGTTAGACGTGAAGTCTGACTACTATTGTTATATAAACTATGTCATCGCCCAGATCACAGGAATATTTGTTTTCACTGATTTTTTATTGTTTTCTTGTCTGTTATATGAACAGCATCTTTTATTTCAATATTTCTAATTCCACATCACGATAAGGGTAAATATCCTGATACAGCAGGTACTTGGGTAATTGGCTGAAATATAAATATTCCATTTGAAATAATTGTACGGTAAAGCCTTTTCCGCCCACTGACAATATTGTTATGAATCCATAGTTAAGACTCAATTAATGCTTTATGTTTCTGCTTATAATACAACTGCTGCAATAATACAGCATGCAATAAAACTGTATGCTGGTTTAGTTTAAAGAAATGCATAATATTCTATAAGATAATCATATGATTGTAGAATCGCTGTACTGTGAAAACTAACTAATTAAATATTAAAACAATCACCGAATAATCGATCAACCGGCGAACCTTTGCAGCTCAAGTACATAATGCAAACCTCTTTTGTGGCATGTGATCTTTTCAACGCAGCACTCGTTTCTGAGGTGGCTGTTATTAGTTTTTGGACTTCTACACAAACAACAAATCGATGTGTACCCACCTGCTGGACATACTGAGGCACATCCTCCAGCTTCTGATAGGACGACTCGTTCGGGGTGAGCATGAAAAACAAGGACCGGAGCCCCGTGTAGGCGATCCCCGACTCCGCAGCCTGCGCCATGACCTCCGCTCTCCGGCAGGTGAGCTTCTGCGCTTACCTGAGCAGGTGTCGGAATCTCTCAGAGGCGGAGGCGGAAGGGGGCGTTCCCCCTCGAGGCTTCCTCTGCACCGCGCTTGTGTTTCTCTCCGCTGCAGGCGGCTCGAGGCGGTCGGTCGGTCGGTCGGCGGGCCGAGCCTCTCGAGTCAGGGTCGGTTTGGAGCGACGGGGTCGCAGTCACGTCGGGACCGTTGACCGCGAAAAGGTACGGCGTCTTTTATGGGCGGCGAGGTCATCTTCTGGCAGGCTGACCCGTTCCGTGTGACTTTATCTCGCGAGAGTTTGGCGTTTCCTTTTGGGTTGATGAGATGTGTGATTCCAACATTTGATATGAATTCGATGAAATTACAAATACTGACATGTGTGAAATTGATAATCATCTACACTCACAATTCCATGAATATGATTGTGTAAAAAAAAAATTCTTTGTTATAGAAATACTGCTGAAACACTTTCAGGGTGGCTCTTTATTAGATTATTGCTTAGCCGGAACAGGGACATTGTGTCCATACATCCTGCTGAAAAACAAAAGCAGTCACAAGACGACCAGCAAACATTTGTTTCTCACGGCCTACGTGAATGTCGGCTTTAGGGTCTATTAGCCGTGTACATAAGTGCCACTAATTGATAATCAGCTGTGGCTGTGACTCACAACTGTGACATTGTTGAATTAAGCTTAAGAACACGAGCCACTAGAAAGCTTCCTGATGTCATGTAGAGAACGTCAGACACCAAGACACGCACTCAGTTCTGTTTTATGTATAGCTTTACTGTTGAAGACACAAACATCACATGCAGGTGTCCGAATAAAATCCATCAATCGATTTTGCACACAATTGTGTTCGTTATCTACGTACACAATACGTGTGACGAAAGTCACCAGTTACCACTGTTACAGTTACTACCACGATCCTTGTGTTTCTTTCTTCCAAATCACATTCATGAACGAGGGTTATAAACTTTAATGTTCAACAGCCATCCAATGTGAGGGTTTGTGGACAGTTTGTATGATTTCAGTTTGTCTTTTGAACGTCCAGTAACGTGTCAGTTTTGATGCATTGCATTTAGGAACCATTTCACACTTCTGTCTTGTTTAGAAAATGATCGGATATACTTAGTTACGTTGATGAAAACATTGTGAAATACTTTGATAGATTTATGAAAAGGTCATGAAATACCTTAATTACGCTTAGAAAAAGATCGCAAAATACTAGCTAGGTAATAGCTAGGTTGATAAGCTATTGTTGATCAATTTAGATTAGGAAAAGCCGGTGGGCATCGTAGAGGTCAGTGACTTCTTCCACGCACGATACAAACAGCAGTCTCCTGAGGGGAATGCCGCATTTGTTCAACACCTCCCTCCTCTTTTTTTTTGCGGTTTCAAGCTTCCTAGATTATAGGATTTGCTTTTGTGGGGGTTTTAGCAAATTACAGTGAATTCCATTTTTGTAGGAAAGTTGCGATTTCCGTACGAGAAACGTAATGAGCCTTTAATCTGCACCCACACAAACACACAACTTCAGATTGTTTTGATATTTGGTTAAAAGAGTAAAAAAAAAAGGGGGATTTTGGGTGAAAATGACAATAAAGCAAGTGAGGTCAGCTATATGGCAAAGTAGATGACCCTCAACAGTAAAGATATGAAGGTTACCCGTTCATATATCTGCTCTTTGCTTCAATAAATGAAAGACTTAAGGACAGTTCAAGGGCATGATCGATCAGCGGGAGAAACTCTTAGATAGATTTATACATCATTATCAAACTATATTCAACTTTAGTACTCCAAAGCAATTCTCAGCTGATTTCAGCCACTTTTGACCTTGTGTGCTGACAGATAACAATCAGGAGAAAGCCCATCATGCATGACTGATGATCATGCATGACCGATGATCATCAATGACCGATGATCATCATAAAAATGGAGACAGTGTTCACACACATGACTTTCTTACGTTGCACTGCAGGGCAACATTTAAAGCAAGACAGCTGCTCTTTCTTCACATATGAAAGGATATGGCACATATTGAAGGTTTTGCTAAATTTGCTTTCTTTTATGTGGTTGTTTATTAATCAAACAGGCAGTGACTTTCACTTGGAAAGGTTTATAGTCTGTGAGCTGATTAAAGCTCATTTTTGTGAGTACTTGAAAGAGAATTTCAGTTGCAAATGAAAAAAAAGGAGACAGTATCACTTTCTTCTTGTGGTTTGCTTTGGGGGGTTGGGATGAAAAAGTAAGTTGAAACCTTGACATGCCGCGTGAGGTGCCTCCTCAAAAAAAAAAAAATTAGAATGCACAATCACAATGTGGTGAAAGATGAGATGGAGTCAAGAAGGTATTTTCAACTGGATTTTGTAACAGAATCCGATCCTCTGCGGGTTCTCTCTCTCCTGGCAGGAGTCCCGGGCCCATGCCCCGAGGCGAAGGTGAATTTAGGATGCCCCCTCCAACCCCCACCCATCACCAGCTTTCACCACTCTCTGTAATGTTTAATTCATTTCAGCTTCACTTCATGCAACGCACATGGGCTGCACCAAATGTTGCATTTCATTTACCACTGGTTGAATTTTATTCGATCTGCAACTGCCCCTGAAAGGATTTAATAAAACACATGTCAGGTCTTCAGATTTTGTTTACAAAACGTCATCTCCAAGCAGAAAAGTGATGAGTAAAGAACTGTCGGTGTTTATTACCGCGTGAGCTGAAATAGTGTAGGTATAAAATTCTGGTTATGGTAAGACAATACAGAGAATTATTTACAGATCATTTATATTAGCGAGGCAAATTTGATTTCCTGGCACTTGATGTTTTTTGTTTTTTTTCAATAACTGAAATACACGGCAATTTACATTTTGTACAGTGAAACCTGACTTGAGGTGCAGACTGAGTGCTCAACAGTGCAAATCAAAGCCTGCTTTTCTCGAGGCACACAACGTGGAATGTTTACAACAGCTCGACCAAGTAGGACTTCCAAAATGTTATGTGGTATTCAGTGTTTTGGGAGAACCAAAAAACCTCACATGTCAATCGTTTTTGGCTCTCATCAAGGGCATTTTTAACCAATGGTGCTTTAAAAGATGTCAAAATCCTCCTCTACGTTCTCAGTTCTTGAAATCTACATTTTGCCTGCTGGCTGCATCGTCTCACCACACGTCACTTCTCTCTGTATATTTGTACACTTATTTAGCATCGTTGTATGACGATGGGCGAATCAGCGAACAGCAGTCCTTCTAAGGCTGGGCAGGGCCTGTCCTCTGAGAAGAAGGTGGGGGGTCGTGGATCATAAGTGGGCGTGCTCGGAGCTCTGGTCGCTGTCGTGACTGTCCTCGTTGGCTAAGGAGTCCGTCGAGTGGTGGAGCGCCGCCATGCCGGAGAACTCCGACGGCTGCAACGTGCCCTTTTTCACGTTGGTCAGTTCTTTCTCTCGGGCTGCCGCCCCCTGCTGGCCGCCCTTCACCCTCTTCCACTTCATCCGCCTGTTCTGGAACCACACCTTCACCTGGTGGGGACAACAAACAGACGCACAAAAAAAAGAAAACATCAAGGAGTGCAACTGGTTCACTGCAGCTTGGCAGCTGTATCTGCTGCGCTGTGCCACCACTCCACCTGCCGCTCTGCCTGCCGCTCCGCCTGCCACTCTGCCTGCCGCTCCACCTGCCGCTTGGTGTCTACCTGTTTTCCTCTTGAGTCAACAGCCCTCCCCCCACCACATTTACGTCTTTCAGATTGATGAGTAAGCTGTTGCTTAAAAAGTAGCTGCAGAGGCCCCTGAGTGTTGACACATGCTGTGGGGGGCCGCAGGGGGAAGGAGGGGGGCCTCCTTCATCGGTTTATTTTTATGGGACTGTCATTCTGCAGAGCGGTCACATGGTCAGGGAGTTGACTGACCAAATGTTTTTGGGGCGAGTGTCACCTTAGATTCTTTACAAAGAGGGTCGGGAGGAGGTGGTGGGGGTATATATTGAATGCCCATTTGTCAAAACCCAACAAGCAATGCTCCAGGCCTACACAAACAGAGACACACACACACACACAGACTCAGACAAGAGCACTCAACCCGCACGGATTGAGACTAACCGTTAAATCCACACACTGAAAGACACTGAAACCCACAACAAGAATAGATTTGGTGCCATTTGGTTCCTGGTTGAAAAATATTGAGTTGTCCAGTTTAAAACTGGTGGAATCGGTCACTCCAGCATCTCAAAGGCATTAAAATAATAGTTCAGGCTAAAAAATAAAAAAAAACACAGAAATAAAAAATAATCTTATTTTTCCTCCCCCAAGCTGTTACGTACAACACATTCGGCCCCGTAGCTCCTCATCAAACCCATCAGTGGCTGCAGCGAATGCCGGGACCAGACGTCTGCGATGCCAATGCTCCGCTCACTATCTACTGCCGTCGATTTTTCCTCGACAAAATCCTGGTCACACACAATTAACGCTGCATGAGCAGAAGAGCCTTCATGCATATTTCATGCCCTGCGGCATAAAAAGATTACTTGGAAAAGTCTAAGGCTGAGTTGGAATTACGATGGCTAACTCTGTGCTTGGTGAAAATAGGGTTTTGTCTGACATGGATCTAGCTGGATCTAGAAGGTTTTTTCTTTGTGATATGGAGCCACGGCAGAGGATTACTTTCATGATCTCAATTGCATTCCCTACATTTGTCACAGTTTCCAGTTGCTGACCTTAATGAGATGTGTAGGTTTTACTTGCATTACTCTGAGAGGCGCCAAAAACATATATGTATACTGTATATTCTTAGCACAAATTGCTCAAGAGGAAACTTAGCCGCTCAACCAGACACCATTTCACCAGCAAAATGGTTTCAATGCCTCACACACTACCAACATTCTGTTGAGACATTCGATGGCTGCAGTAGTTCCTCGTGCTAGACAAGTTAATGTGTGATGGCAAGTGCAGCTGATAACAATGATGATGGCTCTGTTCCATTTAGGTTTCCCCGTTAGCATTAGCATGCACAAGGAAAAAAGCTTGGTACAAAATGGGATGAAGCCATCGCAAAGTTAGCTGCGGATGAGCAAACTTTACATCCGGTGGACCAGAGTGTGACTTTCTGTCTCTCCAAAAACAGGACCGGACCCAAAAGGCGCTCCGGTCCTTCACGCGCGGCTCTCATGTGGAAGGGGCAGGTTTGCGAAGAGTGCACTCCGAGAGCGTAACTCCTGTCCGAGGAGACGCAGCAGCCAAGCGCAGTGAATGTGGTATTACCAGCTGAAATCACACTTTCATACCTGTTTATCCCTAATGTTACATTTAGAAGAACTTCAAGTGAACGGAACCCGAAGATCATTTACAACTAACTGTCTGAATCTCGGTTCGGGCCTCCGCACTCTATGCAAACCCCTGTGGACTGTAACGGGAAGTATAACGTTGACCCAGAGCTCTATCTTTGGCGCCTCAAGTTGTGATTTGCATCCAAGACCTCATCTGAAACACTCAGGTTTCTGTCTCCAGTCAATCTGTATCAAAATATCAGTGGCGAGGTGTCAACTAAGTGTGAGCTACGGCTCCCAAACGGGCCTCAGTGAACAACGCGGCTGTACGCCCCCGCCGCCCCCCTCCCCAAAAGGCCCCCCAACCATTTGTCTCCTGTTATTTATTTCATATGCCTGCATTTTACAGCAGCCGGCCCACGCTCGGAGACCAATTTGTGCACACAGGGGTGGCGCGAGAGAGGAAGTGACTTGCTAGACGGCACTTCCTCCAAGCCGTCTCTCCGCCTCGACTCTGGCCCGCTCGAAAGAATGGACAGGAACATCTGGAATATCATAGTCCGTGTCTCACGGACACATCTGGAGCACAATAGCCCCCTCGAACTCCGAGTTATGAAAACACAGTAGCGAGCTGAAAAAGGAGGCAAAAAAAAAAAAAAAAAAAAGGCTCCTCGTCGTCCCGAAGGCCGCCTCTGTTTTCACAACATGGCATTAATGTGCTAATGGGGGAGGGCTGGATAATGCCTGAGCACTGGGGGGGGGGACACGCGGCGGAGCGTTGGAACGTACTTGTCTCTCGGTGAGGTCGAGGTTGACGGCGATCTCGTAGCGCCTTAGTCGGGTCAGGTAGTTGTGGTGGGCAAACTCGGCCTCCAGCTCTCGGATCTGCTCTTTGGTGAACGCCGTCCTCTCCTTCCTGGGTTTGCTGCTCACGTCGGACTTGTAATTCCCGTCCTGGGACTCTGAAACCAAACACCACACGGGGTTTCTGTTTTCACTCAGATTTATATGCTAAGAAAATACACAATATAGCGCAGGTCATGTGGCAGGTGCAACTCAGCAGGGGGAGAAAAGAGGCGAGGCGAGGGACACAATGGGAGCTGTCAATCGGGGGTTTATTGTTCAGGTATTGTTTATGAACCCTTTAAGTGTCTGGAAGGACTCTGGGGCGGCTACACATGGGCGTCTGACTCTTTACTGCCAACATGGATTTAATTTGCCTTTTGTATAAAAGGTTCACATTTTCTTTGCACATTTCAGAGAGCCAGTAAAACAAAAACGCCTGCAGCAATTAAAAAAAAGTCTAAAGCTTGATTTTACAGTAGATGATCTGAATCCAATTAATAAATTATCTTTTACCCTTCAATAAATAATAAACTATATTAATAATGTGTGAGCAGCAAAAGTAAGTTGTAACATATTTAATTAGCATTAAGGAAATAACGGGATATACTTGTGGAAAAAAACGGAACCGTCCAGCATGTGTCGGATTCACTTCAGCTCATCAACCTGAGAAAATACATTTTGTTTTGTTATTTCCACTTTCCGAGGAAACTTTCCGAAGTCAACACGCACGCTCAATTTGCCCCTCCAGAAACTTTCCTATTGTTACAGCCTGTTGTGGTTTCTCCTCCGTCGGCGCTTCACTTCGCACGCTGCCCTCAAAGGCGGCAGTGATCGCACGCTAATTCGTCTGCGGTGCCGCTAATCCGGCGGGCCCTGCGTCAGTCTCCCCGCGAATAGTCCTGCGGCCTCGTGCGGCCGGACTCACGGATGCTCGCGAAGCCTCGAGGCCACGTCACAGGACCAACTGCTCCTTCACCTCGGATTTCCGCCGCCGGGACCCCCTGTCGCTTCCACTTCTTTGGTCAGAAAGAGGATCTTCCTTCTAATTAAGTGAGTTGTTTTTCCAGATCAAAATAACTCCCTCGGGAGGCTGAAGGGGAGGTGAGGGGTAAACTGCGAGAGCCCTCCAGAGGTCACATTTGCACTGTTTGCAAAAACAGATGGACAAGCTGCTCAAATTGCCTCCATGAGTTTTATGAAATGAACATTGCTCGACCCGCAGCCTGTGTCCGCACCCCCCTACCCCCCGTGACCTGGCCTTTCCCTCCCTGTCATTTCAAACCAGTGTGTGGCTGATTGAAGCGGCCCTTCAGACGTATTTATCCACTGTCTCTCTCTCTCTCTCTTTCTCTGGTAAACACAGACATCGTGTGAAGAAAAAAACAAAAGAATAACGCAACCGGCTGGACCAGCAGGCCCGGAGTTAAAACCAGCGGCGTGCTTTTATGAGACAGCCGGTGCACCGCAGCAATTAGGTCGCCGCTGTAACTTTCATCTCTCCACATATGAGAGAAATACGCGCCACCAAACAGGGCACGTCATCTCGGGTTCCCAAATGAGCTGAGCTCAGTGCAGGAGGGCCCCTTTAAGACTAATGTCTGAAGAAATTAAGAATTGACACGGAAAGGTATATTTTTTTCCTTTGGTTAAATAATATAGAGAAGGATAAAGTGGAAGTTTACAGAGCTTCTTTTAGGAAAAAGCACCTCACCCCTCTTTTGTTTGCTGTTTTACAACACCGCCTCAACCAGACAAGTCTTTAAGCACCTTTTTATTGTCCCACGCAGAAAATCCAGTAGGTTTTTTCATTTTCATTTTTAAAGGAACGACGTCTCCCTCGACAGCCCCAGTCGGGGGCAAACCAAATTCTCCAGCTGGGCTCAAACAATGAGCAGGTTCCACAGTAACCAGACACGCAAGAACGCCAGGGAGCCGCCTCATCTCATTAGCCCCCCCTTCTCACCCCGGGCCCTACTTGAGGAAACAATCACAACTATCTGACACGGACGCTTGAGAAGCCTCACATTCGAAGGCTAAACCTAACATGGAAATGAGCTCTTGGGGTTTTGTTATTATTTCTGAATCTGAGTTGGGAGGCTTTTTTTTTTTTGCTGCAGTTTCTGATCCAGATGGTGAAACCTAACCGCGGCTCTATCCCGTGCAACTTGGCAGCGGTGTGATGTTTAGACAGCTGATTAAGTCAGCAAACCTAGTTAGCCCCAATAATCAGCGTGATTGGTGGTAGCGCCAACGGGGGGGTTAGGGAGGGATGCACGTCGATGCAACCATTGTTACAGGGCAAGCGGGATTTGGAGGCTCGGTGTCCAAATGATTTAACAAAGGAGGAGAGGAAATGGGAGGTGGTGGGCTGGAGTGGACTCAATGTACTGTTGCAACATTTTGCATGCTTATAATGTAGTTGTATCAGACGTCTAGCACGGACAGTGCTATTAAAGTCAAACGGAGGCCGCCTGGGCTCTCGAAAAGCTTCCTGTCTTACATAATCTGTTCAACTTTATTCCAACTATCACATCTTTAGTTCCTGCTAATTCAGTGAGTGAATTCACGCTCTCTCTTTTTACTATTTGGTGCCACAACCTATTTACAACACCCATTTCAGGCGGCGTTGCGATGTCCATTGTTCTGCAGCAGCGGCAGCACCGTCAGGGTCAAAGCGGCAGGTGATGCGCCGCCGTGCACACAAAGAGGCCCATAAAAAGGAGTGCAGGGTCCCGCCACCCTCAAATGGACAGAGAGAACGGCGGGCGCACGTTCCCTGGAAAACTAAGAACCCTCGGCGATATCACGTTCCCTCTGCGAGGGCTCCGGCGACCCGAGATGGCGGTTTGTCACGGCGTGATTAATTATCACAGTGACCGCGCGTCATCCGGGAAGTGTCACCTATTTGAGTACAGTTTTTTTGGTTTATTATTAGTAAACAATTTACGTAATTGAGTAATATTAAGTAATATTAACAATATTAAGCTTAAAACATTGCTTCATAATTACAGCAGTTGATGACTTTTAAGGGATCGTGGTCACAAGAGACAAGTCACAAATTTCCCAAAACCCTTGAGTTGTACAGAACAGTCTGTTGACAATATGAATATTAATATAAATCCATTTCATGAATCTGACTTGTACATTAGGGTTTACTTCTGGTATGTAAATAGTTTATAATCCGTATTTACAAGGTGTTTTTAGGAATATTAAATAAATAAACGCATTCTGCTCAGATACTTGAAACCTGCCATTGTTTAATCATATTTCAGTGAAACCTGCCTGCGATTCATTTGATCCTCAACATTACAGAGGATAAAATCCTCTGTGTGCCGGGTGTTTAGCGAGGCCGCACGGCGCCGGTGTAGTCTTTTACAATCTGTGACATTAATTCTTTACTGTGAAACTCACTTTGTGGCCTCTGAGGAGTGTCGCAACAAACCAGATGTGATTTCTTTTTTTTTTTTTAAACAAAACACGGCAGGAGTCAGATGTGCCCACGCGGGTTACGATGTGGCCTTCGGCTCCTCGCTGCAGCGGCTCGTCAGCCGACACCTACAAACTGCTTCTCACACCGTTCTCTTGTTTTCCTATCGGAGGAATCTCAACAGTAATGTGCTGTTGAAGGATTGAGTGTGTTATTCCTGTGCTCTGCACGGAATTTATTAAATTGACGATATTTATGCAACGGTGTTTATCTAACAATAAGGCTGATAAATGACTTGCTGGAAATGCCTTCAAAGTAGTTCTCGTGAAGTCTTTGGCGATGTGTCACAAGCGGCTTATTTATTCACAATGAATAAAGGAAAAATTACCAACGCGATAAAATCTGGGACCCCCCCCCTTACCTGAACTGTCGCTTTTCCTCTTGCCGTTCCTCTTCTCGGCCTCGGCAGGTGACAGAGTCTGTCTGCCAAAGTCTGCAGGCGCGCAGGAGGCCCCCGTAGGGGTGCTGCCGATGCCCAGACTCGGGGTGCTGGCGCACATGCTGGGCCCCCCCGGGTGTCCCAGGTCCGGGGGCGCCGGCCCGCTGTCGTGGGTCGAGTGGGAGTGCGGGTGGCAGAGGTTGTGGCGCATGTTCCCGCCAGGTGACGGCATCTGCGGGATGTGCCACGACGCGTGGTGCTGAGGCGGGTGGTGGTGGTGCTGCTGCGAGGGCAGGTGGCCGCGGTGAGGGTGGTGGTGGTGGTGGTGGAGGTGGTGCTGCCCGGCAAACAGGCCGTCGTCCACCGGGTAGCTGGAGATGATGCAGGGAGAGGGCGAGGAAGTGGAGGAGGAGGATGAGGAGGAGGCCAGGTCGGGGTAGGAGACGTGGTCCGAGCGTCCGTGCAGAGTCAGGGGGGACTGGGTGAAGGCGGGGTGCAGGGCCTGGGCCGGCGCGTGGGGGCTCCGCAGGCACCCGAACAGTGTGTGATCCATCGCGTGCAAACACAAACGCACACGCGGGGCCCTCCGAGGAAAGGTGAGAAGGGCAAGTAAAAGAAGGTAAAGTTACTGAATCAAACCCAGAAGATAAAATCACAAGCACATATCCAAGATCCTTTGACTATCCCAAAAGTTTTTTTTTTTTCCTCCAGTTTAAAAAAAAAAAAGGAAGTCTACTCTCGATTAGTCAGAGCAGAGAGCAAAGTGTGTTTTGTATATGGTGTCCTGTGGTAATCCGGAGCGCGCGGCCAGTTGCCAGGCTGTGCAGGATAAACAGTGAGCTGCAGAACAGCCTCTCGGATGTCTGGAGGAGCGGAGGGGACTGGAGCTCGAGGCGGGGAGCAGGAGGCGCTTCCCACTAGGAACTGCAGAACGAGGGGAGCCGGGCGGAGGGGATGATATAAATAGGGTGTAACGTGAGAGGGAGGCTGGGTCACAGGCTGCATACGCGCTACTGACCACATACATATGATCGCCCTCCAAAAAGCCCAGCGCAATAAATCTCTACTATTAAAAATGGCCGAGCCTCAGGAAAGAGGGCAATTTATTTTGGACTTGGACCTGACCTTTCTGGCCGTCTTTTTGCTCACTTTTCTGAAAGAAATGGTCGGTGGGTGGGGCTGGGGGGTGGAGGTGGAGGGAGAGACAGGGAGGCGAGGTGTCAGGGGTTAACTCAGTGTGTCGCCCCGTCTTTCTCAGCTTTGACCCTTTAAAACACTGTTGGTCTTGTGGAAGAAGCCTTCAAAGGCTTTCCTCTGCCCATTGTTTGTTCCCCCTCTTACTCTCCGTATGTCTTTCTCCACACTACTTTTTAAAGGACACGCTTTATTCAAAAGTAATAACCAGTAACAGAAAAGAAAGAGTTTTGTTACGGTCCAGACAGAAATAAAGGTTAACATTTTATATCTATTACTAAATATAAAAAAAACAACCACAGTTCATTTTACTTTAGTGCAGTCAATCATTATATAGGAGCGGGTTTTTCTTCTACATATGATTTGTATCTCATTTTGAAATGAAACACCTCACGTCGTCAAATCAAAATACAAAACACACAGCAATACTGACACAGGTTTGACCTTTAATGTGGGGTCATGAAGTTGAAATAACAGCTTCGTATTTTTTTATTGGCCTCTCAAACACCACGTTTGTTGGCTTTGAGATTACCATTAATTACTGTAGCAATGCAGAAACATTGTTTTTTTGCTGGTGCAAGGTGCTCGCAGACAGAAAAAATAAATATAAATATTGTTACCAGGAATAAAAAACCCTGAAAATGGTTTACGTCTTTGCATAAGATTTAAATATTTTAAACACCTAGAACCTCAGCACCAAACACGTTGTCATTCCTCACATTCATCATCTTGGTCATTAAAGGCCCTAAAAGTGGAGCAGGAAAAGAAATATGTCGGTAAACACCCAGCAGTGAAAGAAGAAAGCCCCCTTTGTCATTACTTCCCTAATCCTCTCTTACTTTTATTATTGTTATAATAAGCTCAAATAAAACCAAAGTAGAATTATTGTCCCTTGAAATTTTTCATCTAACTTCTGATAAAACTCGTCTGAATGAATCCCGGTCTGAGGTTAAGTTATTTTTTTCCTTGCAGCTAAATTGCTTTACTTGTAGAATTTGTACAGATAACATGAATTAAAACACTGTAAATATATTTTAGATTTTTATATCTACAATAAAGATGAATAATCCCGTTACACATGCACTTTCCCCGTTCTTCAAATCTCTGAAACTCTGAAAGCAACGATGTGACTTGTACTGTTTTAAATTCAGATTTAAAGTGCACACGGATTTAGAGTAAAATAATACATAAAACGTATTATAATTCTATAGCCGTTGCAGAGTTTTTGGTGGCTGTGGCAGGTCCTTTTAAATGTGGACCGTCACCCCAACCCCGGGGAACCGGGCGGACGACTCGCAGGCGGTGCCACAGGCGCTGTGGGCCGTCTGAGAAAGGAAATTAATTCCTCTTTGAGAGAAAATGACTTTAACAGATAGCACGGGGGAGGAAAGGCTGTAACTTTGCTGCTGTCACCCTCCACCCCCCAACACACGCACACACGCACACGCACACACACACAGTCACTCCAAAGCCTCCAAAGGCAGCAGAGGCAGCGCAGGAGAGGAAAGGCACCTTAGGTGAGTGAGTGTGAAACTCTTCTACTGTTTACCTTACAAATTAAGGCTATTAGCAGGTTGGGCTTTGTATGTGCAGAGGGCCCGGAGCAGGTAATAAGAAAGCACACGTGTTTTCCATCCTGGCGCAGGGATGGCCCGTGGGGGTGTTTTCAGTCAATAGTTTTTGGCCCTCGTGGGCTATTTGAGGCAAAATATCCTGCTGTGTGAAGAAGCGTGGCTTACACCGATAGTCGTGCCAATCTTGGGCTTTTATTGTGAAAATACACGCAGTTATTTTGAAGTTCCACATCAGGTATATCAATCAAAATGTCTTTTTTTGCACTTCAGGAATCAGGAAACATTTATTGCCAAAATATGTCAGACATACAAGGAATTTGTCTTGTATATATTTATATATATAAATATACACATACCTGTTTGTCTTTTTAGATCTTAGAAATTAGATCTTAGATCTGAACACAATTACCAAAATAATTAAAGATGTTATTATCGTGGCACTAATAGAAATGTTTTATAAATTAATTAATGCTATATGTCAAACTGACTTAAATTTGTTTTATTCATATGTCTTTTTTTTGGCAAATTAATTATTCTTAAAATACAATCAAGGAGAGGTGGAGACAGGCTGAAACTATTACTACTGATTATTTGCATGCCTTAATTGTACATGTATTGATATTCATCATGTCAATATCTTTTATATATCACAGTTATCGTCATACCGGTATACCTTGATATCCCTGCAAAGAATACAAATAGATGACTAAATAAATAAGACGCTTTTCCAGTTTCATCAAATCTGAAATGTTGTGGAAAACACATTTTAATATACCTTAAACACGGGAACGTTTCATGTGACGAGAGTCCACTGGTCCAAACTGGTGAAGAGGCTGCAACAGCAAGAAAGTGTAATTATAAAAAAAGAAAGAGGTCAGTGGGGAGGGGCGGGGGGGGGGGGGTCGCTTGTGTCCGTGTTTCTGATGGCGACGTTTCACCGCAGTAGACAGAAACCGAAGGTAGACCTGCCGCTCCACCTGTGGCTGTCAGTCACCCGGGCGGGAAGGATTACAGCAAACACAGCTCTCCCTGCGACCAAAACAAACACGCCGCTGCCCCGTCAGACCCCGTCTCATAACCGAGTCCCTCGCTGCCGGCTTTGGGTTCGGTTTTCCTCAGAGAAATAGTGGGAATCTGTTTTTGGAGGGCTGAGACGTGAGGATGTCTGCTGAGACGTTTCTGCCATAACATGTGTTGCAGGAGTCTTTAAAAGCTCCTGCAACACACTTTACTTAAAGCCCCTTTTATGTGCATTAACATGAACGTGAAAATATCAGATGTTAAAGTACATATAAAAGAAAAAGAAAATAATGGCTGACAACATGCAAAGTTACAGCTATAGTGACGATAGAAGGGTCCGAACAAAGTGTTACTCAGGCCAAGGTGTTAAAATACAAATACATTTATGAACATTCGTATTTGATAATTCAAGAGAAGGATTAATGACAATATCGATTAAGTAAATATTTAAGTCATGGATGAAGTGAATAAAGCCGAGTGTTAACGTTTCCTTCCCGATCTGCCTGTACTCACTTTAGTGTTATACGCTTTATAGCAGAAGGCTTTGATGCCTCTCACTATAATAAGGGCATTGAAAAGACCCAGCGTGTGTGTGTGTGTGCAATCATTAATAGACCTGTCCTTCCTTTTTTCCCCCTCTCTCTGCTAATATGGAAACATTTCACAGCGTATAACACTCACTGTGACATACAGAGCCAAGAAACGTACGATTAGAATTAGAAACCCGATATATGCCAAATGAAACAGTCAGCGCGATGACAAAGGGAAAGAAAACTGCACTTAAAGAAGAAGTATGACTTCTTACATATTCATATTCATCTTCCTTCCTGATCTTATTAAACTCTTGCCAGTTTGGATGTTACCGTCAAATTAAACATCCATCACGTCCTCATCATTATTTTTGTTTGAGGACCAAATCTAAAAGCAGCTTTTCATAGAAATAGAAACGTTTCAGACAGGAAATATTTGGACCGTTTAAGATCCGTTATTTTTTTTTTCTTCTGCTTTTTCAAAACTCGCCCGGAGTGGAATATCTCAGCGTCCGCTTCGGAGACAAAGGACACAGTTCCTGCGACCGAGGTAAACGCCGGCCTCGCTGCTCGTTTCCCTTCATGCTTCGGTCAGACTTACAGAAGACGGTTGTCCTCGGGGACGAGAGACCTGTGACCGAGGGAGACGGTGAATGTCGTCTCCGTTCACAGCTGCCTGACACAGGCAGGACAGCCTCCGTCCCCTGGGGGACATTATGACATCATAAAGGAAGAGGAGAGAGCAGGAGAGGAGAGGAGCCTTATTTTTAAATAAACATCTGCTACATTTGAGAACGAAAGGCCTTGAATCACACTTTGCTTCATTTCGTTGATGTGTTTTACATAATGTAGAGGAAGAATCTTTTATTTACGGGACACTGTGGAAATTAAAGCATATCAGGCCGCTGTAGTTTGTATTAGTGATAGTTGTCGGGATGTAATGGTCACCAGCGAGGCGAAAACAAGCGGATATTCCCTTTAAATAGTTGACATTTGAGAGCTTTAACAGCTCTTTTCCGACAGGGTGAAATGTCTTTTGTGAAAGCCGCTCGCTTCACAGTCCGATTTCCCGCTCTAATCGAGACCCACTGCAGCTCTTTGGTGGCCATTTTTGTGTGTGTGTGTAATGGCCGCAATGAGATCACCATCTATAATGGTGGGCTGTGATGGTTGCCCTCCGCCTCCCCCTCCGAGGCAGTGGAGCCCGAGGAGACGTGCGTTGATGCTTTGCAGGGCCTCGCTGCAAGTCGGACCACACCTCAGACATCCCGGGGTCGCCACTTCAAAATAAAACAGTTTAGACCTGGTCCTGGTGCAACCGCCAAAGAACGCCACCGGCTATAGCCAGCCACGAGTGCAAAGCCCGTTTCCTCCCAGACTCAATTTGTAAATCCCCCTCCCCCCACCCCGACGCCCCCGCCCTCCCCAACCTTCACCTTCGAGGGAGTGGGTGCCAGGCGAGGCGCGGCTCCAGACTCCTCAATTTGCGAACGGGCCCATTAGGGACTTTTCATTCGCGTTGGCCCACCGAGGATCAGCGGCCGAACCCGCCCTGCGCGCTGAAGCGTCCCGCTCGCGCCAACACCCCCCCGGCGTCGCGGGCTCCGGCCCACGGCG